GCTGCCGCCGCGCGTGACGATACCCATGTCCTGCGGACAGGCAAAGGGGGTTGCGGCGTGCTCGGAGGGCGTCGGCGGCGAGGCTCTGGCCCCCGGAGTTCACTGCCCAACCGCTGCGGTTGGGGCGTCGTGAGCGGAGCATTCGACGTGGGCGGCATGCACGGATGCAGTGGGAGGCCGCCACGAGGCGAATGGGCGCGCGCGGAGCGCGTCTATGTGGCCAGGCGCGGAGCACTGGGTCACGGACTTCACGGCCCAACTGCTTCGGTTGGGGCGTCGTGAGTGGAGCATTCGACGTGGGCGGCATGCACGGATGCAGTGAGAGGCCGCCACGATGCGAATGGGCGCGCGCGGAGCGCGTCTATGTGACCAGGTGCGGAACTCTGGGTCACGGACTTCACGGCCCAACTGCTTCGGTTGGGGCGTCGTGAGTGGAGCATTCGACGCGGGCGGCATGCACGGATGCCGTAGGAAACTGCCGCGGTGCGAATGGGACCGGTTAGCGGTCAACGAGGTCGCGTGTGGCGGCGCCAGGGCTACATGTCGTGCCCTAGCAACTGCTATCGTGCAGGCGCGTTTTCGCGCGCGTGCGGCACGATTGCGACTCGTGGGGGTCATCGCGTGAAACTTTAGTTCGCCAGAGGCGTGAGTGGCGTAGCGCAGCGGTGTTGCACGCGATCCCTGCCGCCGGAGCGGCGGTGAGAGGTTGCGTCGTCTGATGCGGCCTCGACGCGTGATCGCGTGAGATGAGGCGCAGTAACGCGCGGCAGGTGCGAGAAAGAAGGGTGTCCGTCACGTTCGTGAGGGCGCGGCGCGCGGGCACTGCGCATATGCGGCGCGAGGGGGTAGGTCGCGAGCACGGACCTGGAGTGAAGAACACGCGGTGGCGGAAAGGAAGAAGGCTGTGTGTGTACAGTGTGAGAGTGTCAAAGGAATTGTTCTTTGGCGATTAGGCCGTGCTTGTGCGGCAGCGGCAGCCAAAGGAGCGCCGTGGGCGCCAGTGGGCTGGGTGTGTTGGCACCAGACAGGCCCAGCATTCCGGAGAATGCGCGAGGGATTTCGGACCGCGGGGGTCGGCGTGTGAAAGCTGTGCTGGCCAGAGGCGTGAGTGGCGTGGCGCAGCAGCGTTGCACGCAATCCCGGCCGCCGGAGCGGCGATGGAGAACGCGACGGCGAGTGTGGCCTCGACGCGCGGGGCGGAGTTGCGAGAGGGATGTGGACGGTGGGAACGGCTGTTCGTATGGTTATTCGTCCAGGGGTGTGGCGCTGTGGGGCGCTTATCTGCGAGGGTGGGGAATCCGGCTCCTTGGCGACGCTCGGAGAGACCGGGTACGGGTACCGTCTTCCGGCGTCGCATCAGCTTCGAGCCCTGCAGCTCCACCATGTAAGGGAACCGCACCCCGTGACAGACACGGGACGCTAGGCGAGGCCGGGTCCGTGGCTCTCTGGCTCGGGACAGGGCTCACACAGGCAGCAGGCAGGGCCTGTGCCGCTCCCTACGAGCTGCCCCGGGAGGGCAGCGAGGTGGGCAAAGGGGTCTCTCAGGGAGACGCCCCGCAGGACTGCGGCCTCGAGGCCGCGTGTGGGACCCATGGGCCCACACAAGGGGGGGTGTCTCCCTACAGTCAGCATATTTGTCGTGCCGCGGAAACTCCACCGACACGCTCAACGGCGGCGCCACGGCCCGCCAAACTGTGTGAAACCCACGTGTAACCCATCAACTTTTGCACTCTTCGCGTCGTAGCTGCGCGACATGACCGTCGGTGGACGCGGCGCGCCTGGAGATCACGTAAGTCACCTCGGGTGCGCGCATGCCGCGCCCGCGGCGGCCGTGCGAGCCGCGAGCGCGCCGCAATCGCGCGCCAAAGTGGTGTGTAACCCATACAACCCACCTCTAATAAATAATAGAGGGAGTGCATTTGCACATGTCGCCAAACGGCTCAGCAGGCGTTGCGGCGCGTCCACGACACGCAGGACAACGCGGCGCACGAGCCACGGGGCACGAATTCCGGCACAGCGCCGCGCGGAGCGCGGATGAGACACACCTTAACAACACACAACAACCGCGCTGGCGGCCAGTTCGAGCGCCCGTCCGGCGCGCGGCGGGCTCGCGACACGTCATCTGCATGCGGAGTATCGCGCAGCGTGCAAAGCAGGGGGTCACGGCCCGCCCGGAGCGTCGAAAACGGTATGTACAGCACAGGCAACAAGCATGCACGACTGGCACCCAGCGGCAGCTGGTTGCGCTTCCATGGTTGGCCGCTAATGCCTAAGGTCTAAGTCCTAATCATTCGTCGCTAAGGCGTGCCTTCCGCTGGGTCGCTAAGGTCGTTCCGGTAGGCTGTTGTGTTTCAGCTGGTCAACTGTTGCCGCTGGACCCCAGGCAGCAGCCGAGGCGTGCTCGCTGCTACGCGCGCTACCTGCGCGTGCCCCGTGGGCGTCCGACGCCGGAGATTGCAGGGTGCAAGCCGCCCTGGGCTGCCGTATATAAAATATAAAGTGTCATCAGACCCATTTCAGCCGCGATATCGCCGCGACATCTGCAGTCGGCGTCGTTGTCGCGCTCGCAGGTGGTAGTCGCAAGTGTCAGCATATTTGTCGTGCCGCGGAAACTCCACCGACACGCTCAACGGCGGCGCCACGGCCCGCCAAACTGTGTGAAACCCACGTGTAACCCATCAACTTTTGCACTCTTCGCGTCGTAGCTGCGCGACATGACCGTCGGTGGACGCGGCGCGCCTGGAGATCACGTAAGTCACCTCGGGTGCGCGCATGCCGCGCCCGCGGCGGCCGTGCGAGCCGCGAGCGCGCCGCAATCGCGCGCCAAAGTGGTGTGTAACCCATACAACCCACCTCTAATAAATTAAGACCTAAGACTCAAGACCTAAGACCAAGACCAAAAATATTTGTCGTGCCGCGGAAACTCCACCGACACGCTCAACGGCGGCGCCACGGCCAGCCAAACCGTGTGAAACCCACGTGTAACCCATCAACTTTTGCACTCTTCGCGTCATAGCTCCGCGACATGACCGTCGGTGGATGCGGCGCGCCTGGAGATCACGTAAATCACCCCGGGTGCGCGCATGCCGCGCCCGCGGCGGCCGTCCGAGCCGCCACCGCGCCGCAATCGCGCGCCAAAGTGGTGTGTAACCCATACAACCCACCTCTAATAAATATAGTGGGAGTGCATTTGCACATGTCGCCAAACGGCTCAGCAGGCGTTGCGGCGCGTCCACGACACGCAGGGCAACGCGGCGCACGAGCCACGCGGCACGAATTCCGGCACAGCGCCGCGCGGAGCGCGGATGAGACACACCTTAACAACACACAACAACCGCGCTGGCGGCCAGTTCGAGCGCCCGTCCGGCGCGCGGCGGGCTCGATCGATGGTCCAGCGCTAGCGCAGGGGACCGTGGACGACGCGGGCGTGGGAACTGTGCTCCGCCCAGCCGCGTCCCGCTTCGCCGGGGGTATCGGAACCGGGGGAGCGACGGCGGTGGTGCGCGCGGACCCAGCGTAGTCCGTGCGTGCGCGCCCTGCCGGGGGCGACTCGCGCGGCCATGCCTCGACGTGCGGCGGGGTCGACGTCGAGATGGAGGCGGGACTGCCCGAGAGGGGCTGGGCGGGCCGGCGTGTAAGTCCCCGGGGATGTAGAGTAGTAATTGACCACCTGGGGATGTCGTGGTCCCGGGGTTCATTGGTGTTTTCTCAGAGAGACAGAGAGTTACATTCCGGAGGCGGAAGCAGCGACGCACGAGGTGGCTCTCCCCCCCCTCTGGCTGCAGAGCGACACCCCCCTGCCCCGGCGCCGCCGACTGAGGCGGTGCGGCGGGTGGCACTGAGCCGCGGGTTGCTGCAGTGCCGTTCAGCCGGGGCGTCGCGGCCGCCAGGTGGCCAGCCTGCGGTCGCGACACGGGGGGGCGCTTGTCCCATTCGCGGCTTCGCGTCGTCCGTAGAGGTCCTGCGCGCCTCGGTCATGCTGCTCCGGAGAACGCCGGGTCCCCAATTCTTGCGTCTTGGGTCCGTCCGATTGCCCGGACGGCCGGACCCGCCTCTCCCGATGCCGCCCGGGATCGCCCTCTCGCAGGTCGGGTCGTCCCACACCGGGTGGCCTGCAGTGCATGGTCTCCCAGAATGCGAGCGGCCGTAACTCTCGAGAAGGGGCCGGAGTTACGGCCGCTCGCATTCTGGGAGAAAATGCACTGCAGGCGACCCGGTGTGGGACGACCCGACCTGCGAGAGGGCGATCCCGGGCGGCATCGGGAGAGGCGGGTCCGGCCGTCCGGGCAATCGGACGGACGGCTACATACGCACGTACCGGTGGGACTCACGAAAAACGGGCGCTCGTGGGATGTGGAGCAGCGCCGCCGGCGCGCATGGCCAGGACGGTTGGAGCGTGAGCACTCCAACAGGCGCAGAACACGAGTCCGATTGCATCAATTTCGCATGTTTACCGCCTCGTCGCCGCCGCCCAGCGCGTGCGCCGCCTGTTGTCGCCCCCTGCGCCGGGGTGTGAACAAGTCGAGTCGAGTGCTGGACCTGAACTGCGCCGTAGCGACACCGCGACGAAGCGGCGGGGCGAGGCGACGGCCGCCATGCGCACGTCGCGGCGTCAACGTCGACACGTGGCCCGCGTCGGGAACTTCCCTTGGCGTCGCCTGCGGGGCAGCACACGCGCGCCAACGTGAGATCGCGCATGCATGCGGCGCTGGTGTGGAGCTGCGAGGGACGCACGTGCGCGGGGGCAGGTCGAAACAACAAGGTGCGCGACGAACGAGGAAAGATGCGCACCTCGACGCGCGCGCCCCTCGTCCGCCGGAGAGCGCTCCGAGTCCACGACTCGTATTGTGTGCAACGCCCAGGACCGGTCCTGGGCGGCGCTCACGGGCAGGGCGACGATCGCCAGCTCCCGCCGCACTCCGACCGCACGCCGCGCGCCGCACCGGAGCGCCGTCGGCGCGACGCACCCGCGCCCGCCCGCAGCCGCTTGCCCCGCGTCGTCATCGTCCCCTGCGGCCGCGCAGCCCGCGCCCGCGCCCGCCCCGTCGGCCCGCCTGCGCCACCACGCCGACGTCCCCGCCCTGCAGCTCCGACTCGCCGGACACGACCTGCTGCGCCTCGAGGTACACCATGAGGTCGCGCACGGTGTCGTTGAGCTCCTCCGCGCGCTTGCCCTCCGCGCGCGCCCGCTCCTCGGCCGCCTCCACCTTGGCCTGCCACCCCTTTTGGTTGCGCAGCAGGCTGTTGTTCAGCTCCTGCAAAAAGTCCCGCTCCTTGGCCAGCGCCTCCCGCTGCGCGTCCGCCTCGCGGAACCGCCGCTCCGAGTCCCGCAGCCGCCGCTCGAAGTCGTCCAGGCGGCTCTGCAGCACCGCCGCCCGCGCCTCCGCCTCGCTGCGCTCGTCCTCCAGGTCGCGCTCCCGCACGGCGTGAGCCGCCCGCTCCTGCGACGCAGAGCTCCGACCCGGCGCGGCGCGGTCGCTTCGCGCTCCGCGCCCCGCACACGTCGCAAGGCGGCCGACAAGCTGCACGCACGCACGTGTTGAAGCACGGCGACCGCGGCGCTCGCTCACCTGGGAAAGCATGGTCTCGAAGTAGACGCGCTGGCTGTCCAGCTGGCTGACCATGAGGTGCTCGTACTCGAGGGCGATGTCCCGGACCTTGCCCGTGACCGAGGCGTCGTCGTGCCCGCCTACGGCGCCCCGCTTCAGCCCCCCCGCGCCGGACGCCTTCCCCGACGGCCGGCAGGTCACGTCCGGGAAGCACGTCTCGTCCTCGCCGCACGCGTCGTCCGCGCCGCCGTCGTCCGGCAGCGGCACCTCCATGAGCATGCCCTTGTCCTGGAGCGTCGCCAGGCGGTGCACGAACGCGTCGCCGACGTAGTCCCACACGTAGTGCGTCTCGAGCTCCATCGAGTAGCAGTGCCCGCTCTCCCGGAAGTGGTCCGCGGCGTGCCCCGCGGCGTACCGCCCGCACCCGACGTGCGCGCAGATCAGACACACCCACAGGTTGGACGTGCAGTCGCACGTCATGCACGACGACGACGGCGGGGCCTGCTGCGCGTAGCGGCACACCGGACAGCTGGTGTCCCCCCACTGCGCAGGGCGGGAGAGGACGGAGCGCGGGCGGTGGGTCGCGAGGCTCGCACAATCGCGAGCCCGGGCTCCGAGCACTTGCACACGCGCCGCGGGCTCACCTTGAGGAGGCACTCGGAGTGGAACGAGTGGTTGCACGCGGTGATCACGACGCCGCTGATGTGCTGGTCGAGGCGGTCCAGGCACACCGGACAGCTCGGCAGCTCCGTCGCCCCTGCGGTGCGTCGCGGCGGCGCACACGTGGGCGTGCGGCGTCGGCGGGGCGAGCGCGCGGCCGCGGAGGGTGCAGAGCGCGGCGCGCACGGGCCGAGAGACGCCCCGGGTCGCACCTTGCGGGGGCAGCAGGTCGACCGCGGACCCGTCGAGGAAGTCCACCGCCTGCACAAACCCGAGGCGACAGACCACCTCCGGCTCGAACGAGTTGTACGGACGGCCCTGGAACGCCTTGAAGAACTCGTCCGCGTTCCTCTGCGGCGCTCGGGGCCCGGAGCGAGTCGTCAACCGCGCGCGGCGCGTGCGTGGCGAGGGGCGGCGTTGCGTGACGCGGTCGGGCGTCGCCGCACCTGGGAGTTGAAGCGCATGAGCACGAGGTAGACGCCGCTACTGCCGCTCACGTGCGAGGGGCGCTCCACGATCCGCAGCGTGCGCACCATAGGGAGGTAGCCTGGGCTAGGGGGGGGGGCGTCTTCCGCCAGTGAGGAGCCTGGTGCGGAGCACGGGCGGAGCGGACGCGCACGAGGATCGCGAGCGGGAAGCGCCGCGCACCTCCGAGGAACTGAGCGAACTCGAGCAGCGGCATGTCCGCCGGCACCGACAGGCAGCAGATGTCGACCCCACGCCGCCGGGGCAGGACCTTGCTGGGCTCGTCGGTCGGGCCCGCCTTGAGCGGCGCCGTCGTGTCCCGATACAGATGCACCCTCCCGCAGATCCTCTCCACCGACGGGTTCCCTGCACCGCACCACCCGACCACGCGACATCAACCAGGCACACAACAGGGACGGCGAACGCGCCGCGCGTGCGCGCACCGGTTCGAGCGCAACCGCGCGAGGCACGCACCCGACACGACTCCGAGCACGCCGGCCTCGTCGTCCACCACGTCCTCGAGCCGCGCGCCGCCGCCCAGCTGCTCGCGCAGGTCCTTGAGGCCCCACGGGGCGTCCGCGCCGTCGTCGCTCTCCGCGTGGTCGTTCCCGAGCGGGAGCGAGCGGCGCGCGCGGCGCGGGGACGCGGCGCTGGAGCTCGGGCCCGCCTTGGAGTGCCGGCGCGGCGACGCGCCCCCGGACTTGAATCCTGCGGCGCGGCTGTGCCCGCCCGGCTGCGCGCGGACGTCGCCGTTGACTGACAGCGGCGCTGGGCGCGCCCGCGACACCCCCGCCGCGTCCCGGCGCTCATCGGCGGCCGCAGACCGCGCCGCGCGGCCGGCGTGGGGGCTGGCGGCGGCGGCCGATCGCGCGGCGTCCTTGCGGTCGTTCTCGACGGCGCGGCGCAGCGCCTCGATGTACGACTGCGAGGCGGGCTGCACCTCTGCGCAGGTCAGCGCCGCGTCGTCGACCGAGTGCCGCTTCTGCCGCCCGGTGCGCCGCCGGTGCTGCCGCGCCGCCGGCGTGCCCGCGTCGCGCTCGGCCCCCGGCGCGGCCGCCTCCGCTCCGCGCGTGCTCGGCTCCCTCGTGGACGACGCGTCCGTGGGAAGCTTCGCCTTGAAATCCGCGCTCTTGGTCTTGGTGGGCGGCGGCGGGGGCGGCGGGTACGCTTCCGCGGCGCAGAACGCCTCGACCCACGCGTCGTGCGCGCAGGACGTGTCCTGCGGGGACGCCGCGAACGCCGGGTGCACGGTGAACCCCGACGGGTCCTGCCCGACCATCATAAGCGCCCGCCGCGCGGTGAGCCCGAGCTGCGGGTCGAGCTCGATCTCCACGTCCGAGCTCGAGTCGCCCGCGGAGACGTTCGCGCTCGCGCGGGCCGCGAGCTCCTGCTGGCTCGGCCGCTGCGCGGGCGCGGGGGACTCGGCGTCTCCTGCGGGGATCCATTCGCGTCGGAGAGGTGAGGCGCCCGCGTGGGAGCGGAGCGGTGCGCGGGACGCGCGGTGGCCGGGCCGCGGCGCGCACCTGCGTGCTCCCGCGACGGCCGCGGCTCCGCGCGGTGCGGCGACGGGTGCTGCTGTTCTGCTTCCGTGGGGTCCCCCGCGGGGTCGGCCGCTCCGCTTCCGCTCAGGAGCTGCGCGATGTCCCCGCACTGCTCGCGGTGCTGGACCTCGACCCGGAGCATGTAGAGCGGCCCGTCCCCGCCGGCCGTGGGGCTGGCGGGGTCGTCGTCCTCGCCCGGGTCCCGCGGGGCCGCCCCTGCGCGGCCGACCTCCGCACGCACCCGCCCCGTGGCATCCTCAGATGATTTCGGTGCCCCAGCAGCGATGGCAGCCTGCACGTCGCCCGAGGCAGTCCGCGAGGGGGTGCCCTGCGCACGCGGGCGCGCAAGGATTGCCCGGCGTGGGGCGACATGGCGACTAGTCCAGAGATTCTGTTCGTGCGCGGCCACGTACGCTCGGCGTGGCTCGAAGGATTCGATGCTCCAGCCTCAGGATGCCTCAAGCGGCGGGAATCGGAGCATCATCACCACGGCCAGCATCTGCGCCGAGAGCGCGTTCTTGAACGCACAGGACCGCGCGTGATCGTCGCTCCGACCCGCACTGATCAGGGCGGACAGGGCTGGCCGGAAACAGCTCGGGCGCGCCGCGTGTCTGGCGGGCCGCTGCATCGGGGGGGAGCCACAGGGCCCTCTCCATGCGCACAGCAGCGCGCAGCTGGCCGGTTTCCCGGACACATATCGCCCAGCGTGTACTCGTGGAGCATACGCGCCCGTAGGTACGGTTCCGCGCGGAGCTCGCGCACTTACCTCGCTGCCGCCCTCCGCAACCACACCTGGGCCTCCTCCCGCCTCGCCACGGTGTCGCGCTGCCGCCCCCGACGCCCTCTCCGCGCCGCCCTGCTCCTTTGCCAACTCAGCGGAGCGACGCTGCCTGCGCTTGCCCATGCTGCCCGGCGCAACGCCCGCGCATCACCCAACGAGGGCCAGCGACGCCGTCATGTGTGTGCGCCCGCCACCACGGATCTCAGCCGCACAGAGACGTGTCCCGAACAGCACGCCCGCGATCTGCGCGAGCGCCCGCGCCGCCGCCCGCCGATGCCCCGCCCAATCGCGCCCCGCGAATCACTCCCCCATCTCCGCGCTCAGGGGGGCGTCGACCCACGCTCGGGCGCGGCACGCGCGCGCAGCCGCGGCGGGTCCAGGATCGAGGTCCGCGCCCCTTCTCCGCCGCGAGCGGACCGTCGTGACGGCACCAGGTCGCACACATAAACGCAGCGGTGTCACTGTCACACTCCCCCCCCTCGCGTCGTCGGCGCGTCACGCCACGAGGTAGATTCGCTGTCCGATGTCCCCCGTGATCCAGTCGAACCCCTCGAGGAGGCCGCTGCCCGTCACCGCGCTGCACGGCAGCACCGTGCAGTGCCGCCCCTGCATCTCTGACAACCCCAGCGCCTGCTCGATCTGCTCCGCCGTCAGCGCGCCCGCCATGTCCTGCTTGTTCGCCAGCACCAGCAGCGTCGCCCCCGCCAGCCGCTCCTCCTGCAGCAGCCCGTGCAGCTCGTCCCGGCAGTCCTGCGACGCACACACACACACACACACAACACACCCCCCCTCACGCACTGGCGCCCTCGCGCACCCACGCACAGCACCGGCAGCGCCCGCCCCGGCGCGGCGCACACGCAACGCGGACCCCGACCGCGCGCGGGACGCTATGGCGCGCACCTGCATCCGGCGCGTGTCGGCCGAGTCCACCACCCACACCAGGCCGTCCGTGGCCTCGAAGTAGTTCCGCCAGTACGACCGGAGCGTCTTCTGCCCGCCCACGTCCCAGATGTTGAGCTGGTACCCGCCGTACCGCATCGTCTTGATGTTGAACCCCAGCGTGGGGCTGATCGTCGACGTGTCCTCGCCGTTCATCTTCTTCACCACCGTCGTCTTGCCTGCGGAGGGAGAGGGGCGGGCGGAGGGCCAGGCGTCGGCGGGGCGCCGCGGGGTCGGCGGGGCGGCGGCCTGGCGCGCTGTGCGTTCGACACGCCAACCCCCTGGGCGCGGGAACGCCGTGCGGAGTTCTCGCGTCCCGGGGGTTCGCGGAGGGCCTTCCTCGGTCACGGCGAAGCGCGTGGGCGATGCGCGCGGCGTCGCGCGTGCCGCGGGGGCGGCGGCGTTGGCCCGCGGGCCCGCGTGAGAGCTGCGAGTCGCCCGCGCACGCCGCGGGAGCGCGTCACGTCCGGGCCCCGCGGCGCCATCGCGCTGTCCATCGTACGACATGATCGGAGGGAGGGAGGAGCGGGGCGCAGGGCGGCTGAGGTGCCCCGCAGAGGCCCCTGCACTCGCTTCGGAGCGCACCTGCGTTGTCGAGCCCCACCATGAGGATGCGCATCTCCCTCTCCTTCCGCTTCACCTTCCGAATGATCGACAGGAGCCCCATCGTCGCCCCGCCGCCCCCGCGGCCCCTCGCACTGCCCGCCCCGCCGTCCCCGCGCCCCCTCTCCCGCCCGTGCCGTCGCGCCCCCTCGCCGCTCGCACGTGCACGGCGCCGCCCAAGCGCGAACTCTGACCGCCCCGCGCCCGCGCAGCGCCCCCTCGACCCCCCCCGCCCGCAGCTCGCGTCCGGCGGTCGCACGCCCCGCAGCGACTCAACACCCCGGGGCCCCGCAGCGCGCGGTACGCGACCCGGCGGCGCCCGAACGGGCGCGGGCGGCTCGCGGGCGGGGCATTCGTGCCGCGACGCCCGCCCGCGCGTCCCCCCAGCGCCCCCCCGGCCGCACGTCGCCCCACGCCCGTGCACGGATCCTGCCCCTCATTCTGCGTCCCCCGAGGCGCCCGCAGCGGCACCCCGCCCCCTCGTCGGCCGCGCCTCCGCGCCCTAGGCCCAGATAGATCCCTCCGCGCGCCCGCTCCGGCTCCGGCGCGGCCCACGGAGCGCGTGACGGCCACCAGAACCCTCGCCCGGGCCTCGAGCGAGCGTGCGGCCCCCGGCGCGGTGCCTGCTCCCCACGCCGAGCCGCGGCCGATCGGGAGGCTGTGCGACGGATAGCGCCGCCTCGGACGCACGCGGCCCCGAAAGACCCCCCCCGGTCGCTGCACGCGGCGTCGCTCGTGGGCTTCAGGAGCCTCGCAGGGGCAGGCCCGCTCCCCGCGCTTCCTTTCGCGGATCCGCGGCTCGCCCCGGGATATTCGGAACGTTTCTTCAGGTGCGTGCGCAGATCTCGCCCGGGGAGCGCCCGCGGGGGGAGGCCGCGCGCCTTGCCTGGGATTGCCTCTCCCCCGCGGCTGCGCGGCCGGACCCGCCCCGCCGCGGGGCGCGCGTGCGGCCTCGTGCCACAAATTTCCCGCCCTCCGCGCGCTCCGCGCCGCGTCGCCCGCGACGGCCGCTCCGCCGCGGCGAACGGTCGCGATGTGGTGCTCGCAGCAGGCCCACCTGCCCGCCGCGGGCTCGCCGGGGACGCATCCGCCCGCGGAACGCCGCCATACGCGCCGTCGTTCCCGCACGTCGCCCCCGCGCCCCCGGCGCGGGCGTCTCGCCGCGCACCGCCCGCGCATCCCCCGCCACGACCCTGCAACGGCGCCGCGACACCTGCCTCTGACCGCCTGCAGGGGCGCCCTGGAGCGTGATCTGCGCGAGGCGAGCGGGGGAAGTGCACGCACCGTGCGCAATGCCCACCGTCCAGACGCACCCGCTCTCGGAAGCGACGCACCCCGCGTCGGCCGTGCACAGCAAGGGGGCGACCACAGAGTGCGTGGCCCCGCCCGCGCGCCGCGCACCGAGCACGCGCCATTCCGGGCCGCGCGCGTGGTCCGCAGCCTCACGCGCGCGTCCCGCGTCGCCGCGCCCCGCAGGTGGGTCAGCAAGCCCAAGCCACTGGACGGGGAATCCGCGGCAGAGCAGGTCGACACCATGTTCGTCCAGCTGCCCGGATTCGACGAGGTGGTGCAGGTGGACGTCGCTTCTTTCCTCAAGAACGAGGGCGTGCAGGTGCGCGCGGCCGCGAGCGCCCGCCCGCGGCGATCGGGCGCGCTCACGCCTCACATGGCCTCCGCCCTCCCGCGCGCAGCGCCCGACGGCTCCCGCCCTCCCCGCCCGCGCAGGTGGTGCCCTCGATGATGGGCTTCGTGTTCTGCAAGGACCAGCCCCTGTCGACGCTCGTCGGCACGCAGCCGGCCAACATCCTCGGCGACCGCTTCTCGCACCCGCCCGACCACCGCAACACCATCCCGGCCGGTGCGCCGCCCCCCGCCCCGCGCCCTGCGACCGCACCGCCTGTTCCCGCGCGCCGCGCCGCGCGACGCGCGCGCCAGCCCCCGCCAGCGCCCACACGTGGCACTGGGTCACATGCCCGCCCCGCCCGCCCGCCGCAGACTCCGCTGAGGCCTTCTTCGAGGGCAGCGACGTGCGGAAGAACCCGCGGACGCTCCTCCGCAAGGTCAAGCAGGCCAACTCGGACAAGCCCTCGGAGCCCGCCTCGGACCACGGCCAGCAGCCCGTGGTGTCGCCGGAGCTCCCGCCGCCCAACCCGGCGCTCAAGGGTGCGTCGCTCCGCGCGCCCTGCTCGGCCCGCGCGCCCTGCTCGCTCCGCGCGGCCCCGCCCGACCCGTCGCGCCCGGCACGCCCCACGCGCGCGCAGGTGTGCGCCACGGCGCCGACGGGCGCTTCATCTCCCTGGGCGCGCCGCGCCCGAAGAAGGAGCGCGTCCACATGCAGCAGGGCGAGTACGGGCGCAACTCGTACGTCGCGCTGGACCCCGTGCTCGCGCGCCTCGCGCGGGGCAACAAGCGCGCCAAGGCCCGCGCCGAGGCCGCCGCGGAGGCCGCCGCCCTCGCCGCCGGTGCGTTCTGCCCGCCCCCTCCCCCGCGCGTGCGTGCGGTGCTTGCTGCGCGCCTCGGCTCCACGCGGCACCGCCCACCTGTCCGTGCGTGCGCAGAGAAGGAGGCGGCGGCGCTGGCCAAGATGGACCCGGAGGCGCGCGCGGCGGCGGAGGAGGAGGCGCGGGTGCGGCAGGAGCGGCGCGAGGCGAAGCTGAAGGAGCGCGCGGAGAAGGAGCGGCTGCGGCGGATCCGGATGAAGCAGGCGCAGCAGCGCGCGCAGCAGCGCGCCGTGCAGAACCGCGAGGCCTCGCGCGACGAGCGGCGGCAGCTCACGGCCGACCACATGGCCATTCTGCAGCAGAGCCAGGACCTGAAGACGGTCGAGCGGCTCCTGCAGCAGCAGGACGCGCTCAGCGCCGCGCACTCGGACCGCAACCTGCTGTACCAGCACCAGATGCAGCTGGAGAAGCTGAAGCACCACCTGCGGCTGCAGGAGATCGAGATGCAGCAGCTGCACGCGCAGCACACCGCGCAGCGCCCCGCCTCGGCCTCGGCGGCCCTCACGCAGCACCTCCTGGCCCGCGAGCAGCAGCAGCGGCGGCAGGAGGCCGCGGCGCAGGAGCGGCAGCGGCACGCGGCGGCGGCGGCGGCGGCGGCGCAGCGGCGGCAGCAGGAGCAGGCGGCCGCGGCGGCGGCGCAGCGGCGGCAGGCGCAGGCGGGCCTGGTGGCGCAGATCCGCCAGTACCAGGAGGCGCAGGCACGGCGGCACGAGGACCCGCAGCGCGCGGCGCTGATCGCGCAGGCGCAGGCGCTGCTGGGGTCGCCCGGCGGGGGCGCGGACCACGAGCTGCGGCGCATCGTCGAGCGGCTGTCGGGCGCGCCGGAGCAGCCCCACGGACACGCTGCGGACTTCATGCCCGGGCACCCCTCGTCGCGCGGCGGGGCGGACATGGGGTCCTCGCTCAACCGGTACTGGTAGGCGGCGGCCCGTCGATCGCGAGCGCAGCATGCGCGCGACCCAGCCACACGAGCCGGAAGGACCGGATATTTGGATATGTAGGAATTGGATTTGATTGCAATCGGAGACCGCGCACTCGATGCCATGACAGTTCAAGACGACGCGAGACGCGCAGCGCACGGAGCGCGTCCTGGCGGGCAGCGGCGCTGGCAACTGCATCGAATTTGCATCGCGTGCCACATTTGTCCACTTCTGTGAGTCCTGAGTTCGACCACGCGATGCGGGACGACGAGACCGGAACGTTGCGGCGGACGGAAGCGGTCGGGAGCGTCCGTTGGAGGCGGGGCGGCAGCATCGTGACGCGCCGTCACTTTTACGTGTGCGCACGAGCATGCGCGGCGTGGCGGCAAGTCGCGCGCCGCGCAGGGCGGCGGCGTGCGTGAATCTGCTGCGCTCACAGCGGCAGACTCGCCGAGCTGCGCCCGTGTCCGTCGCCCGGGGCGCCACGCCGCGGCGCCGCCGGCACGTCCGGGTCCTGAGTTGTAGTCGTTGTGCGGGCCGTGTAGGGGGTGTCATGAATGGCGGGCGGGGCCGTCTCGCGCGACGTCCCATCGCCGTCCTTGCGCGCCTGTTGCGCGCCTGTTGCGCGTCCGTTGCGCGCCTGTTGCGCGCCTGTTGCGTTGGTCGGTGCGCGTGCCCGTCACTTGGCGCCCTTGGCGTCCTCCTCCATCTGCTGCAGGAGGATCTTCTCCTCCTCGGTGAGGTCGTCGTCCGCGAGCAGCGCCTCGATGTCCTCGCCGCCGTCGTCGCCGTACAGCTCGTCCCAGTCGAGCTCGCACTCGGTGTCCTCGCTGCACTTGTTCGTGCCCTTGGCCTCGTCGTCGAGCTTCTTCAGCGCCTGCAGGCTCTGCATGCTCTGGCCCATCATCGGGAGCCGCAGCGCGGACACCAGGTCGACCAGCTTCTTCGCCAGCCACCCCACGCCGGGCACGGTCGACAGCGCCGCCACCCAGCCCATGCCCGCCGCCTTGTACAGCTCGTTCAGCGCCTCGAGGCCCACGAAGATCGTCCCGTCGCGGCGGATCGCGTGCAGCTTCGCCATCGCGTCCTCGTACGACACGCCCTTGTGCTCCGACGACTTGTACGACGGGTCGGCCAGGTTGACAAACCAGATGTTTTGCCTCTTGTCGTTGGTCTCCAGCAGCAGCTTCAGGTTCCGGCACACGGGGCAGTCGCCGTCGTACAGGTACGACACCGTCCACCCCTTGGGCGCCGACGCCGGCGACGTCGGGGACGGCGCCTCGCCCTCCAGCAGCTGCTTGGTGTCCGCGATCAGCCCGCGCTCCACCATCGCCGCGTACGCATCCAGGCTGCGAGGGGACGGGAGGGCACGGGGGCGCACGGGTGAGGCGCGCGCGAGCGTCGCGGCGCGCGAGCGTCGCGGCGCGCGGGCGTGCGGGTGCACGTGCAGCGCGCACACACATGCACAATCGCACACGCACACGCGCGCACACGCACCTTCGGGAGGGGTACGAGTAGAGCTTGGAGCGCAGGGATCTCGAGACGCGGCCGCCGAGGTTGGTTCGCGAGAGCACGCCGACGATGCGGCCCTCGTCGTCGACCACGGGCACGCGGTGCACCTTGTTCGCAATCATGATGCTGCACGCCTCGCCCACCGTCCGCCCCGCCGCCACCGTCACCGCGGGGGACTTCATCACCTCCCCCACTGCACGCGCACGGGCACACGGACCACGCCGGTCAACGCAACGCAGGCCCGGCGAGCGGCCACCCGCCACCCCCACGCGCCGCGGACCCGCTTCTCGTCCCGGGCCCGCGGGCGCGCTCGCGGCACGGGCGCGGCGGCGCGGGTCCGCACCGGTCACGCCGTCGAAGGTCTCGAGCGCGAGCAGGTCGGACCGCGTCACCACGCCTACTACGCGCTGCCCCTCGTCCACCACGGGGAGGCCCGAGACCTTGTCCATTTTGCTCTGCGGGGGCGCGGGGGGGTCGCTCGCGCGTGGGAGGGCGCGGCCGGGGCGCGGGCGCGCGGGAGCGGCCGCGGCGGCAGCGCGCCTGGCAGCGTGCGGGCCCGCTGGCGAGCATGCATCGCGCGACGCGGGGGCGCGCGCGGCGCGGGGGAGGTTACATTCGGGCTACGGCGCGTGGGGCGGGCGCGTGGGGGGCCGCGGGCGGGCGGACGAGGGCCGCGCGCGCGCGAGCGGGAGGCCAGCGGCCCCTGGCTCGTGGGGCGGCACCGAGGGCATCGGTCAGCGCCCGGGCGGCGGGCGGCGTCCGGACGCGCTCCCGGCCTGCGCGGCGCGCGGCACCGAGGCGGTGCCACGGACCGGGAGCGCGGGCGCGGGCCGCCCCCAGGTTCCCCCGGCGCCCGACGGGCCCCACAGATCAGCTGGAGCGGGAGCAGCGCGCCCGGCCGCGACCACGCGCGCAGGGGCCGCGGGCCGCGCGCGCTGCCCGAGCGGGCGCGTCCCCGCCGGCCGCCGCGCATCGGGCCGCGCGGCGGGCGCCGCGGGCGCGGCCGCGGGCGTGGTGGCGGGCGCGGGGTGCGGGGCGGGGGGCGCGCTCACCGCGACGTCGCGGATGCTGTCGGCGGCGCGTGCGGTCCTGATCTCGACGCGCGTCATGACGCCCTCGACGGGCGCGTCCTCGCCGTCGGTGCCCTCCTCCGGGTCGAGCTCTAGGTACTCGTCAATGCTGCGGAGGACCATGGGCTGCTGCTGCTCGTCCTGGCTGTCCAGGGGCTTGCCCGAGACGGCGCGGGCGACGTGGAGGGCGCGGTGGGCGCGCGGGCGGGGGCGGGGGGCGGCGGGGGCGGCGGGGGCGCGCGTGCGGGCGGCCCGTGGACCGGTGCAGCGCCGAGCGAGGGGCGGAGCACGGCGGGGGGCCGCTGCGGGTTCCGCGGGCGCGGGTGCGCGGCTCAGCTGCCGCATTCCGCTGGGAAGGACCATGGATCACGCGCGTTGGCGTGCGCGGGCGCTCAGGTGCGCGTGCGGAGAGGTTGCCGCGGCGCCAGTTCGCTTTGCGGCTCGCGCGGCGTCGTGGGACCGGGAACGGTGCGTCCAGCGACACGAAAACTACGAGTGGCGTTTACTGCGCGCTTCGGCGGACGCCGGGCCGACCTATGCGCGGGACGGCGCCGCGCGGGCGGGGGGGGAACGGCCCGGCGAGACTGACGTGCGTTCCGGGCGGCCCCGGCGGCTTCGTGGGGGCGGGGCGCGCCCCTCCCGCGGACACATTGGCCAGCCGGAATCTGGGCTACACCGTTGACCGCCGTTCTGTCCAATCGGAGCGCGGTGCGCCTGTCGCAGCGGACAAACACCCGTCGCCTCACTAGCCGGCCAGCAGGCCTCCTTCCGGCCGCCATGTCGCCCCTCACGATCCACCAGGTGCCGAGCATGGTCTCTCTCGCCCAGTACTTCGACTCCGTGGAAGACGACATGCCGGAGATCCAGGTGCGCGGCGCACAGCCGGTGCTATGCCCGCTCGTGGCGGAGAGGAGCGGGCTCGCCTGCCAGCGCCGCTGGGCGGTCTGGCGCGCGCGCCAATCGCGTCAACTCGGCGGTCAATGTTCACTCTGCGCCCCTCCGCGCCCCGATTCCCCGCGTCGTCCCTTTCGCGGCGGAAGATGCCTCTGATCGGCGGTCGACGGATGTGCGAGCTGCCCGGGCCCTAGACGGCATAGTTCGGCGCATCGTCGGCTGTTCTCGAATGAAGAGCAGCCCGGACTTCCGCGAGCCGCGCTCCACCGCCCGTGCCACCCCTCAATTTTCCCCCCGCTCGCCCTCGAGCCTCTGCCTCGAGCCCTTGGCCCCCAGCGCCCGATTCGCCGCAGGTAAAGCACTGGGACAAGCTCACGCCGCACCGCAAGGTCAACGAGATGTCCGGCAGCTACCTCCCGGCCGTCGGCTTCGCGAGCACGCCCGCTGTGCCGATGAAGAAGGTCAAGTCCTTTGCCGACTTCGCGCCCTCGCCCTCGGCGGGCGAGTCCGAGGACACCTGCTCCAACGCCGAGAGCGGCTCCAGGTGCGCCCCCGCCGCGCTCGCGACCGCGCCGCGGGCCCGCGCGCCGCGCCGGCGGCCCCGCTGCCGCACGTGTGGTAAGCGGGCCGCGTACCGGATCGCCTCCCCGCCCGTTTCCGCGCGACCCCACGGTCCAATTCGCGTCGCGGCCGCCGTGCGCCCTCCATGGCCACCGGGGGCCCCCTCGCCGCGCGCCCGGCGGCGGAGATGCCCCGTGCGCCGCGCGCTACGCCCGCCGCGGCTCGGCCAACTGCTGACCGCCCGCCTCTCCTAATGCCGCCCCGTGCAGCCTGGCCGCGGTGCGCCCGGAGTTCGACCCGCAGTCCGCCGCGGACCGCGCGGTCCAGATGGACGGCCTCGCGCTCGCGCGGTCGTACCTCGACGCGCTGATCATGCACGGGTGGGAGGAGCGCGCGCACCTCCTGCGCTACAGCATGGCCGACGTGGAGACGAAGCTGGTGACGGACGGCCCGCTGCCGTGGATCGCGCAGCTCAACGAGGGCCGCTACCTCAAGAAGCGCCCGACCGAGGTCCGCGTCGACCAGGTCGTGCAGCCGTACGACGCCTCCAAGTTCAACTTCAACAAGGCCCTGCAGGAGGAGGTGCTCTTCCAGTTCGAGCGCAGCGCGACGGGCATCTCGACGTTCCACGCGGCCAAGGAGATCACGGAGGGGTCGTCGCCGAACCTGATCCTCGTCAACGTGTCGCCCATCGAGTACGCGCACATCCTGCTCTGCCCGGGCACCAACCGCTGCCAGCCGCAGCTCGTCGACGAGAACAACCTCACCGTCGCGCTGCACCTCGCGGACGAGACCAACAACGAGCACTTCCGCCTCGGGTACAACTCCCTCGGCGCCTACGGCACCATCAACCACATGCACTACCAGGCCTACTACCTCCAGCAGCCCTACCCCGTGGAGCTGTGCGAGACCACGCTCCTGGGGAAGACGCCCGAGGGCGTCACGCTGCACCGCGTCGAGGGGTACCCCTGCCGCCTCCTCGCGTTCGAGGTCGAGAACTGCCTCGAGGAGCTCGCGCGCTCCGTGGCGCGCGTCTGCAAGGCGCTCGCCGACGCCAACGTCCCGCACAACCTCCTCATCTGCGACAAGGGGCACCGCGTGTTCCTCTACCCGAACCTCTTCTCGGAGCGCATGGCGCGCGGGCTCGTGCCGGAGGACGTCCGCGAGACGCAGATCAACCCCGCGGCGTTTGAGATCTCCGGGCACATCCTCGTGAAGAAGCGCAGCGACTACGAGGTGATCGACCACGACATGGTCAACCGCGTCCTGCGCGAGGCGTCGTGCTGCGAGCCCATGCTCGACGCCATCGTCGACGTCGCGCTGGGCAAGGTCGAGGACGAGGCCATGCACGTCGGGGCGTGCGGGTGCGACCACTGCACCATGCCGCACGACGAGGAGGAGGAGGAGTGCTAAGAGGAGGCTCCGGCGCCGCGTGCGCCGGAGACGACGGGCGGGCACCGACGAACGCGCGGCAGAGGCCCCCCAGCTCCTAGGCAACACCCCCCCCCTTCTACGCATGGCATGCTCCGTATAGGACCCCCCCCCTCCCCTCACGCCGCCGTCTCGTTGACCCCTTGATGCGCCACGCATGTGCCTCCGACCGCTCCGCGGTCCGTGCGCCCGAGCGCGTCCCGCTCGGGGCCGCACGCGGAGAGCCGCAGACTCCCCCCTACGAGTGCACGAAACACTGAGAAAAAAAAAAAAGGACCCCCCCTCCCGATGCGCAAGTTGCGAGTCGCACGCCGAGCCTCGCTCCCTCAGCCGCTCCCGTCCCGCGGGCTTCCGATGCTCCCGTCGACCTACTCGAGAGGGGGTCTACATAGGGGCCGCCGCGAGCATCTGGCGAAGCCGACGAGCTCAGCAGAGTACCCAGCGGAAACCATTCTTCTCCGAGCGAACCATTGTCTGTAAATACCCACCGAAGCGCGACCCCCCACGCCTCACCGCGTCCAGACACAACGCACCGTCACACGCACACATCTCACCGCCCGCACGCACGCCCCGCGCGACCACGCGGCATTCCCTCTAGCCCGCGCCCACGTCCGCCGCCCCCTCGAACCCCTCGATCATCTCCTCGAAGTCCTCGCTCGCCTCGTAGTCGCCGCCGCCGCCGCTGCCGCCGCTGCCGCCGTCCTCGGACTGCAGCATGCGCTCCAGCTCGTCATCGTCCACGTCGCTGAGCTCGTCCGCGGCGCTGCCCGCGCCGCGCTCGCCCGCGCCGCCGTCCTCCACGTCGCCCGACTGGACCACCTCCGCGTCGTCCCCCGACTGCCGCCGCTCGCCAGCGAAGCGCTCCGCGGGCCGCACGTAGTCCTCCTCGGACGCCTCCGCGGCCACGGCCGGCGCCGCGGGGGGCTCTGCGGGCCTGACGTAGTCCTCCTCGGACTCCTCCTGCGCCGGGGGGGGCGTTTGCTCCGCCGCGGGCGCGGGCGGCTCCGGCGCGGCGTCCGGGATCGGCACCTCGGTCGACGACCCCTGCAGCGACGCCGACGCCTGCCCCGCGACGCGCAGCAGCGGGTTCCCCGCCGCGGGGCCCGGGCTGTCTCCCCCGCCGTGCCCGCTGCCGTCCGGCGACCCCATCGCTGCCATGTCGTCGTGCTCCGCGGGCGGGTGGTCCGCGCGCGCGACCATCGGGCTCCCGAGCGCCATGGAGTCGTCCGCCGCGGACCGCGACGCCGCCGCGTGCCCGTGCCCGCCGCGCGGCCCCGCGCGGTTGCTCCCCGCCGAGATGGGCGGCAGGCTGATGTCGTCGCCGTGGCGGTCGTTGTACCGCCCGTGCGGCGCGTGGCTGCCCCCGAACGCCGGCGTCATCGACGCCGCGGGCGGGTCCACGCCGCCCCACCCGTGCGTGGGGGACTCCGCGTCGGAGAACCCCCCCTGCCGCGGACTCAGCGCGGGGGCGTCCCGCGACCCGCGCGCCGCGCCGCTCCGCCGCACGTGCTCCTCTGCGTGCCCGCCCCTGCGGCCCCCGCGCACCTCGCGGCCCTCCTTCGCCGCCGCGCGCGTCGTGCGCAGCTCGATCTTCAGCGACTTGACCATCCCCTTCAGGACGGCCGCCTCGGCCTCGGAGTCGACGAGCGCCTTCTGCGCCTGCCCGAGCTGCTTCTCCAGCTCCGCGGCGCGCTTCATCGCGCGGCGCGCGCGGTCCATGAGGTCCTCCTCGGTGAGCCCCGAGCGCGAGGCGCGCACGTCCTGGGCGCGCGCGGCGCGCTCGCGCCAGTCCATCACGTCGTGGTTGGCGCGCTGGAGCGCGTCGCGCGTCTTCGCGAGCTCCTCCTGCAGCTCCGCGATCCGCGACTTGAGGCTGGCCTCGGCGCCGCGCACCTTGCTGGCCACCACCTGCGCCTGCGACGCGCGCTGCTGCACCGCGCTCAGCTCGCTGCGCGCCTTGTCGCGCCCCTCGCGCTCCATGCGGATCTGCGCCTGCAGCAGCTTCACCTCGGCCTCGGCCGCCGTCTTCGCCGCCACCGCCTCGTCGCGCTCCTTGGCCATCTTGGCCTGCCGCCGCCGGTGCCGCTCGAGGTCGCGCCGCGCGCCGTCCACCCCGCTCGCGATCGCCTTCTCCTTCGCCTCCGCGTCGCGCGCCCGCCCGGGCTCGATGATCACCACCAGCGACTCCCACTCGGCGCGCGCCGCCACCAGCGCGTCCTGCGCGGCCCTGACCTCGGACTTCAGGCGGTCGATCGTCGGCTGCGAGTTCGACACGAGCTCCTCGCGCTCGCGCAGCCTCTCCTCGATCTCCGCGACCTGCTGGTTGGCCTCGTCGCACGCGCGCGCCGTGCGGTCGCGCTCGGCCTCCGCCGCCGCCCGCGCGGCCTCCGCCGCGTCCTGCCGCGCGATCGCCTCCTTCACGGCCGCCTGCGACTGCTCGAGCTTCTTCTTGAACTTGATCTTGTACTCCCGCAGCGCCACCTTCATCGCCGCCTCCTCGGCCACCGCGCGCGCCGCCCGCTCCTCGAGGCCCTCCCCGCGCGTCGTCGCCGACCCCAGCTCCTGGTTCAGCCGGTCCACGTCCCCCTGCAGCTTCGCCTCGTGCGCGCGCACCTCGCTCAGCGTCGCCGTCAGCCCGTTGCGCTCCCCCTCGAGCGCCGCCCGCGCCGCCTCCACCCCCGCCACGCTCTCCTTCAGCCCCGCAACCTCCCCCTCCAGCGCCGCCACGCGCTCCCGCTCCGACGCCAGCTCCCGCTCGAGCCCCTCCCCTCTCTCCCGCGCCGCCGCCAGCTCCCCCTCCAGCGCCCCCGCCCGCGCCTCCAGGCCCACCACCGACTCCTTCAGCGACGCGACCTCGCCCTTCAACGCCGCCTTCTCCTCCCCGGCCGCGTCCAGCATGCCCTGCAGCGACTTCTCCGCGCCCTCCGCGCGCGCCGCGCGCTCCGTCGTCGCCGCCAGCTGCGCCTCGAGCTCCCCCCTCTGCGTCTGCAGCGCGTCGCGCTCCGCGGTGACCGGGTCGAGCAGCTCCCGCGCCCGCGCCAGGTCCGCCTCGAGCGCCTCGAGGCGCGCGGTGGCCGCGGCGTGCTCGGCGGTGAGCTTCTCGAGCGCGCCCGCCTGCGTCTCGTGCGCGCGCGTCAGCGCCGCGTGCTGCTCCTTGAGCGCCTCGAGCTCGTCGTCCCGCGCCGCGAGCTTCTCCTTGAGCGACGCCGCGCTCTTCCCCTCCTTGTCCGCGCTGTACTGCGCCTCCTCCAGCGCCCGCTCCGCCCCCTCGAGCCGCTCCTTGAGCCCCTCCTTGTCCTTCCTCGCCGCCTCCAGCCGCCCGTCCGCGTCCTCCAGCCGCGAGGCCTTCTCCGCGAGCTGCCCCTTGATCTCCTTGAGCTCCGCGCGCGCGCCCGCGAGCTCCTGCGCCACGCCGGCGCCGCGCTCCTCGGCGTCCGCCGCGCGCTTCCCCAGCGCCTCCGCCTCGCGCGCCCGGTCCGCCAGCTTGGCCTCGAGCCCGTCCCGCACGCGCCCGAGCTCCTCGAGCCGCCCCGCGAGCACCGCCGCCTCCTTCACCGCCGCCTCCGCCTTGCCCTCCTCCTTGGCCAGGCGCTCCCGCAGCTCCGCCGCGCCCTCCCGCGCCGCCGCCTCGCGGTCCGCCGCCGCCTTCGCGAGCGCCTCCTGCTCGCGCGCGCGCGCCTCGGCCGAGTCCGCCTCCGCCCGCAGCGCCGCCGCGCGCTCCCCCGCGCCCGCCACCTCCGCCTCCAGCGCCACGACGCGCTCCTCCGCGCCCCGCAGCTCCGCGCCGCGCTCCTCCAGCGCCGCCTCCGCCGCCTTCCGCCCCTCCTCGGCCTCCTCCAGGCGGTACCCGCGCTCGTCCGCGGTGCCCCGCGCGTCCTCGGCGGCGCTCTCCGCGGCGGCCAGCGCCCGCCGCGCCCCCTCCAGCTCGGCGCAGCTCCTCGCGGGCCGCCTCCGCGGCCGCGACCGCGCGCTCGCGCTCCTCCGCCGCCGCGCCCGCCTGCCCGCCGCCTCCTCGCCCGCCACGCGCCGCGCCTCCTCCAGCACCGCCACCGCCTCGGCGTGCTCCGCGCGCACGCGCTCCAGCTCCGCGGCGTGCTCCGCCCGCGCCCGCTCGAGCTCCGCGCGCAGCGCCTCCGCCTGCCCCGCCTGCGACTCGGACGCCTCGCGCGCCTCCGTCGTCGCCGACTCCAGCTCCTGGATGCGTAGCTTCAGCGACGTGCTGGTCCCCTCGAGCTGCACGCGCAGCCGGTCCGCCTCCGAGAGCTTCCGCTGCAGGTCCTGCGCCTCCGCCGCGCGCCCCTCGAGCTCCGCGGCCCGCTCCCGCGCCTCGCGCTCCCGCTCCCCCGCGCCGCCCTCCAGCTCCGCCTCCAGCGCCGCGAGCTTCACGCGCAGGTCCGCGACCTCCGCCGCGCTCGCCGCCGCGCGCTCCGCCGCCGCGCCGGAGCTCTCCGCGCGCCCCTCGGCCTCCGCGAGCGACCGCTTGAGCTCGTCCACCTCCGCGTCGCGCTCGGCCAGCTTGTGCTCCGCGATCTTGAGCTTCGCCGCCATCTTCTGCAGCATCTTCTTCAGCTTCGCCGCCTCCGCGCCCTGCCCCGCGTCGCTTTGCCGGCCTGCGCGGAACGAGAGAGCGACGGGGGCCGGGGTTGGTCCGGGACACAGACCAGCTCAGCAGGGGCCGACCGGCGCGCAAGGACGCCGGCGAGGCCGCGCACCTGGCGTCTTGTTGGACGACTTGGGCGAGGAGGGGTCGTCCGCGATCGAGGACGCCCCCTGAATGCCGTTCCCGGTGGCGCTCAGCGGCAGCTCTTCCGTCCGCGAGGGCGTGTGCACGCTCCCGTCATCTGCGGGGGTGTTTCGGGGGTGTCGGGGCCCCGTGAGCTAGCTGCGGCATACGTTCCGCCAGCGCCGAGGCGCCTCGTGCGGATCGAGCCCCACGGCGGCCAGGAGGGCCCGGGCGCCCGCTCAGCACATGCAGCCCCCGCGCGTGTCCGCAGGGCACGGGCGACGCGCCGCGCAGGTCGGGGTGGACCGCGCGGAGCGTACGGGCGCGGGGAGCGCGCGGGGCGCGCCGTGGGCTGCGCGTGCGCACCGTCTCCGTCGTCCTTGTGCGGTGCCGCGGAGCGGCCCGGGCGTGCGGGCCGGACCGGCCGAGTGGGGAGGGCGTCGACCGCCGGCGACTCGACCTCCATCGTGACTAGCTCGTGCGGGATGATCTTCGCCGCCTGACGCCAGCCGTCGGGAACGCGCTGGGGCCCTGGCGCTCCTCACGCCTCCCGCCTACGCGCCTGGACGCGGCCACCTGCGCACCGCGTGGCACGACGGGCACGACTTTGCAATGCGGCACGCGGTGCGCGCGGCCGCGGAGCCGCTCGTGGGACACGGCCGGACGGTTCGGCGGGTCTCTGCCAGCGTGCGCGCATGCGGGCTCCGAGCGCGGCGTGCGCGCCCGCCGAGCACACAACGGTGCCCGGAACGCTCTCTCCGCACCTGCCGTGGCTCGACGAGGCTCGGTCCGCGGCTCCTGACGCGGCCGGCGCGGCGAACGGCACCTGTCCCTGGCGGTCCTGAGCTCGGCCGACAGGGGCGTCTCGACACGCTCGTTCTCCCCGCACCCGTGCGGAACGTCGCCTCCGGGTCGACAACTACGGTACTGACGCGCCGCGGGGCCGCGGCGTCGCCTATGAGCCCGGGCCGGGGCACGTGTGCTGGACCGCTCCTGGCGCCCCCCCCCGGCCGGCGCCCGCGAGCAATCAGGAAGCCGGGCCGCCACGACGCGCCAGGGAACCCGCCGCCCGCGACATGTGTCTTCCGTTCCAGGAGGCTCGCGTCCGCCGCAACGCACCCTGGGCTGCGCGCCGGCCCGGTCAATGCCCGGACGCACCGCCAGGGCCCCCTGACGCGGCAGAGCCCGCCGCGACCCCCGCGGCGTCCCCGCGGCGCCCGCACGGTTTCCCCAGCCGCCGAAGCACGCCACGCGACCCGCGTCCAACCGCACTCGAGGTTTGCCAATTGTTTTCTCAACGCAAACAAACAAACAAATACCAGCCACCACCTGGGTCTGACTCGCGCCCCGCGGCACGTCCCCGCGGACGCAGCCGCGCTGCTGTCCCTCGAGGATCCACCGAGTCCGCGCGCTCACACGGCGCGCTCACACTGGCCCCTAGCAGTCCACCGAGATGACGCCCGGCGCGGCAGCGCGCGGGCTGAACCCCATGGCGCGCAGGTGCTCCTCGACGGCTGCCGGGAGCCGCGCGGGCGTCTTGCTGCCGACGGTGTGGTGCCCCGTGCCCACGAGGATGCGCCACGTGCCCGACCCGCGCTGGAGCGCGCCGTCCAGGATGCGCTGCGCCTCGGCGACGTGCTGGCCGTGCAGGTCGATCACCTGCTCCCCGCCGCGCGCGAACGCGCCGTTCCGCTGCCCGTAGATCGCCTGCGACGCCGCGTGGTGCGCCTCGGCCATGCGCTCGGCGTGCCAGCGCCCCTGCGCGCCGAGGTCGCGCGCGAGCTTCCCGTCGCCGTTCTGGTACGCGATCGTCGCCTGCATGAAGCACTGGTTCCGCGCCCGCGCGTGCTCCGACGCCCGCGTCCGTGCGTCGCCGTACAGCTCGCTGACCGCCTCGCCCGTCGGCGTCCACCGCACCCCCGCGCCGGCGTACGCCTCGCTCCCCGCGCCCGCGATCCGCTCTGCAGCGAACACATGCCGCACCACGCGCTGGTCGGCTCCGGGGCGCGCAAAACGCAACGCCGCACGTCACCACGAAGCAACGCATGCGGTGCGCTGCGCGGGGGCTCGCCTGTGGTCCACTGCGCGCCGATGTGTCCGCCGCCGTTCCGCGCGCGGTGCCGCTCGTCGCCGATCTCGTGCGGGAACTGCACGCCCGGCGGCGGCCCGCTGTTCGCCGGCACCACCCCCGACAGGTCAATCACCCTCTTCTTGCCCACGACCTTCACGACGGGCTTCTTGCCGCCGTCGGCGCCCGCGCGCGCAGCGTGCGTGCCGTTCGACGCGCCTCCGAGCGCCGGGAAGTGCTCCGAGTCGGCGGGCGGGGGCGCGGGCTGGGCGCCGGCGTCGCCGCTGGTGCCGTCGCCCCGCGCGCCGTCGTGGACCGTGAGGTTGCGGAACAGGTGCGTCGCGGCCTCGACGTCGCCGCCGCACGCCTCGACGAGGTGCTGCATCGCCACGTCCTCGCCCTGCGCGACACAACCCCGCGCAGACAAGTGGGGTGGCGTGCGCGGCCCGCGCGGGGGGGCGCGACCGGCCCGCGCGTCCGTGCCGCGACACGTGAGTTCCTGCGTGGTTCGGTGCGGGCCGGCGGACCTGCCCCATGTACCCGTCGAACTGCTCGCGGAAGTAGTGTTGCGAGGCAGGGTCCAGGGCTTCGTAGCCCCCCCAGCCCAGCATGCCCCAGCCTTCGGTGTCCCAGCCCTCCTCGCCCCAGCCCTCGTCCCCCCAGGCCTTGAGTTGCTCGTTCGCCTCGGCCAGCGACGCCTCCGCGGCCTCGGCGCGCTCCTCCTGCTGCCTCGCGCGCGCCTCCGCGGCCCTCAGGGACTCCTTGAGCTCGTCGCGCTCGCCCGTGAGGGCGCTGATCCTGTCACGCGCCTCCTGCGATCACCGTCTCCGCGGGAAGCCCCGGACCGTGAAGACGCGGGCGGAAAGGGTGCAGGCAGAGGGGAGCGGTCGCATCGCCTCGCCTGGCCGCGGACAAGCTCCAGCCGATGTCGCGCGAGACGCCCGCGCGACCGAAGCCGGGTCGTGCCGGTCGGCGAGGCGTGCAGGGGCGCGGAGACACCCGTGGGGGCGTGCTGAGTCTCACCGCAAGTTCCGACTCGAGCTTCCACATCCGGGAGGTCGCGTCGCGCAGCTGTGAGTCCGAGTCCGGGGAACCCGAGGCCGTGGGCTGGCCATCGTGCCCAGCACCTGCGGCCGCGACGGGAGCGCGCGGGAGCCCCAGCATGAGCGACGCAACCGCTTCGTGAGGGCGGGCGGGCCCCACGAACGCCGAGGTCCAGATCGACGGGCGGTTCCGGGCTCAGCAGCGACGGAGCGGGGCGGGGGAGTCACCTTTGGACGGGCGCGACGCCCCGTTGCTCGGGCGCAGGGGCCCAGCGCTGTCTAAGAACGTGGACTCCGCCACAGAGAGCGCTAAGGAATACGCAGCCCCTGCGGAGAGGGCAGAACGGAACGCAGCTGCGCCGTCGGCTCCGGAGCGGCGCACGGGCGGTGTGTTCGGGCCCGCGGGGCCGCGTGTTCGCCCATGACCTGAAAGGACGCAGCCATGAGGGCGCGCGGCGCGGCCCCGGCGAGGCTGCAAAACGCACCTCCCTCTCCCTCGTCCATCCTGCCGTCAGAACGACCGCCGCGCGATCGAGATCGCCCGTTCCCGCCGCACGCAAGCCGTCGCGGCCCGCACGAAAGCGCACCCCGCTGAGATTCTGCGGGCGGTCCCCGTGTGCCGCCGCGCCACCTCCTGAACGACACCCGCGCGCAGCAGCAGCCTCCACGCGCGCCAAGCGATCTGTGTCCGCTCACACGGCGCCCGCGGCCCCCTTCAGCCGCGCCCTCCAGCCCTGTCAGGGGGGGACTGCCCGGGGTCGACGAGGCACAGCGGGCGCGCGCGGACGCCGCCCGCGGCCTCCAGCGCGTGCTGCACGTACCGCACGCCGTCCAGCTCCACGTCGGTGTTCACGTGCGTGTGCCCGAACACGTGTGTCCTGCTGCCGACGCGCCGCAGCTGCGCGTCGATGCCGAGGTCGCCCACGTTCTTCGCGAGCTCCGCGACCCACGGGCTCCACGGCAGCTCGCGGCGCGGGAGGAAGTGGCTCGCCGTCACCAGCAGCGGCGGCGGGCCGCTCGCCGCCACCATGCTGCAATACTCCCCCAGGCGGGCCTCGTTCATGCGCCGGAACAGCGCGCTCACCTCGCCGCACGGAACCGGCCACGTGCAGTACGCGTCGAAGCGCAGGCGGCCCTCGGTCGGGTCGTGCGGATCAAACTGCACGTTGCACGCCCGCGGCATGCGCGCCTTGAGCTGCGCGGTTCGCCACGCACGCGCGCGGTCTGCGGGAGCGGGGCGCGCACCTCGCAATTCGGCCAGCTGAAGAGCGGCATGACGAAGAGGTTGCGCGCGACCTGCGCGGTGGTGGTGTCGACGCCGAGCTCGTCGCAGAAGTCCAGGATGTCGATGAGCTTGTGCACCGAGTCGCTGTACGGCTTTCCGTCTCCGGGGCGCAGCCAGAGGTCGTGGTTGCCTGCAGTTCGCGGAATGGATGCTCGCCAATGGTCGGGCAGTGCCGGGTGGTCCACGCGGGGGTGTGGCGAGCGGGGGCGGCGCCGCGGGCACGCGATGGAGCTGTGCACCTGGCGTGAAGACGACGCGCCGGAACTTCTTCTTCAGCTTCGTCAGCGCGGCTCGGAGGTAGCCCATGCTGTCGGCAACATCACCCGCGACAATGAGACAGTCCCCCCGGTACGCCGTGTCGCTCAACGTGTCGACCCACCTCATGTGGCCCTTCTGCAGACGCCAGACACACCGCGGGCGCAGCGAGAGACTCAGAACCAGAAAACCACGACTGAAACATGCAGCGATCATCGCAACATGTGCCACAGGCCATGTCTGCGTGCTCGAGACGCCGACGACGCTCCATGCCTCGGTTCACGCAGCTCTGTCGCATACAGGCGGCCGCGCGTCGCGCACCTGGTCGACGTGAATGTCTGACACGCAATACACCCGCACATCGCTGCGTGCCCTCCTTGCGTCGCGGGCGGCGGACCGCTCCGCTCTGGAGCGCGCTCGCGCGTGGGACCAGAGCAGCACCGTTGCGAGCACGCTCGAGCGGGCCGTTGCCAGCACGCGCGCCTCCTGCTGCAGCGCCACGCGCCCAACGCCAGTGGCGAGCGCGCGGTAGGCGCTCTCGACGTCGCCTACTTTCGCGAGCGCCGCGGCGAACTTCAGCCACGACTGCGCGTCCCCGGGCTCGCGTTTCACGAGCGACGCCGCCCGGTGGATCTCGTCGGCCTCCCGCGACGGCCCGCCACATTCTGCGTCGCCCGGAGGGGAGCTGTGCGGCGGGGCGGCGTCGTCGGCGCGGTGACCACCTCGCTTCGCAGGCTGTCTGCGACGTTCGCGATCGCGCGTGTGGTCGGCGTCGCGAGGCGGCGCAGCACATCCCTGCTCTGTTCCGCCGTTGGTGGCGGTCGCCACCTCCGGACGTTGCGCGCCCGCAGCTGCTGCCGCTGCCTTCGCCAGCGGCGGCGTGGCCGGCGGCTCTGCCCCCGCCGGACCGCGTGCCCCCCGCAGACGTGTGCGGACCCCCTGCGCGTTCACGCCACGAAACACACTTGCACGAACAACAACAACAAACGCAGCGCTTTCGACGGGGCGCTCATTTCACTGCACGGGGCACCACGAGCTCGAAATCGGCTGAACGCTATCGTTGGGACGGCGAGGAGCCCTCTCGGCGGCGCTCCCTCACCTCGAGATGCCGCCTCGTCTGGCCGGGGAGGAGCGAGCCCGTGCCCTGCAACGAGTCGTCGATCGCGCGTACAGCCGCGGTGTTGTCGCCGCGGTCGACGAGGATGTCGATCTTCACCGCGAGTCCCGCGCCCCAGCGCGGTCTGCGCGCCAGGGCCCGCTCGAGGAGCTCCAGGGCGCGCTCACTGTCACCGCGCAGGTGCAGCACCCTCGCCTTCCCCGCCACGGCCCTGAGGCACTCGGGACTGATGCGCAGTGCGTCGTCGAACCTGCGAAGAGGACGTGAGCGCGGCGAACGAGGCAGCGTTCAGCCGCGCACAACACAGGCGCTGGCACGCACGCGTTTCCTGACGGTGGCAGGCGCAGCGCACTGACCGTTCCAGGGCCTCGACGTACTGCCCCTCGCGGGCACGCGTCGCGCCGTCGCGGCAGGCCGCCTCAGCGTCCACGAACGGCATCGATCTCCCTCCGGCTATCGTTGCAATCGAACGCCCGCCGGCGCCAGCCACGCAGCCGCTTCGTTTCAGCCTCTCTGCGATTCGAAGCCACACTTTCCTCCCAATCAAGACACGACGTCTCTGGCCTGGTCGTTCCCTCTGTCAGGCGCCGAAGGTCGACTCTTTGTCCGACTCCAGACACCGCCCGACCCACGGCAGCAGCCTTCGATCGGTCGCGGCGCCGCGTGCCAGCGACAGTTCGGCCTGTATGCCGCGCGATCTACGATGCTTCGCCGTGCGACGCCCCACGATCACCACAAGGGATGGCGGGCCCTGGCCAGAACCGCCACCGTCGCCGTCCTGGCCGTTCTCGTCGCCGACCTGCTCCTCCGACTGGCCCGTCACTCCCGACACGCGCTCGACGTGCCGGACCGAGCAGCCGTCTCAGACGCCGGCCCCGGCGCCGCCGCGCCTGAACCCCCCGCAATCACGTCCTGGGAAGAGAACGCGGCAGCGACGCGCACGCGCGCGCCCGCCTTTACGGAGGTGTATTCGTACGAGGAAACTTGGGAGCTCCGTCCGCGTCGCTGGGACCCGATCGATCCGTGCGCCGTGCCATCCATTCTCGGCCTCGGACAGCAAAAGAGCGGCACCACCGAACTCTACTTCGCTCTGATGGAGCGGTACGGTCTCCGCGCGCCGGGGAGCTTCGCGGACATCAGCGGCTGGGTGACCGCGGCGAAGGAGGCCAAGTGCGTCGACGCGCGCTGCGGCTGGGAGCAGTACCTGCGTCGGATCGCGTACGACGGCGAGGCGTGCGCGGAGGCGGCGGATTCCGAGCGGAGGGACGCGGCGCGGGGGACGGTGGACATAAGCCCGCAGTACATGCTGCACCCGAGGTTCGCTGCTCTCACACGCACACGCGGGGGCGACGTGTTGTGTGCGGTCCCGTTTCAGCATGCAACGGTGCTCGTTGGAGATCACGGGTCGCGTGGGCGCGCGGAAGGAATGGTCGGCGAATGATACGCCCGCGCAGCAGCCACGCACGCCAACCTCCCCCGCAGGTTCCTGCCGCACTTCATGTGGCGGCGCGAGGAGTGGTCGCAGGCGCGCACCAAGACGCTCGTCGTCCTGCGCGACCCCGTGGCGCTCGTGCGCAGCACCTACAACTGGATGCGCGTCCACGAGCGCGGCGTCCTCCTCGACAGCGACCTCGAGACCGTGCTGCGCCACGAGTGGGCCTTCCTCGCGCGGCGCCCCTCCCAGCGCCTCCTCGCGCACCTCGCACGCTGCGACATCGCCACCGAGGACGGCGCGGAGGCCGCGTTCGGCGTCCTGTGCCGCCTCGAGCACGCAATGGAGCAGTGGCTGCTCGAACACAATCTGCCGCGGTTCCTGCACGTGACGCACGGCGGGCGCTTCCACTCCTTCCTCCTCGACGGCCTCTACGCGGCCAAGGTCGCGGCGTACCACGCGCTCGTCCGCGACGCGGACCGCGCCGCCGTCGTGCGCGCGGAGGACATGTACGTCAACAAGCGCCGATTCGTGCACGCGTTCCTCGACGGGTTCGTGCTCGGGTCCGGACGGGCGCCCGCGCCGAGCGGCGGCGTGGCGGCGCCGGCGGGGCCGGCGCTGCAGGCGTCGTACGACCCGCACGCGGCGCTGTCGCGCGGGACGCGGTGCAGGCTCGCGCGGTGGTTCGAGCCGCACAACGCGCAGCTCGGGCGCCTGCTCGCGGCGTGGGCGAGCGAGGGCCGCGTGTCCACGTACGCGCCGAGCGTGCCGATCGCGCGGCTCAACTGGTGGCCCGCCAACACGCACTGCGGCACAGAATGACGCCGCCCGCCGCACCCCCGGTCAGGGCGCTCGCGCTCACGCGCCGGACCGGACGCTGAGCATCCGCGTGATGGCGGTGGCGGCCAGGAAGAGCGCCGTCCCGCACCCGTAGATCAGGAACGGGCCGAAGAAGTTCTCCATGCTGAGTGTGAGGGATTCCTCGTCCGCGCCGTCCTCGCCGTTCGCGCACTCCGACTGCACGTACGTCGCCCAGAGCTCCTCCAAGTACCCCTCCTCGGACAGCTCCGTGATCAGCGCGTCCACCACCACCATTACGCCCGGGCCGCAGCTGGCCGGGTCGGTCGAGTACGTGAACGCGCCGCCGAGGTCCACCAGGGGCTGCCCGCGCAGCTCGAAGTCGCACCCGGGGGGCTTGGCGAGGTACCCCTGCGCGTCGAAGAGCGGCAGGATGATCGCGCGGCACTTGCCGGCGACAATGTCGTCGATGCCGGCGAGGTAGGTCGTGCGGACGACGTTCAGGCTGCGGTAGCGCTCCTGGATGTAGCCGCCGAGGGCCGAGTTGAGCGGCACGCACGTCGGGATCCGGCGCGCGAGCAGGTCCGACACCCCTGCAGCTCGAGTCGGGCGCCAGAACACACCCGCACGGCTGTCAGGAAAACGCGGCGGGCGCAGCGAGCAGCGAGAGGCGAGCAGCGAGGGGCGAGCAGCGAGGGGCGAGTGGTTTCGTTCCCTGCGACGGGGTCGCACCGGTGATTCCCTGCGCTGGCTGCGAGCGCACGATGAGGAAGGTTGCCAGGTTGGCGGTGTAGGCCGAGATCGTCAGCATGACGATGAAGCTCCAGAGGAGGTTCTGGCCTCGCGCGATCCAGCTCACGGGCGTGATCGACGCGTCCGCCGACATCGTGAAGTGCGACAGCTGCTCGTACACCGAGTGCAGCACCGCCAGCCCCCGCATCCGCGCCTCCCTGCGCAGCCGGTGCGGGCGGCCCACGGGCACCGCAGCGGTGCTCGCGCGGGGCTTCTCGGCCTCGAGGTCCTCGGCGCACGCGACCTTCGAGCCCGCGTGCGCGTTGGCGGCGAGGATGCGCCGGCGGCTGTTGTGCGCGGCGAGGCCGGCGATGCGCGCAGTGCCCTGCCGCTCGAGGATGTGGTTGCCGCGCAGGCTCGCTGCGGCCGCCGGACGGGGCCGCTCGGCGCCGCCCGCCCTGGTCCGCGGGAGATCGGCCACGCTGTCGAACGGCCCCTCGGGGGCGTCCTCGCCGTCGCCGTCGAAGTCGTCCGCGTCGTCGTCCGCGCGGCCGTCCATGATGGCTCTGCGGTCGCTGTCGTCGAGCTCCGCCGCGAGACGCACGCGCTGCGGGTCCATCAGGAACATCACCACCGCTTGCACGATGAGGAAGCAGCAGATGGTGGCCCACACCTCGCCGGAGAAGGGCTGCGAGGACACACACGCACAGACACGAACATACCATGATTGTTACGCGTCTCTGGGCGGAAGCGCGGGCGAGACGCAGGCGCCAACGCCACGCAACAGCACGCGTTCCCGTACGCAACGAGGGCGACGGAACGAGCCAGGTCGAGGGCGTGCAGGTCCGGCCACGCAAGCTCCACCGCCCCTGCGCCCTCCAGCCCAGCAGCCGGGGGGGTCGAGCCCTGCCGCGCACTTGTGCGCACAGCAACACACACGCACTCGTACCTTGAAGAACAGCTTCAGCTTCTCCTTCGTGGAGGGCCCGACCTGGGCGTTCACCCGCGGCGCGACCACGTAGCCGCTGGCGTCGTTGATGCGGCGGCCGAACAGCGCGCCCAGGGAGCGGCGCTGCGCGGTCTCCAGCCACTGCGAGGCCAGCACGTTCCACTGCCCGCTCGCGAGCTCGCGGACCAGGAGGGCGGTGTAGCTCTCCGTGCCGTCGGCGATCTTCGACTCGTCGAGCGCGTGCAGCACGATCTCGAACCCCCCGCGCCGCTTGACCTCTTCAAGGATGTCGATGATGTACCCGGAATACCCGACGACCTGCCCGCCGGCCCTCTCGTAGACGATGTACGGCGGCTCGAGCGTCAGGCCGACACTGCGGTGCGGAGGCGGTCGCGTTGGACGCGTCGGAGGCCTCGCGGACACGCAGGGCGACGTCACGCTGCTGCTGCTGCGCACTGGCGTCGCGGCACGCGTGTGGGCGGGAGTGCGGGGTTGATGCATGCTGCGAGAGGTGAGCGTGGCACGCAAGCTCGTTCGCGCGCGGTGCGGGTGCGCACTGGAGCGTGGTGCCTTGCAGCAGGCCTGGAATGTCGACCTCCTCCGAGACCACGCGGCCGTCCCGGACCGGCGCCACGGCGTCGCAGACGGCACTCATCTGCTGCCGCCGGCGCGCGCTGTCTCGCCCGTCGTCCGCGTCGGTGTGCGCGACGACGCCGACTAGGGCGCACAGCACTACAAGAGCGACCGCTGCCCTCTGCATGGTCCCGCACCACCGTGGGTGTCCGGCGGCGGAAGTATATGCGTAGAGGGGTGTGATTCAGCGTCCGGAGGCCGCCGCGGACGTGCAGGCGCGCGGTCCTTGGTCAGTCAGTTGCCTGGCACTGGAGCAAGCTAGTCTCCGACCGCTCCGGCCTTGTCACGGTATGAATCTCAGCTGAGAGACCTCATTGACGACCACAGTCTCTGAGACACACGGATTCCGTCTCATTCAGGCCGTCGACGACGCCAGGCGAAGCACGCACAGCAGCTGTCGACCTTGGCGCGCTGTCCGACGCGTAACGAGACCTTCAGTGGGCCTGACCCTGTTTCGTAGCGCTGCCTATAGAGTCACTGGCCTCGGAGCGACACAATGCGAGGCCACAACGCGCCAGACGGCGCCGGCAAGGACACCCCCGGTGCGTCGTCGCGCCGGTCGCCAACAGCACCGCAGGCAAGCGCGGCCCGACGCGCCGCACCGCACGGCACGCGCAGGCGCGACGTGCGGGACGCCGCCTCGCGGCACCACCGCTTGTCGGGCTTACTTGTCTTGCATCCCCCAGCGTCACACCCAGCACCTATGTACACCGCACCCGCCGGGTCCCGGTCAATCGTCCAGCGGCTGCGCTCGCAGCAGCTGCGCGATCGCAGCGTGCCGCGCGATCTCCGCCACGTCCGCCGCGGTCCTCCCCGCGCTGTCCACGCCGTCCACGTCCGCGCCGCCGCCCAGCAGCGCGCGCACGACGTCCTCCGCGCCGACCAGCGCGGCGCGGTGCAGCGCCGTGTGGAACCACGCGCGCCCCGACGCCCCACTCCCCCCCACCGCGCCCGGACACCTCTCCTGCAACAGCCCGTCGTCGCTCGCCGCGCCCTCGTCCACGTCCACTCGCCGGTGCCCCGCGAGCACACGCACCGCCGCCGCTCTCCCGTGCTCCGCCGCGACGTGCAGCGCCGGGAGCGCCCCCGCCGACGGGTCGACCCCGCGGCACTCCAACAGCTCCGCCACACCCTCCGGCGAGGCGTGCAGGCACGCCCACGCGAGCAGCGTGTGGCCGTCCCCCGGGTGCGCCTCGCCCGCGAGCGTGCACCGCGCGTCGCGCAGGACCGCCGCGCGCACCTTCCCGGACGCGCCGCGCAGCGCGTCGAGCGCACGCGCCAGCACGGGCGCGCCGCCGGCCGCGCGGAGGAGGCGTAGGTCCGGCGAGGCGAGGCGGTCGAGGACGAGGCGCTCCGCGGCCGCGCCGTCCCCCGCGGCGATCGCCGCGAGGAGGCGTTCTTCGTCTTGCACGTAGGCGTTTCGCAGTTCGGTGAGGCAGGCCTCGAGCTGGTAGGGCTTGGCGTCCGGGGCGACGAAGCCGACGAGGCTGAGCATGCGGAGGAGCGGCGCGGCGCCGGGTCCGAGCCGCGTGGGGCGCGCGAGGAGGCCGCGCGGGGCTGCGGCGCCCAGCGTGCGGAGCACCACCCAGACGCGCGGGCCGGTGAGGGCGCGGGAGGGGTCGAACGGGTTCGGAACGGTGGTTTCTGTCCAGGGCTGCGGTATTCGCATCGCGCGCGCGCCGCTCGCGCTCGCCACGACCAGGATTGCCGACCCGTGCACGCCGTCCAGGAGGGCGGCGTACATCATGTCGCGCACCGGGAGCGTGACGGTGTGCGCGTCGCACCCGCACGACGTCTCCTCGTCGTGGGCGCGCAGGACCAGCGCGGCGTCGCGGGCGGCGTCGGCTACCACGACCAGCGCCCGCCTGCGCAGCAGCGGGCTCTCGACGCGCCCCCTGAGACCCAGGACCGCGCGAGGGCGCCCCGTCGCGCGGCGCGGCAACGGCAGATTGCTGGGAGCGCACCTGTCGGTGTGTTTCACGTCGCGGCCGCACAGCACGGCCGCGACGGGCCACCCTGCGTCATTGCACCGCGCCTCCTCCCCGGCCACCTGCGGGCCCGCGCCGTCCTCGGGTATCTCTGGAAGCGGAGCCATTCCCTGTGCGCTGGCGCGGGTGCGCGCCGCGGGCCTCACTCCGCGGCCTTGGGCGCGCGGCGGGCGAGTGGGGAGTGCCGCGAGGTGGTGAGACGCGGCGCGGGGCGCACCGGGGCCGCGGCGGCGCAGTGCGGGGCCCGGACGGGCGCCGCGGTCAGTTCGCGGAGCAGGAGAAGGCCAGCCAGGCGTGCAAGGCGGGCCGACGCGCAGGCAGGCTGAGATCGAGACAGCTTCGGTGCTTGGGCCACCGCTCAGCGCCTTTCGAGCGGCGCCGGGACGGGCGTGTTGAAGATGTCGGATCGCATTTTGGATTCCCATTGCAGTTTTTCCAGTAGAGCCCGTCTTTAGAGCCAGCCACGACCGAGGGAGCGCGCTCATCATCCCTCCCCGCCGAGACCGGCTCCCAGATCAATTGAGGCTTTCCTGGCAGCGACGGGCCCGCTTGTCTCGTAGTTGAATTAGAGCTCCGCTCGCTCGCGCGGGGCGCCAGCCATGCAGGCCGCGATGCGCGGGCCAGCGGCCGGCCAAGCTCCTCGCCCTCTCACCCGGCCCCCCTGCCCGCCCCTCCCAGGCCCCCGCCTGCGCCCCGCCGCCGCGGTCCCGCTCCGGGCCCATGGGCGCACCACCGCGAACCCGCTCCGCCCGCGGCGCCGCCTGCCCGCCCCCGCCCGACGCGCCCGGCCCCGCCCCGCACCGCGGCCCCTGGGCGGCCCCGCGCCGGCCGCACCTCGCGCCCCGGCCCGCGTCCTCCAGCGGCGCGGCCACCGCGGACGCCGGGGAGCCCGGCGGGCCCAACCGCGGCCTCCTCCAGGCCGCCCGCGAGACCGCGTCGTCCCTCGTGCAAGGCGCCCGGCGGTCCCACGGCCGCCTCGATGGCATGTGGGGCGACTTCCTGCCCATGGTCGCGCTCTTCTTCTTCATGGCGTTCGTCAACACCATCATCGACTCCCTCAAGGTCCGCGCGCCCGCGCCCGCGCCCCACGCCGCGCCCGCGCGCCGGTCCACCACCGCCCAGCGCCCCGCCCCTCCCACGCCCGCGCCAGCCCCGCCCACCCGCCCCGCGCCCGCGCCCGCCCCGCGCAGGACACGCTCGTCGTCACGTCCGTCGGCGGGGGCCCGCAGGTCATCCCGTTCCTCACCGTGTACGCCGTGTTCCCCTCGAGCCTCCTCTTCTTCACCCTCTTCTCCATCGGGACGCAAGTCTTCTCGCGCGCGGCGCTCTTCAACATCTCCATCTCGGCCTTCATCGCGTACTTCGCGCTCTTCGGCGGCTTCCTGTACCCGAACCACGACGTCCTGCACGCCACGGGCCTCGAACCCATCCTCGCCGCGCTGCCCCCGGGCCTCGCGGGCCTCGGCGGGATGATCCGGAACTGGACGTTCACGACCTTCTACTGCATCTCCGAGCTCTGGGGCGACGTCGTCCTCAGCCTCATGTTCTGGGGCCTCGCGAACGACACCACGCCGATGGACCGCGCCAAGGTGCTCTACCCGCTCTTCGGGATAGGCGCCAACGTCGCGCAGGTCTTCTCCGGGAAGCTCCTGCGCTTCATGGGCGAGTACGCGGTCGCGACGGACATGTCGTTCCGCACGCAGCTCCAGATCCTCCTCGGGATCTGCGTCGGGTGCAGCTTTTGCGTCCTGGGCGTGCACGCGCACATCATGCGGCGCGCGCGGGCGGCGAAGCGCGCCGCGAAGGCGGCCGAGCAGGCGGAGATGCAGGCGCGGATGTCGAAGATCGACCTCGGCACCAACGGCGCGGGCGCGGCGGGCAGCACCCCCCCGACCCCCCCCCCGAAGAAGAAGAAGAAGGGCATGAAGTTCGCCGAGGCCATGCGGTTCGTGACGTCGTCGCCGCAGATCCGGATGCTCGCGGTCATGTCGCTGTCGCAGGGCGTGTGCACGACGCTCCTCGAGTTCGCGTGGAAGTCGGAGCTCCGGCGGCTGCACCCGACCCCGCAGGCATTCAGCGCCTTCATGGGCGACGTGGCTGCGTGGACGGGCATCACGACGGTGTGCCTCATGCTCGTGTCGCCGTACTTCTTCTCGAAGATCGGCTGGACGGGCGTCGCGTCGACCTCGCCGAAGCTCCTCCTGTACGGCGGCACGGCCTTTTTCGTGCTGGCCACCGCGTCGCACGCGTTCGCGCCCGCGCTGAGCTCCGCGGGGTTCTCCGGGCCGGTCCTCGCCGCGCTCGCGATCGGCGGCGCCGCGCTGTACGTCCTGAACCGCGGGTGCAAGTTCTCCCTGTTCAAGCCGGCGGAGGAGATGGTATACATCATGCTGGACAAGGAGTCGCGGACCAAGGGGAAGGCGGCGATCGACGTGGTCGGCGCGCAGACGGGCAAGTCGTCGTCGTCGATCCTGCAGCAGCTGCTGCTCCTGCTGAGCGCCGGGAACATGACGACGATTCTCCCCGTCATGATGGGCTTCCAGCTGTACATTCTGCGAGGCTGGCTCAAGTCCGTGGTCGGACTGGGCAACTTCTACAACGAGAACCAGCACAAGATCGGATATCAGTCCACGCTGCAGTCCGTCGAGGACGTCAAGGGGCACGGGCCACCCGCGCAGCCGGCGCAGGGCCCCGCCGGCGCTCCGTCCCCCAGCTGACCGACGCCTCCCGTCGCGGAGCGCGCGTCACATTGCTCCCGGAGCTCAGGCACGATATGTGATCCCAGCTGCTCGGCAGCCGGCACCGCCGCGGCGAGAGAGCGCGGGGGGGGGGAGTCGCAATTCGCAACTTGAATCGAGTCAGGAACCCCGCATCACCTCTTGACCCAGTCCTTGCGAGTCCCGCGCACCCACTTCGCCTTGCGCCCCGCCACCGTCCGCCGCATCCGGTCCGGACCGCTCCCCGGTGGCGGCTTCGGCCCCCCGCTCGCCTTGGTCGCGCCCTTGTCCCCCCCGTCCTCGTCGCCCTTGCCGTCACCGTCCTCCGCGTCCTCCTCCGCGCCGCCCGCCTTCTCCTCCTCCTTCCCGGCGGCCTGCGTCGCCGCCGCGGCGGCCTCGGCCTCGTCGCCCTTCGCCGCCGCGTCGCCCGCGTCGTCGTCGCCGCTCGCCTTCGCAGCCTGGGCTGCGTTCGCGCCTGCCCCAGCCTTCGGCGCCTCCGTCGGCTCCTCCTTCGACCCCTTCTTGTCGACGGCGGCGGCCGGCTGCTTCGCCGCGGGGGGGGTCTTCACGGGGATGTCCTCCGGGGGTGGCGCGGGCGCTCGGTTCCAAGGGAAACGCGGCGCCGCGGGCTTCGCGGCCTCTGAACCCTTGGCCGGCGACGCGTCCTTGCGTTCGGCCGCGGCCTGCACGGGGGAGAGCGGGTCGTGAACGGCCCGGTGTTGTGACATGTCATGGAGACTCGCAGGGACGGGGCGACGCGCGGGGTCCGCACCTTGGCCTCGGCGGCCTGCTTCTCGCTCTCCTTGCGCTCGGCCTCCGCCTTCATCTCGCTCTCTTTGCGGTCCGCCTCCGCCTGCACACCCACCACAGGAACAACACACCCCCACGATGACAAAAACACCCCGCACGACCTACCACAGGCACCACACACGCAGCAATCACGCGAACGAGCCAGCTCCGTCGCTCACGCACGCACGCAACGCCCCCCTCCCTTTCCCCCGCTTCAGCAAAGCCGAGCGCACCTTTGCCTGTGCCGCCTTCAGGTTGGCCTCCACCTGCGCGATGCGCGCGTCCGCGGCGCCCTGCGCGGGCTTCGCGCTGGCCGCCTTGCTCGCGACCGCCTTCGCCGCGGCCGCCTTCGCCCTGTCGTCCTCCTCGTTCGTCGGGCCCGCCTCGGCCGCCGCCACCGCCGCCTTCAGGTCCGACACGCGGCGCTCCGCGGCCGCAAGCGCGCGCTCGGCGCGCAGCCGCGCGCCCTCCGCGCCCTCCGCGCGCACCCGCGTCTGCGCCAGCTGCGCCTTGGTCATCTGCAGCGACTCCGTCGTACGCGCCACGTCGCCACGCGCCTCCGCCAGCTCCTTCTCGAGCGTCGCCACGCGCTCCGTCAGGCTCTGCACCTCGGCCAGCGCCCCGCTCAGCTCCTGCGAGGTCTGCTCCGTCGTCGTCTGCAGCTGCTCGCTCGCCCGCGCCGACTCGGTGCGCGCCGCATCCAGCTCGTTCTCCAGCTGCGTGACGCGCTGCGTGGCCGCCTCGAGGCCGCCGCGGGCCTCCGCGAGCTCCCGCTCGAGCTGCCCGACGCGCTCCGAGGACGACTCGAGGTCCCCGCGCGTGTCGGCGAGCTCCTGCTCCGTGTGCTCGATCAGCGCCTGCGCCACCGACAGGTCCTGCTGGGACTGCGTGCACGCGGCCTCGAGCTCCTTCATGCGCGGGCGCAGGTGCTCGATGTCGTACTCGAGCTCCTTGTTCCGCGCACGGGTCTCCTCCAGCGCGCCCTTCAGCGCCTGCACACACACACACATACACACACGCACACCGCACCCTCAGCACAGCGCACGGGGGGCCCGTGCTGGACGCAGGCGCCCGGCGGGGGCACAGGCGCGGCGGGCGGGCGGCGCGGCGCTCACCCCGATGGCGTCGTTGGCCTGTTTCGACATGTTGATCAGTTCAGACTGGGAGTCGTTGAGCTTGTTCAAGTACGTCTCCCGGGAGCGCTCGAGCTTCTTCATCGCCTCCTCCATCGCGTCCAGCTGGTCCGAGAGCTCCCTGCGCAGCACGCGCGCGCCGGCGCCGCGGTGGGCGCGTGCGCGACGCGGCACGGCAACAACGGGCGCGCAGGGCGGGGCCGCGCGGCACTCACGATGCGGCCGCGGCCGTGGCCTCGTAGCGGTCCACGGCGACGACGACCTCCTGCTCCAGGCCGTCCGCGCGCTCCTCGGCCTCCTCCGAGCGCACAGTCAGCGCGGCAATCCGGTCGAGGGCTTCCTGCAGGTCGCGCTCCATCTCCTCCTCGTACTGCTTCTTCTCCTCCGCGAGGTCGTCCAGCGCGGTGCCGACCTCGGCCAGGGAGGTCTGCGCGGGGGGCGCCGGGCGCGGTTGGGTGCGGACGCAGGCCAGGCGCGCGGCGCGCGAGGGCGCAGGGGCGCGAACGCGCCGCTGGGGCCGCGCGGGGACGCACCTGGAGATCCTCCTTGTCCTGCTCGAGGTCCGCGACGTCCTGCTCGAGGTTCCGCTTCGTCGCAAGCAGCTCTCGCACCTCGGCGATCGCCGACTTGTGCGCCTTCTTGAGGACGGCCGCGGCCTCGCGTTCCTGCTGCAGGATGGCCTTCGTGGCCTTGTTCTCGTCGATCTGCGTCTCGAGGACCGTCCTCAGGTCGGCCACCTCGAGCTCCAGGGTCTGCTCGTGGTCCATCGAGGCTGTCAGCGCCTCTACGCGCTCGGTCAGGATCCTCTCCTTCTCCTCGAGCTTCTCCTCGAGCTCCCGGATGTTCAGGTTGGCCGCCGTCAGCGAGCCCTCGAGACTCTGCGCGCTCACGGGCGCGCACGCGCGGTCAGTCGACCGCCAGGCACCAACGGGCAGGTTGGCCCGCGCACGCCGCGCACCCGCGCGCTCGGCCCGTGCACGCCGCCGCAGGGGCCGCAGATTCGCACCTTGATGTCTAGCCTGGCGTCCTCGAGCCTCTTCTCCGCCTCCTTCTCGCGCGAGCGCGCCGCAACCAACATGGCCTCCAGGGAGCTCCCGGTGTTCTCCAGCGCCTCGCGCTGCGCCTCGTAGCTCGCCCGCAAGCTCTTCGACTCGGAGTTGAGCTTCTGCGTGGGCGGGCCGGCGCGCGACGTGGCCGCTGTGAGGCGCCGTCCCGCTGGATCAGGCACGCAGGCCACCGCGCGCGCGCCCGGACAATTCGCGGCATCACGCACGCCAGCGGCCGCATTTCCGGCATGTACGTCCACCAACCATTCCTCCTCGCGCGACACGGCCGCGCGGGAGGCCCGCGCCACGCGCCCCCGGCGCACGCATGGTGCAGCGCAGTCCACGCCCGCGGCAGCGCGAGCGCGCGCGGACACCGCGGCGAGGTACGCGCGGGCGCACACGCACCTGTATCTCCCTCTTCAGGTCCGCGACCTTCTCCTCCTCCTGGTCCAGCAGCGCCGCATACTGCGTGGCCTTGCCGTCCGCGGTCCCAAGCGTGCCCGCGAGCGCCACGTTCGCCACAACCGACGCGCCCGCGATCGGCGCCCACGGCAGGCTGTCCAGATCGAGCGAGACCGTCTCCGCCGGCGCCGCGTCCGGCTTCGTCGCCTCGGGCGCGAACACATCCTTCACTTTTGGGTTTTCAAGAATGACGGGCGGGTCGACCGCGCGGGCCGGCGCGGCGCCGGCCAGGGCCGCGAGGAGCCCGGAGCTCGCGAGCAGCGACGCGAGCGCGCGTCGCCGCCCGAGGGGCGCGTCGCCGCCGCGGGTCCCCACTCACCAGCGCGCACGTCGCGGGGGTTTGTTCGCCCCGCGGCGCACCCGACGCGCGTCCGCGCGGGCCGGCGCGCGCCGGAGATCGCCGCTGAGGCCTTCATCTGCTCGCGCGCTGCTCGCCGCGCAGGGCCGCCCACGCGCGCACGCTGCGTCGCTCGAGGGGGGCGCGTGGAGTCGTCGAGGACCGCCGTCGACACCGAGCTCCCGCGGGGTGGCGCTGACGCATTCGTGTGCTCCGACGCCGCGCACACAGTCTGGCCGGCCAGGCGCGGCGGGGACGCCCTTGGAGCCGCGGCGCGGCGCTGCAGGCGCGCCTGGAGGGGTCGGGGGCGCTGACCAGAGACATCCGCGCTCCGAAGGGGCGGCGCGGGGGGTGTTGGGGCCGGCGTGTGCGGTCGAGCGCCAGTTGGCGACGCAGGGCTCACGCGGCTGGCGCGCAGGCGGCCTGGTTCCGTCGGTGAGCGGCGTGCGCGGGACTTGTGGGGGCCAGGGCGAGTCTGGCCCCGCCGATGGCGCGTGCGGGTGCGGCGTGGTAGCAGCTGGCCGCAATGCCGAAGAGGCGGGCCGAGAACGGTCTCGAGCAGGAGGATTTGACGGGGGATGCGCCGCCCAAGCGCGCGTTTGCCTTCGGCGGGGGCACCGCTGGCCCCCCGTCCTTCGGCGCTGCGCCCGCGAACGGCGCGGCGGCGGGCCGGGGCGGCGGCGGGGGGTCCGACCAGCGCCGGGCGAAGCTCGCGGGGCGAATCGAGTCCCTGAACAGGCAGTTTGCGCAGTGGGTCCAAGACCAGGCTGCGGGGGGCGACACAAAGCGGGAGTTGTGGGTCGACGGGGTGCAGGCGTACGCCCGGCACGCGGACGACATCAAGACGGAGTTCCGCGACGTCATCGACGCGTTCAAGGACGGCGCGAAGCAGAGCAGCCAGGCCGCGCCTCCCAAGCCCGCCCTGGCTTTCGGGCAGCCCAGCGCGGCCGGGGCGCCGCGCACGACGTTCGGCGCCGGCGCGCCGGATAGCAGCGCCGACAAGGACAAGGGCGGCGATGCTGCGGCCCCGAGCGCCGCGCCTGCGAAGCCGGGGTCGTTGTTTCAGTTCGGCGCCAAGCCCGCCGCCGCGGCGAGCGACGCGGCCGGGGCAGACAAGCCGCAGAGCACGTTCGCGTTCGGGGCGGGCGCGGCGGGGTCGGGCGGCGCATCGAAGCCCGCGTTCGGGGCGCCGGGCCCGTTCACGTTTGGCGCCCCCGCCACAAAGCTGGCCACGGAGGGCCCTGGCAACAACAACGGGGCGGGCGCGGGCGCGGACGAGGACGGCGGAGGCGGGTCGGACGACGAGCAGGTGCGGGCTGGACGAATCGAACGGACTGCGCGGAGACAGGGCATGGTTCTGTGGACGGAGCCGCACGCAGACGTCTCCTCGATATGCGCACACGTCTCAGGCGGCGGCAAGTTCCCAGCAGCCACGTCGACGACCTTGCCGGCATCGTCGATCAGGCTGCGGTAGTCGTCGGCGGGGCAGCTCGCGGCGGACGTGGCTGCTGGGAAGTTGCCTGGACCTGAGACGTGTGCGTGTATCGAGGAGGCGGTGAGGCGTCTGCAGGGACGAGATGCGCAACGCCAGCAGCCCGCTCTTCTGCTTCCCCGACGTGTAGTCTGAGAGAGTAGACTGCATGTGTGTGTGTGTGCAGGGCGCCGGGTCGAGCGTGGTGGTGACGGCGGAGCCGGAGGACGACGTGAACGAGCTGGTGTGGACGGCGATGACGATGTACTTTATGAAGAACAAGGACCCGAACGCGGACGCCAAGGACGTGTGGAAGGAGATTGGCAAAGGGGGGGCGCCGCAACACGCACAACCACACGCACACGCGCACACGCACACGCACACGCACACGCACACGCGCAGGCGCACCCGGGTTACGCACACGGGCGCGCCGGCGCCGCACGCAGCGCGAGGGAGCACGTCATGTGTGACCAACTGTGTGTGCAGGGTTTCTGTCGATCAAGAAGCCCAAGGCGGGCGGGCGGCGGTTCCTGGTGTATCGCAAGCAGGCCGGGGGGCGCATCCTGCTCACGAGCCCGATCCCCGCCGGCATGGCGTTCAAGAGCGCCGCCAAGAAGAACGTCGGTACGCGCCTCGCCCCGCGCCGTGTCGTTTCACACGCCACCAGCGCGTCCCGATCGAGCGAGGGCGTCGAGCTCGGAGCGAGCCGTGCCCGCGCGTTCCTCCCTCCTGCGCGCAGTCGTCGGCAACGTGTATCCCGTGGTCAAGGACGAGGAGGGCAACGACAAGGTGTCGGACCCCCGGACGGTGCTCTTCAGGCTCAGGGACGAGGCCAAGGCCAACGACTTCCGCGCACAGATCGAGTCTGCAGCAGCCGAATGACACCGCCCTGCCTGTGCATGCGCTCACGTGTGACGCCATTGATCGAGCGCCCGCTCTCCGCCACAGGTGCATCGTTGCGTTGCCGTGCCCCACACCGCCGCTCCCGACGCAGCGCGCGACCTCACAGCAGAATGTGACACCTCACCTCAGCGACGCCGCAGCACCCGCCCGCGGCCAACTCGCCCAGCTACGCCCCGCGCGCCACCTCCCACTTCCACCCCACCGCGACGAGCTTGTCGAGCGCGACCTTCTGCCGCGCCCACGCGTCCGCCGCCTTCTCCTTCTCCGCCGCGAGCGCCTCGGCGCCCAGCTGCTCCTCCGCGGGGCCCGTCTGGCGCGGACCATGACTCAGGATCTCCCTCTGCACCGCCACGTGCTCCTCCAACCACCGCCCGACCTCCCGCTGCAGCACGCGCGCGTCCGCGAGGTGCCCGAGCGACACGAGCAGCTCCGCCAGCGCCCCGGCCTCCTTCAGCCCCAGCTCCGTCGGACCCAGGCTCTCCAGGTGCTCCAGCAGCCTCTTTTCCTCGTTCGCCGCGCCCGCGCGGATCCCCCGCGCCTTCTTGCCCTTGCGGCTCTTCTTCCCCGCGCGCCCGCCGACCGTCGACGGCGCCGCGACGCTGCTGCTCGCCTGCCCCGTCGTCCGCGTCGCCCCCGTCACCGCCGTCCCCGTCGTGTACGCCGTATACGCCGACGCAATCGACCCAGCGTCGCTCGCCACCTCGTGGTCCAGCACCGGCGGCGCGTTGTCCTCGTCCTGCGCAGCCGCCGCCTCGGCCTCGGCGAGCGCCCGCCGCTTCTCCCGCACCTCCACGACCCGCGCGTGGTACTTTCGCAGCTTGCTGATGCAGGAAGAAGAGTGTTCGAGGAGCTGCGCGGCGGCGTCCGCGGCCGCGGGCGCGACGATGGTCTCCTCGAGGTCCGGGCGCGCGTGCTTGTAGCACAGCCGCGCGGCGTACCGCCACTCCCGCGCCTGCGTCATCAAAGACACCCCCTCGTCGATGTTGCCCATGTACTCCGCCACGAGGATCCCCGCCTCCCGCAGCCGCCCCACGAACACCAGCGCGTCGCTCGCGCTCCGCGCCAGCTGCGCGCGCTCCGCCGGGCCCATCCCGAGACGCCCCGCGAGCGTCATCGCCATCTCCCAGTCGCCCGCCTGCAGGTACGCCTCGAGCGCCCCGCGCGCGTCGCCGCCGGCCACGAACGCCAGCCCGGCGTCCTCGGGCCGGTTCTGCCGCTGCAGACTCGCGCCCATCGCCGCGAGAACCCTCCTCTCGAACTCGGGCTGCTTGTCATACAGCAGGAGACACTCCCGGAGGAGCCCGCGCTCGGCGGCGAGCGCCAGCGCGTCGCCGAAGAACGCGTCGCCCGCGGCCGCCAGGTTCCGCAGCGCCTCCGACCACCGCTTGAGCTTCAGATCGATCCGGTAGCGGCGCAGTGCTTCCACGGGCTCGTCCGCGAGCGCCTGGAGCTCCTCGAGGACCTCTGCGGGGTCCATGCCCGACGCGGGGCTCGAGGCGACCATGAACGCGAGCTGCACGTCGTACATCGACAGCGCCGCGGTGTACAGCGACGCGCCGTCGGAGATGACTAGGAGGTGCCGCAACGCGTCCTCGGCGGACGGGGCGAGCTGCCCGGTCGGGCCCGGCTGCGCCTCGCGCGCGCCCTCGCTCTCGCGGAGCGTGCGGAGGACGCGGAGCGCGCCGGCGGGGTCGCCTTCGCGGATGTGTGTCGACAGCACTGCCAGCGTGTATCCTGCGCGGTCGACCGCCGCCATCGCGGCCCGGAGCGCCCCGCACACCGCCGGAACCTTCGCCCCGGTCTGCGCGCCGCCCACGCCCGGGTCGGCGTGCTCGCCGGCCGGCCACACCATGTCGTCATACACCCCCCCACTCGACACCGTGCTGCCCTCCTGCAGCGTCCCGACCAGGTCCATCAGGTGCGACGGCGCCAGAATGCTCTCCACGGCGGCCCTCGCGACGTCCGGCTCGAGAATCCTCGGCCACCGGTAGTCCACCAACAGGTTGAGGTCGACGCGATTCGCGGCGGCGACCCGGAACGCCTCGCGGTAGTTCCCGGCGTCGAGCGCCACGGAGACGGCCGCGAGGACGAGCACGCGCGGGCAGACGCCTTCGAGGTTGCCGCGAGGCGCCTGGAGGACCACCAGAGACCCCCCCGGGGGCGCGGCGATGATGTGGGACCCGTCCTCGACGATGCGCACGCGCGTGCTCTTGACCGCGGCGTTCGCGGCGTTCGGACGCATTGCCGCCTGCATCGCGAGGTGCATTCCGTCGCCCTTGTCCGCGCGCGGCGCGGGCGCCTGCCACCCGGGCGCCGCCTGTGCGTCTCGCGCGAGGTTGCCGAGCGCGCCGTTGCTCGCCGCGCGCCGCGCGACGAGCTCCTCCGCGAGCTCCCGCACCGGCAGGACGTGCATGAGGCCCGTGCGCGTCGTGAAGAGCAGGAACGCCCCCCCGGCGCCCCACGCGCGCACCCCCACCGACAACACGCCCTCCGCGACCGTCGCGCCGCCCCAGAGCAGCGCGCCGCCCGGCGTCACGCCCAGCAGCGGCGGCAGCGACGCCACCGCCCAGTGGTCCCTCGCGTCGCCGCTGCCGACCTCAGGACACGCGATCACGTCCGGACACGGCTGCCCCATGTGCAGCTCCGGGGGCAGCGCACGTGCTGCCCCAGAGGGGTCGACCACCGACAGCGACCCGTCCACGTGCTGCACCACCGCGCCGAGGCCGCGCACGCACGTGATCGTGAGGATGCTGCCCGCGGTCACGCTCTGCCCGATCAGCGTGCCGTGCACCGTCGAGTCCGGCGACAGCGCCGGCGGCATCTCGAGCTTGATCGCGCGCAGACGGCCCTCGACGGCCTCGTCGACGTCGGTGTCCGCGCCGCTCGCGGCGCACGACGCCGGCTGCGCGGCGGGCGCCCCGAACGACGCCACCACCAACACCCCCGGGGCCGCCCAGCCGATGTGCGTCACGTCCACGTCCTGCAGCGCGGGGAGCCCGTCGACGACGAGGTCGCGCGCCTTCAGCGCGGCGCCCGGATCGAACTCCCCCGCGCCCTCCGTCTCGCCGGACGCCCCCGTCGCCAGGCCCTCCAGTGCCGTGTCCTCCCACAGGTCCGCTTCGTCCGACTGCGCGACGCACACCCCCCCGCACGTCATCAGCGCCGCGAACGTCTCGTCCTCGCAGCCCGCGGCCCACGACAGCTGCCGCAGCGGCCGCGGGAACGCCACCAGCGCGCTGCACATCGGCGGCGGCACCACGCTGAGGCCCAGCGCCGTCAGCCGGGCGTGGCGGCCGTCGATCACCGCGGCGGTGCCCAGCGGGGACACGTCGGTGCCCGTCGCGATCTCCCACCGCCGGAGCGTCCCCGCCGAGGTGCACGAGTGCAGGAATCGCGGACTTTCCGGGTCCCACTGAATCGTCACGTGACGTCCGGGGAGCTGCCGCTCGTACTGGAGGTACCACCGCCAGTTCTGGCGGCGCCAGATCTGGACGAGGACGTGCGCGTCGTCGTCGCCGTCGGAGTCCGCGGGCGCGTCGTCGTCGTCGTCGCTCGCGCGCGGCCGGGACGCGACGGCGAGGAGCTCGCTGTCCGGGGACCACTGCAGCTGCGTGACGGTGCCGTGCGAGGGCAGCGTGAAGCCGCCGTGCTGCAGGCCGTTGCGCTCGTAGATGAGGACGTGCCCCGCGCCGTCGCCGTCCACCGCCGCGCAGTACACGTTTCGCCCGTTGGGGCAATACGCCACCGGGGGGAGTGTGCCCGCCTCGAGCTCCCCCGCCGACACGAGCGCGAGCCCGCCCGTGGACGTGCGCTCCCAGACGCGCATGCGCCGCTGGGACCCGTCCAGACCTGCGAGACGCACGCACGCACGCACGCACGGTGGGTGTCGCGCACAGCGCTCCACGCATCGCACGCGAGCGCCGGGCCGCGGCGCGGGCACTCACCCCCGCGCGTCACGCTCGCGAAGTACTTGCCGTCCTCGCGCCACGAGATCTCGCACGGCTCGTGCCCGGGGTCATCCGCGCCGCCCCCGTGCGGCGCCAGACACTTGTGCGACAGCGCCCCGCTGATGAAGGCCTGAGCGGGCTCCTCCGCGAGCACGACCCACTGCGTCGACATCAGCACGAGCGTGAGCTCGTCGTACGCGCACGCCAGCACCAGCGCGTCGCCCACGGGGCTGAGGGCCATGCCCAGGATGGGCGCGCCGAGGTCCGCAGTGAGCTCGAGCGTGCCGGCGTCGAGCTCGAGGGTGAGGATCTGGCCGCCGGACATGGCGAGGATGAGCGCGTTGAGCTCGAGGGAGTGCGCCATGCCGGCCACGCGTGGACCTGCGTCACGGGGGGGCAGTGTGGTGTTGCGGCGGGGCGGCGCAGGGCGGCCGTGCGGCGGGCGCGCTGGAGCGCGCTGCGGGCGGGCTGTGCGGGGCGCGGTCGCGGGCTCGCGCCGCAACGGTGGTGGCGGGACGCACCCCCCCCTAGGTCGTCGTTCGTTTGCGTCGAGAGGTTGATTTCGCACGCCTCCGCCTCGAGCGGGAGGAACATCTCCCAGAGCTCCTGCCCGGTGTCCGTGCTGACGCCGCACAGGGCGCACCCGCGCGACGCAAGGTAGGCTGCGTTGCGCTCCGGGTCCAGCACGAGGTGATCGACGCGGTTCCGCGCGTCCGCGCTGCCCGTCGCGAACGCCAGCTGCGTCGCGGTCTCCCGGATGACGCGGATGTTCCTCATCTTGCACCCGCGAGCGCGCCCCCGCGCCCTTCGCGCCTAGTGCAGCAGCCAACCGGCCTCGCCGCTCTCCCAGCCAGCGCACCGAGGTTCCACGCGCCAACGCCACGGTAACAGATCGACAACGATGTCACGACGACATGGCGTGCGAGGCGGAGCCGATCGCGCCGAATTGGCGACGCGGGACGGCACGGACTAGCACTCCGGACTCTTGATCGCAGCGTGCGTGGAGCTCCCGCAGTGAGCGGGGCCGTCAAGGTGCGCGACGGCGCGTCGAGGCCCGGGCATTCAGTGCGCGGCGGCCCGGACCGGACAGACGCACGCGGCTGCGTCGAGTCCCCGTCCACTGGGTCCGGGGGCGTCCTGCTGCACCTGGGCGCCCTGCGGTATAACGGGGTCGAGATGTGTCGCGCGCGGCGACAAGCCGCCGGCAGCGAGCGCAGGGCGTTCCGTTCGAGGCGTATTCCGTCCAAGCTGGAGGGTTCGAGGGCCGCCGCCGGCGCCTGCAGTGGACACTGAGAGCTGCGCGCACGTAGGGCGGTAGAGGACGGGCGAGATGGGGAAGGACGGCGAGAAGAAGGAGAAGAAGGAGAAGAAGGAGAAGAAGGAGAAGGCGCGCCCACCGCCGCCTGGACCGCCCATCCTGCGCGCGGCGCACCTGCGCACCGCGGCTCGCACCGGCGCCGGCGCGCCCTGCGCGGCGACTTCTCCGCGCTGGCATCATCCCGCCGGGGTTGTGTGCAGCGGCTCGCGAGCCGTGCCCTCCAAGGAGCACTGGCGCGCGTTTTATGCCCCGGAGCGGCCCGTGGGGCATCCGTCGATGATCTGCGACGCGGGAGGCGCAGTCAGGCGCACGCCGAGACTGCCAGACGCGCGCTGCGACGACGACTTGATCGCGGAGCCCACCGTGGCCGTGCGCCCCGCGCCCCCGGGCGCTGGACAGCGCGCCACTGCTCTGTCCCTGCGACGAGCGGGGGCGGCTGGGCCGCATGGCGCGAAATGCGCGGAGTTCCGCGACACCGCACGCCGGAGGACACCTAGGCCTTGCTCTCCGCCGCCCGGGCCGCACATTCCACGCGCGCGGCCGGCGGGGAGCCCTGCGTGAAAGTGCTGGCCCTGATTCGCGGCGTGCGCGCCCGCTCGCTGCAGAAGGAGAGCAAGGACCCCGAGAAGAAGGAGAAGAAGGACAAGAAGGACAAGAAGGAGAAGAAGGTCCGCCGCCATCCCGCGCGCCGCCCCTTCAGCGCTCCGCGTAGCGCTCCTGCCTCTCGCGCCTCCTCCGCGCCACACCACGCACCCACGATGCATCCGCAGGAGAAGGACGGGGGCAAGGATGCCCCGAAGAAGCAGCCGAGCCAAAAGCAGCAGCAGCCGGCCCCGGCGCCCAAGCCCAAGCCCAAGCCCAAGCCCAAGCCCGTGGTCCGCCGCAAGGACGACGGCGACTACCTCGGTGGCATCGACCTGCCGCCGAGCAGCAGCGACGACGAGGGCTCCGTCGTCTCGATGGACGACAGGCCGGTCGTGGTCCGCGACGCCGGGCGCGGCTCCGGCGCCGTGCCGCAGGTGTCGAAGAAGGAGGCCCAGAAGCTGCGCCGAAAAGAGATAGAGGCGGCGATGGCGGAGGCCGAGGCGAAGAAGGCCGCGGTCGCGAACGACGACGACCGCGTGTTCGACGTGTCGTACGAGGCCACGGGCATGACGGAGGAGCAGCTCGCCAACGCGACCGACATCAAGGTCTCCAAGCTCACGATCCGCGCCAAGGGCAAGCTGCTGCTCGAGGACACGGCGCTGACGATCGCGAACGGCCGGCGGTACGGCCTGGTCGGGCCGAACGGCCAGGGCAAGTCGACGTTGCTCAAGATGATTGCCAAGCGCAGCATTCCGGTGCCAGCGTCGATCGACGTGCTCATGGTGGAGCAGGAGATCGTGGGGGACGACCGCACGGCGCTGCAGGCGGTCGTCGAGGCCGACGTCGAGCTCATGCGGCTCCGCGCGGAGGAGGACCACCTGCAGCGCATGATGAATGACCTCGAGATCAAGGATGAGGACAAGACGCTTCCGGACGGGTCCGCGTACGACCACGACACGGCCGCGGACCTCCTGAACGGCGTGTACGAGCAGATGGACGTCATCGGCGGCTCCAGCGCCGAGGCGCGCGCGTCGAAGATCCTGCACGGCCTCGGGTTCACGCCGACGATGCAGGGGCGGTCGACCAAGTCGTTCAGCGGCGGGTGGCGCATGCGGATCTCGCTGGCGCGCGCGCTGTACGTGCAGCCGACGCTGCTGCTCCTGGACGAGCCGACGAACCACCTGGACCTGCGCGCGGCGCTGTGGCTGGAGGAGTACTTGCAGCGGTATAAAAAGACGCTCATCGTGGTGTCGCACGACCGGTACTTCCTGAACGAGGTGACCACGGACATCATCCACCTGCACGACTTCCAGCTGCACCAGTACCGCGGCAACTTCGAGCAGTTCGAGGGCATGTATGAACAGAAGCGCCGCGAGGTGAACAAGGAGTACGAGAAGTTCGCGAAACAGATGAAGGCCGCGAAGCAGACGGGCGGGAAGGCGGCGCAGAAGAACGTCGAGGCGAGCGCGAAGAAGAAGGCCGAGAGCAAGGGCAAGGGCAAGGGCAAGAAGCAGGCGGCCGGCATGGACGCCGCCGACGACGTGGTCACCGCCGCGCCGCGCAAGTGGCACGACTACTCCGTGCGCTTCGACTTCCCGGAGCCCACGCTGCTGCCGCCGCCGCTCATGCAGCTCAACGACGTGTCCTTCAAGTACCCCGGCCGCGAGGACTTCGGCATGCGCGACCTCAACGTCGGCATCGACATGGGCTCGCGGATCTGCATCGTCGGCCCGAACGGCGCCGGGAAGACCACGCTGATGAACCTGCTCTCCGGGGACCTCGAGCCGACCGAGGGCTTCTCGCGGCGCGACCCCAAGCTGCGCATCGGGCGCTACAACCAGCACTTTGTCGACGCCCTCACCATGGACGAAACCCCGGTGTCCTACCTCATGAACAAGTTCCCGGAGCTCGGGTACACGAAGGAGAACATGCGCGGGATGCTCGGGCGGTTCGGGCTGTCCGGCGCGCACCACCTGCAGCCCATTCTGAAGCTTTCTGGGGGCCAAAAGGCGCGCGTGGTGTTCACGGCCATTGCCCTGAGCGCGCCGCACATTCTGCTGCTGGACGAGCCGACCAACCACCTGGACATGCAGTCGATCGACGCGCTCGCGGACGCGATCGAGGAGTTCGAGGGCGGCGTGGTGATCATCTCGCACGACTCGCGCCTGCTGTCGTCGGTGTGCGAGGACGTCGAGCGGTCCGAGGTGTGGATCGTCGACGACGGGACGGTCACGCCGTACAAGGGCGACTTCGAGGACTACAAGGACGAGCTCATCAAGGAGATCGTCGACGAGCTCGAGGCGGAGTGAGAGTCCGCCGCGGAGTCAGGGGGGGGTTGTTAACTTTACTCATCAACACCGGACGGGCGACCGCGGACGGCCGCGCGTGGCCGCTCGACGCCGCGCTCGCGGCCGTGTAACGCAGGCGCCCTCGCATGCGCTTCACCACGCTCTGCGTTGCTTGCGCAGGCGATCAATTACTTGTTTCGCTCTTCGTACGCTCGGCCGCTGCGCGGTCGAAGCCGGGCCGATGTTCAGGTCACACGACGCGCCGGCTGCCGCCAGGACCGGCGCGCGCAGCGAGTCGGGCAGTCCGCGCCCCTGGACCGAAAACCTGCCGTCAGATACAACTTTGGCATCTTCTGCGCATCGCAGCGCGGCCGAGGCCCTCTACGCGGGCACGAGGGCGTCCTTGAGCATCTTGAGGCCGCCCATGAGGACGGGGCCCGGGACCTTGGCGATGCCGGACAGCCCCGCGGCGCTGCCGCCCTGCTGGATGGCAAAGGTGGCCAGGGGCAGCAGGCCCATGTTGGCCGCCACGGCCATCGCCATCTTGAACGTGATGCTGTTCCGGAACCCCTGCTTCTGGCCCAGCAGCTCCTTGGACAGCTCCTTGAATTCGCTGAAGTCGAGCCTGCATCGCGGGGCACAGCGCGCCGCCAACCGCTCGGTCCCTGCGCGTCGCGCTGCGAAGCTCCGCGGCCGGACATCCCGACCCGGCCCTCCCTCGTGGTGGCGGCTTCGCGCTCGAGCAGTCACCTCGGCGCTAGCGCGCCGGACGGACCGCGGAGGCGCACGGGGGCCCATTGCTGTGCAGCTTGCCCCGGGAGCGGCGAGCGGGGACGCGCCCCGCTCGGCGGCGCCTCTCGAGGCAGCCATAGAGCGCAGGCGCGTCGCGGACAGCGCCGCGCGAGGCTGTGCTTCCCGGCTGCGGGCCCCGGGCCGCGCTCTCCAACTGGTCCAGGAGGGCTGCGGGCCGCACGGCGTGCACAGCGCACCTGGCGTTCTCGTCCTTGTCGTGCCGCATGAGCATGCCCATGACCTCGGTGTGGTTCGGGGCGGTGAGCTTGACGGGGCACTTGCTGTTGATCTTGAGGTAGAGCATCAGAATGCCAATGTGCAGCTCCTTGGCGTCAATCTTGCCATTGGAGTCGACGTCGCAGGCCTGGAACGACGTCCTGCAGATCTTGTCGAACACGGCGCTCTCGTAGAAGTTCCCGATCGGCAGCATCTTGCCCGCGCTGCAGTGCCAACAGTCACAAGGTCAAGCGGAGCTCGTGCGGGCAACCCCGAGCGTCTAGATGCGTGCGGACCGCGCGGCCGAGTTCACGGCAGCGCGTTCTCGCGCCCGCCAATCACGCCCGGCGCGCCCGCGACCGTCTCTCGCGCACGCCAGACCCCCCCCCAGCCTGTCGGTTGCGTGCCCCGCAGTCCGCCGCCGTGCGGCCGCACATCGCGCGCGGCGGGGCGAGGAGCGCGGACAGCGACTCTGTGGCCGCTGGCGGAACCGGGGACCGCGCTGCCAGTCGTCGTCGCGCGTTCGATCCACCACATGGTGGCATGACGTCATCAATGCCAGGGCGAGGGGGCGCGGGCGGCGGGTCCGCATCGCCGGCGGATCGAGCGGCGCGGGCAGTTCGAGGCTGGTCTCGACGATCGCCTCGCGCGAAGAAAGCAGGCGTTTGCGCGGCGCGCTGATGGGCGCGCGAGGTGGACGATTGGTGGGCCGGTGGAGTGGCGGGTGCCGACGGGACGCGCGGGCTCGGCCGGCGAAACACGGCGACCCGGCCTGCGTGGACAGCTCGTTGCTCCGAGCAGGAAGGTCGTTCGCTTTCGTCGCGGCGTGCGGGGTGCTGTGGGCTGCCAGTGGAGTCGCGGCGTCACAGGAGTTCACCTCCAGCGCCGGGACCTCGCAAGCGGGCGCGACGCTGTCGCGCGTCCCCGGCGGCGGTCCCCTGGGCAACGACGTCATCCTCAGCGCCGCGTACGGCACCGCGCAGCAGGACGTGCGGGCCCGACGCGCCGGGGGGTACTCCGCGCTGCGGTCGGAGTCGACGAGCGTGAGCGTGTACGCCGGCGTCCAGAACCGAGAGACGCGGCAGGATCTGGGCATCCGAACGACGTACAACCACAACTCCCGGAACGCGATATACCCCGACAGGTTGGCGCGCACGATTGGGGAGGGGTTGGAGGTGCAGGACGTGGCGTTCGCGGACGCGTTCGCGGGGCCGCGCGGCGCGGTGGGGGACGCGGACGTGCGGGCGGGGTCGTTCACCGGCAGGGCCGGCGCGGTGTCGACGGGGGCCACGAGTCGGCATCGCGCGACGGCGATCGCGGAAGACACCCTGTCGTCCTCGTCTGCGTTCGCCGCTTACGCGGGGTACAGCGTCGCTGACCGAGGGTGCGCGCGCGCGTTCGGATCGCGCCGCGCAGCCTCCAGGTCTCTGGCTGCTGTTTTGCTTGCTGGTGCTGCTGCTTGCTCTTTGCCGAGCGCGACCGTGCAGAACGCGACTTTCGCGCACGCAGAGGCGTTCCCCCGACTGTTGGAGCCACGGACCTGTCGCTGTACCCCGCTGCGGCCGGCCTCGGCGCCGACGGAGCTCTGGAGACCCCCCCTGGCGCCGCGTACGGCTACCGCCCGACGGGCACGGACTCGTTCACGGTCGTGACGTCCACCGGCGACGCGAGAGCGGACGCGAGGTCAGCATCGCAGCACACCCCCCCGTCTCGCTGCAGCGATCGAATGGCTCGATGTCAAACATTATGTATAAATAAATTATGCGGCATGTTCAAGCACAGCGTTGTGCTGTGCGACTGCGACGGACCGGTCCGCGCGCGGCTCACCGCTGCTGCAGGGGCGTGGAGTCCGCCACGGTCGTTCCGGCGCCCGTCCTGGCGCGGAACATCGCGCTGAACATCGCGCGCCGCCGCGACGCAGACGCGCTCTTCGATCCGGCCCTGGCGAACGGCATCGGTCCGGGGTGAGCGCACCGCCCCTCCAGGCGCACAAACTCTCATGTGCGCCTCCTCCCACTGCGCGCTGCCCACGCGTCGACCCGCGCTCCGTCGCAGGCCGGATGAGATTCTGGGCGAGGACCCACTCAACCCTTTTCGGTTCGTGCCGCCGGACCGCGACGCCCAGATCGCCACGACGGGCTTCTACCGGGCGTTCCCGGGCATGTTTGGCGGCATCGCGCCCTACATCCCGTCGCCAGCGGACGCCGAGGCCCTCGACACGTTGTACACGTTCCAGCCCGCAGCCTACACCACGAGCAGCAAAGGCACGCCCATTCCCTTCTTGCCCCGCCATGCGCCCCTCTCGGCCACGCGCGGACCCACCGTGGCCCTCGTGTGCCCCTCTCTGCAGGCCTGGGGGGGGTGTCTAACATCGAACCAAACGACCCGTACTTCTTCGACGGATACGGGTGGGTCGACGCGGTCACGGGCGCGTACGTTCCCTTCAACGTGCGCCGCGCGACGCAGGAGTCCTTCATCAGCGAGCCCGTCGGCCTCGACACGTTCGGCCGAGTCCTGCCGCTCCCGCCCATTGCCATGTTGCCAGAGCCGGCGGCCGTCCTCGGGGCACCGGGCGACTCGAACAAGGCCGACGCCGCGCCGGTGGCGCAGGTTCCCGAGGCCCTCGCGACCGGCGTCGGCGCCAGCACCCTCCCCGTCGACGAGCTGGCCGCCGCGGCGCTTGACGCCTTTGGATTCTCGGAGGGGGGTCTTTTCGACCCGGACTTCCCACGGCCGCCCGCGGTCGAGGTCCTGCAGCGCGACGTGGCCGTCGACTTGTCCGACGGCCCGAGCGCGGGCGCGGGGATCCGCACCGCGCGTGTCGTAGCGCCGACGTTCCCAGAGGAGCTCCCGTTCGATCCCACGGACAACCTCCCGGACCTCTCGCCGCTCGACGGCACCGGCGTGCCGCTGTCCGCGCTCCCGATCGCGAACGTGCCCCGTTCCGGCGGCCCGGCGTTCCGCATCTCGCCGACCAACCGCGTCTATGTCGATCCCCTGGGGCCGCTCGATGCGCTCGACCCCGCGCTCGAGGGCGCGGACGACGGCGACGAAGGTGCGGCGCCCCGTCCGGCGGGCCGTCTGTCGCGCGTGCGCGCCCGTGCCGACCCGGTCTGCCGTCGCGGGTGCGTGCAGACATGTTCCTCGGGCCGCCCGTGGTGCCGCCGGGGGACTTTGGGTCGACTCCGCCCCTCGAACCACGCCTCCTCCCCTTGATCGATCCCGGCCTCCCGGACGCCAACGTCGGCCCTGGTACGCCTGACGTGCACGAATCGTTCACGCTCAATACCCCCCCCTCGCGCCTTGGCCCGCCGCGACCCCCCCGGCGCCCCACCGGCGCCTTCGAGCCTCAAAGTGCAACGCAGACCTGGGTCTGGGGACCGACCTGGGCCCCGGCGTCGTTCCAGGAGTCCCGATCTTTGACGACGAGCTGGCGGGTGACTTTGGGTTGGCTTTCGCCCCCGAGCCGCTGACCCTGGAGGCCGTGCGCGGCACGCCCCGCGAGCGCATGTACAGGACGTTCGTGGACTTCCGCGAGCAGAGCATCCGCGACGCGCGGCGCGACTATTTCGACCTGCCCGCGAGCCTGCTGCCGCTGGAGATCACAGCGGGGCTGGACGCCGCGGCGAGGTTCAACCAGCTGGGCTCGGACATCGCGCAGCTCGTGCTGGACAGGCGCGACGCGGAGGTGCGCGCCCCGGACCGCCCCAGTGTGCCACCACCAAAGCGCACACGTAGGTCGTTTCGCGGCGGAAACGCGGCGCGCGGTTCGAGCGGTCGTGCAGGACGTCGTGGACCGGGCGCTCGCCAACACCGTGGCGTGAGACGAAGCGCGAGCGCTCGTGGTGGCGTGAGGACTCGAGCGTGGCGCGGCGACGCGTGCTCTCGCGCGGGTCAAACCCGCGTGTTCGCGCGCAGGCTCGGCGTGCGCCGCACGGCCGCTTCGAGCCACGGCCCCCGGGGGTCGGATTCGCGCGACCGCGTGACGTGTGCGGCGCCCCTGCCGGTTGGCAGTGTCCGTCACATCGGGCGACGAAACTCCCCCGTTCTGGATCTGACCCGGCCTTTGACGCGCGACGCAGGACCAGTAGAGCGTGAGTGAGGGGCGAGGGTGTGAGAAGGGGCCTCCAGTGGCGGATACATGGCGGAAAACGCAGCGATAGCACGGTCGGTCATCAACATGCGTGTGCCGCTGCGCCGGCGGCCTGCGGGCGTCGCTGCCTCTCAATGCACGCTCGCCGAGGTGCGATAGGCTCACAGCGACGGAGAAATCCCCAGAAGGGCTCCGAACGGCCGTTGCACCCCCCTCCGCGCTGGAGTTGCCGCGCGTGCCCAGCCGTCGCGTCTTCGCGTCCACGCGGTGCGGCGCTGAGAAACTCGGCATCCCTGCCACATACCACGTGGCAGCGGTGCCGAAGCGCGAAAGACTTCCACAAAATATGGCGCGAGCTGACGGGATTCGGTGTCAGACCGATATCCCCCTAGCGGCAGACGTCCTGCTGTCTGGCCAGGGCGGCCGGGGGGCCACAAGGGCGCCTTGGCGCGCGCCCCCTCGCGAGTGTGGGCGTCGAAGCTCCCCTGCAAGTCCGCCGAGCAGCGCCTGCCCGTCGTGCAAGCGCGTACGGGCACTCAACTGCCACCTTGCTGGCTCCCTTGCCGGTCGCGCGGGCCCCGCAGACGCCGGTCTGAGTCGCTGCGGCCTTCCTGGTGTTCTGTTTGGCACAGCCGGTGATACAAGATGTTCGCCTGCTTCGCCGGTAAGGCGAAGGCGAGAGGCGGGTCGGGGCGCGGAAGGTGCGTATCGGCTGGCCCGCGTCGTGCGCGGTTGCGCAGCGGCAGACGGCTGCAGGTCGCGTGAGACGCGTGCGAAGCGGGTGTGCCCCCGGACGGAGCTCAACGCGATGGCTCGATTCCCCACTGCAGGATGCCCTCCCGCTCCGACAGCGAGCCGGCGCAGACGCACACCCCGATCGATCGGCTCCACAGCAAAGCAGAGGTATTTCTGGGAGGTATTCCGCGCGAGAGGCATGCGGAGGCAGGCCAGCGCCGCTTGAACTGGCAGCGGAGCGAGGCCGTCCGCAACGCGGCTCCCGGAGCGGAAGCGTGGTAAGATTCGCCGCGTTCCGAGCTCCTCCTCGCTGGATATCCGCGTGACGACCCCATTCCGCACGATTCGCTGCATCGCGCGTCACAGCGACAGCGGCGGGAAGCGACCCTCCGATACGAGCAATGCCGCCCCGCACGCTGCCCGCAGGGGGGACATCGAGTCGTCGCACGACAGCGACTCGAACTTCCTGCACGCTTCCACGAGTTTTACGCAGAGGTTCGCCCCCACGGTGTCCTGCCCCGCCCCTAGCTCCACCACCGCAATGGCCCTCGGCGCACAGGCCGACACGCCTCACCCGAGCGCCCCACCACGTCCACGCAGCCTCGACCACCAGCTGGCCCCAGCGCGCCCCGCTCGGCTGCGCGACGCGGACACGTACAGCAGCCTCACCCAGGGCAACACCGGGTGCACCTGGGCCGACCTGCTCTGCGAGGACGGCGCGTCCGCCCTGCGCAACGAGGACCCCTCCCGCTTCGACCCGCGGATGCTCGGGCCCCTCGTGCCCTCCACCTGGCCCGGCGCCACCCGCCCCAACGAGCTGCAACTCGCGCCAGGTGCGACTGCGCGCGCGGGCCGCGCCCGCCGGGCCCCTGCGCGCCGCCATGCTCTCGCGCGATCGCGTCGTGCATCCCCGACGCCCCCGCGCCTCCGTTTCGTCGTCTGCAGTCGCGCGCGACGAGGAGAGGGCGCTGGTGGCCGCGACGTCCCGTGAGGAGGGGGGGCTGGCGGCCAAGGGCAGCCGCTTCGCCGACCGCTACCTCGCGAACCCGTCGTTCAACAGCCAGCGCGGCGGCTGGGGCGCCCGGCAGCCGCAGCGGCACAGCTCGCTGCGTCAGGTGGCCCGCGACGCCAGTCGGACCAGCAAGGATGCCGGCGGCGAGCGCGGCACGTGCGACGGGTACCGCGCCGTCGAGCACGGGGCCCGCCGGGAGGACACGACCGTCCCGGGGGACGCCGCCCCCGAGGGGGGGGTGTTTGCCGCTGCCGCGGTGTGCGGCCGCGGAAGCTGTCCGGGCGGGGCGCGCCCCTCGGCGCTCGCCTCCGGGGACTTCACCTCCGTCCGCGAGATGAAGCACGCCGGCTCGGACGAGCTGCCGCCCGTGGACGAGCACGCCGTTCAGCCCGCTCTGGCGCAGAACTGCGCATGAGCGGTGCACGCTCTGGCCGGCCGCGCACCCTGCCGATCCGCCTGTTCGGGGCACCACGCGCGCGCCCTGCCTCGATTCTATCACCCCCCCGCCCTTCCCTCGGAGAACCCGGCCCGCTCGGCCGCACCGTGAGCGCACGCGATTTCGCGACGACAGCACGCACACGAACAGGCGCGGGGGCGCGCACCGCAGAATTGCGGCCCCCAGCACCGCCCCCCTGGCTCGTACTCTCAGCCCCTCCGTTCCCACATGCATCCTGCTGCGTGCACACGCACAAGCACAGTGCTTTGCGCCATCTCTCGGATTCTACCTGTCGCGCCCGCGCACGCAGCTATCGTGCGACGTGACAAGTCTGCCCCCATCAGACCATCTGCACGACGATTCCCCCCCGCCCCCCCTTCCCCCTTCCCCCCCCTTCAGGTGCCCTGCCTCTTCCCGACTCTTCTTCAATTGAACGACCGCCTGCTGGTCCCAAGTGCGCCCCGCGCGGCCCCACCCGCCGCGGCCGCCCCGGATCTGCAGAGGATCCTGCGGGCGCGCCGCTGGCCCCTGTGCAAGCATGCGAGCGACAGATCGGCCACGACATGCGACCCGAAGTGACTTGCAACCCTGACTGTACAGCACAACCCAGACTGTGCGGAGAAAAGAAAAAACAAACAACTTGCTAGAACCGGGACGTCCGCGGACCCGTCACACCGTGCGTGCGGCGCCCGCAGCGGCCCCCCCTCAGGTGGGGGGTCGCACGGCAGCAGCGCACGTGTGTCGGGCGAACGCGCATCACGCGCGTGACGCAGAGCCGCGCATCGTATGTTGATACCAGGCGTACGTCCCGCCTGGGTGGACGGGACAAGTCCCGCCACCTCGACTCGGAAAGAATTGAATTTGTGACTCGAATATTCTTCTCACTTCCGCGCAACTCCGATCTTGTGCCGCACCTCCGCGAGGCCGAGGACCCGCGCCACGAGGCCCACGGCGCCCGGCAGGCGCGCCCCGACCTCCCCCACGACGCGCACCTCCGCAAATCCCGCGCCGCGCACCAGCGCCTCCGTGTCGCGGTCGAGCCGGCAGCCCTTCCGGAACATCACCTGCGCCGCACGAAGGACAACAACGGCAACGTGTGTGCGTGCTGCGGGCGGAGCGGCCGTGTTCGTCGTTCGCCGCGTCGGGGACGCACGCTAAGGGGGTTGAGGACGGCCATGGCCAACCCTCGGTGGTCGGCGTCGGGCACGTGCTCGAGGAAGAGGAGGACGCCGCCGGGCTTGAGGACGCGGTGCAGCTCGCCCACGGAGCGCATCGGGCGGTGCAGCGAGCACAGCGTGAGAGTCGAGACCGCCACGTCCACCGAGCTGTCCGCAAACGGCAGCGCCTCGGCGCCGCGAAGCTCCTGCGCGAACGCCAGGTTGCTGGGCCACGCGTCGAAGCGCTTGTCCCGCTGCACGCGCGTGTCCAGCTTCTTCGCGTTGTACGTGCTCGGGTCCACCCCGACGAGCCTGCAAGCCCCGACGTCACACTTACACGTTGCACGTCGTGTCAAGGGGCGGGCCCGGGCGCCCGCTCAACGCCCGCCCGAGCCGCGACACGCCTCGCTGCGCCGGGCGCTCTGCAGGCTTCGGCGCGCGCGGCGCGCGCGGCGCGGGAGGGCGCAGCGCGCATAGCTGCAGCGTGGCCGCTCCGGCGCACCTGACTTCGCGGTCCTTCAGCGGCCCCGCGGCGGCCTGCTGGTAGAAGGTCATGTTTCTTTCGCAGTCGCCGATCCCGATCTCCACGACCGTCAGGGGCTCTTTCCGCCTGCTGGCGCCCGCGCTGGCCTCCTGGGCGATGCGTGCGAGAAGGTCACGCCGGTACGGCTCCAGCTGCTCCTCGTACCTGGCCTCGCTCTCATCAGACGTGGCAGTCGCGTGCAGCAGCGCGGCCTGCGCCGCGACTGCGACCACCCCGATCGCCCACTGCCACTTGCTCATGCGCCGTAGCCCCTGCCCCAGCGCCAGCGGCACGCCGCCGGGGCGCCCCTGGGCCCCGCCGCCGGAACCCTGTTGCGACATGCCGTATCGCGCTAACGCGGCATCAGAGGCGGCCAGCGGCCGCGAGCCTAGCGGAGGCGGAGCTGGCAGTCGAGAATTAGGGGAAGGGCGTGTGCTCGCAGCTGGTATCACTTGAACGCTGGTAGGGGCGCGCCTTCGACGGCCTGTGATGGGCGCTACTGCGTCGCAGCACTGCCATCCGATCGTGTTGTACGCGCAGCCGCCGCGAGTAGAACTTGACAGGTGCCTGTGCCGGTGGGTGCCTTTGCCCCAGCGCGCGACGGAGGGGCGGCCGTTCGCACAGCACTCCGTCGCCCCGTGATGTGGACGCGATAGACACGAGGACTCACTCCTCGGTCTGCTCGTGACTCGCGTCGTGGCGCGGTGCGAGGCCTCAAACAGCCCCGCGTGTGTGCGCGCGATGGCGCCGGGACGCGACGACGGGGTGGCGGACGCGTGGCGCGAGTGGCTCGACGCTTCCCTCGCGAAGTGGGAGGACGCGAGCCTCCTGCGGAAATTCCGCCCCGTCGAGCCAACAAGCAGCGCGGTGGTGGTCCAGATCAGCCACGACGTCCGCGACGAGTGGCTCGCCGACGCCGGAGGCGGCACGTGCGGCGCGCCGGGATGCACGCAACGGACGACGCACGCCCACGGCGCGGCGCTGGACGCGCTGTCCGCGGTAGCCCCCGGCGGGGCCACCCCTTGCACGCGTAGCGGCGTGTCGGCGGCGCCCCGTCCAGAGCAGGCGTCGAACCTCGTGCTGTTCAGCTCGAACGACTACCTCGGGCTATCCTCTCACGAGGGCGTCCGCAGCGCCGTCGCTTCGTCCGCTGCCCGGCACGGCATGGGCCCTCGCTCGAGCGCCATCGTTGCCGGGTACACCGCGGAGCACCGCATGCTGGAACGCGCGCTGGCGGACCTCAAAGGCACCGAGGACTGCGTTCTCTGTCCGACGGGCTTCGCGGCGAACCTCGCCGCGATCGGCGCGCTCCTCGCGCGCACGGACGGCAGCGGGGGGCGCGTGGCGGTGTTCAGTGACGAGCTGAATCACGCAAGCATCATCGACGCGGTGCGGCTGGCGCGGACGCCCGCCACGGACGTGCACGTGTACCGGCACAACGATACGGCGCACCTGGACGCGCTCCTGTCCGCGAGCGACGCAGATAGGAAGTTGGTGGTCACCGACAGTCTCTTTAGCATGGATGGCGACTTCGCGGACCTGCGAGGACTCGCGCGGCTGCGCAGGAAGCACGGGTTCATGCTCCTCCTCGACGAGGCCCACGCTACGCTGGTGCGCCGCGCCCCCCGCCCCCGCAGTCATGCATGCAAGTGTGCAACACAAGTCCTCAATTCTCGACTGGTTGGAGCGCGTTCTCACCTGCAGGTGTGCGGCGAGCGTGGCGGCGGCGCGGCGGAGATGATGGGCGTCGAGCGCGACGTCGACGTGCACGTGGGCACCCTGAGTAAGGCCTTTGGGTCCCAGGGGGGGTTCGTGGCCTGCAGCGCGGCCCTCAAGACCTGGATCGCCAACCGTGGACGGGCCTTCGTGTACTCCACGGCGCTGCCGCTGCCCGCCGTCGTCGCCGCCGCTGCAGCGCTGCAGGCGTCCAAGGTGCGCCCGTCACTGTGCTGCACGCACGCGCAACAGGTGGTGGGCGCACGTCGAGTTGTGTGCTGCGGTGAAAAGGCGCAGCGTACGGTTCGGTGCGACGTGCAGGAGGAGCCGTGGCGGCGGACGCACGTGTGGAGCCTCGCGCGGCACGTGGGGGGTGTTCTCGGCGTCCGGGCAGACTCCCCCATCATCGCTGTCGTCGTGGGCGACGAGAAGAAGGCGATGGCGCTGAGCGCGCGGCTGCTCGCGCAGGGGATGTACGTGCCCGCGATCCGGCCCCCCACGGTCCCAGCAGGTCCGAGCCCGGTGCAGCTGCGGCCCCTTGGTGCACCTGCGCCCATCACGACGCGCAGTCACGCGCACCGGCTCCTCCGACGTGCCCTCGCAGGGACGAGCAGGCTGCGGATTAGTCTGTCGGCGGCGCACACTACCAGTCAGGTCGACGCGCTGCTGGCGGCGATTCAAGCGGGCATGCGGGACGCCGACGTGTCGCCAGTGCGACTCGAGGTGGCGCAGAGCGTCAACCGCACCCTCACGGTGGCTCGCAGCAAGCTCTAGGCTGCAGGGATTCATGTCACGGGATCACTGCGGCCTGTCAGGTTCGGCCCGTGCCGTTGATCTGCCGCTGTCTGAACACCACTGCGCTGCACATCACTTGCCGCGCCACCGCCTCCCCGCACGCGCATCACGCCGCAGCTTGCGACCGCGTCGTCCGCTGCTCGAACGTATACGCGTCCCGAACCGTCCCCACCACCTCCTGCGCGCAGAGCGCCCCGATGCGCGAGGCTGTCACTGCTGCGCGCAGCTAACGGCGCGCGCTCCGCGAGCGACCGCGGTCGACGTGACCAGCAAGGCATCGGCGCGGGCGGGCGCGGACGGACGTCGAAGAGCTCCGGGCAGGTCCTGCTGATGCGTGCCAGCATGGCGCTCTCGCGGCGGTTGGAGGGGACGAGGGCGCCGGCGCAGGCCCCGAGGATCTCGTAGGAGATCTCCTCGACCAGGGCGATCTTGCAGTCCCTCTGCTCCTTCGTCCGGTACTTGTAGTAATCTCGGATGTTGGCGCGCAGGTCCTCACACTCACTGCAGCATGGCGCGACAAGTGCTGGTTTCGCCGTGCACAGAAACGACGCGGTGCGCGGACGTCGCAGCTGGCCTGTACCTGTCGTGGAAGGCCTCGAGGAGGTAGAACGCGGCCACGATCTCGTCACGGCCGCACGCTGCGGTGACGGCGCCAGCTTGCCTTGCCTCCCCGAGCAGCGCGAGCAAGGCCGCGAGGGCCTCCGCAGCTTGGCAGGCCTCGTGGTCTCCGTCGCGGGACACGTTGTAGTGCTGCCACAGACCGGCTTTGCGGACCTTCGGGTCGTTGACTGCGCGGCGTCTGCGTGCCATGCAGCTTAGCAGCGACCGGCTCAGCTTGAGGTCAAGGAGCACGCGCCGGATCCACGCGTCCTCGTCTCTGTCCTCGTCGCCGTTTGCGGCCTTGTCGCGGCGCACGGCGGCCCCTCGCTGCGGCCGTGGCCTGTCATCTCGGTCCCTCGGTGCGGGCGAGTCGCCGCGACCCCGCGAGGCAGCAACGCCGCCCAGCTGGGTCCGGACGAATTCCGACAGGGCCTGCATCATCCCGGGCGAGAAGCGTGGCAACTCCAGGCGGGAGTTTCGCCCTCAAGCTTGCATCGTCCCTTTGTTGCCGGCAGCGGCTTCGGCGCGCATCACAGCTTCGGTTCACGGAATCACGGGTGCAGAGGAAATATTCCGCCGTCGCTCGCCGAGGTCCGCTTCTCAAGACGCCGTCGAGCGGCTGACTGCCGTCCCACGTAAGGGCCCCACGTAATGCCTCGGCGCGTGGACACGAGGCGGGGCCCGATAGCGCGTAACGCGACATATTTCGCCTCAGTCTACATGCCTCGAGCACGTGTCTGCACGGGAAACGACACGAGGAGCGCCGACGAGGCGGAAAGCCGGAGCTGCCGAGTTCAAGCTCGGTCGGCAGCGCACAGCCAACATGTCCCAGGTCGACCCAGTTCAGCTCAAGGCCGTGATGGAGGAGGCCGTGCAGAAGGCCAAGCGGCGCTGGGAGGGCGAGGCCGCCCTCAGCCTGAACGCCCTGCGGCTCGAGAACCAGCTCCTCAAGGCGGCCGTAGCGGGCCTCAGAAGCCCCTCCGAAACCTACGCCGTGCCACAGACGGCAGACTTGACCACGGGGACGGTTCCGGGCGACCAGCCGGAGACCCGGGCCCTGCACGTCGCTGCGGCGCTGCGGCTGCAGCTTTCAAGGGATCGGCCCGCCGCTTGCGTTCCAGCGGAGTTGCCCGCCGGCGAGACAGATCCGACGACGACGACGCTGATCGCGATATCCGTGCTCTGCGAGCCCACGCGGAAGCTGCAAGACGTGGAGCACGAGCTCATCGCTGCCAGCGTCGCGCGCCTCGCGGCCAGCGCGCCGCACGCGCAGCAGGCACTGCGCGTCCTCGTGGCCGCAGCCGTCGCGTCCAAACAGAGCGAGACGTGCGCGCGGATCACACAGATCGTGTCGACCACGCCGTGGGACATCTCGGCCATCCTGAGTGTCGTGCCCGCTGCGCTCCAGGCCGCCGCAGCGCAGACGTGCGAGGTGGCCGCAGCTTCGGGCGAAGAGCAGTCGTGGTCCGCGTACAGCCGCCTCGGCGACGTTCTGTGGCTCTGCAACACCCTCCTCCAGCGCGCACTGGCACTGGCGCGCGCCGACCCCGGAGACGCGGGCAGCGGCGCGACGTCCGCCGCGGCACACCTGCACTCCGCAGTGGGCGCCTTGAACGAGCTGCAGGCGGCAGGGGCGTCCGTGAGACGCAGATTCCCCCTGGTAGCTAGGTGCGCCGCACGCGGGCCGAACGGCGTCGCTGCACATTTGAGCTGGCACTGACCGCATCCCGGCAGGTCGTCCCGGTGCAGGTCGGTCGAGGACCTGCGCCTCATGCTCGCGAGTCTCGTGCAGCAGTGGCACGACGGCGACGAGACCATGATGTGAGGGGGCGAACGATGCCTGCATTCTCGGTGCTGTCGACGACGTGTGTGAGCTCCCAGCGCCGCTCCACTCGCTGTACGCGCGCCCACAGCACCGAACCATGTAGCCTCGGACAGGTGCTGCCTCGAGGGTTCGTTGCTGTGTGGCTGCGGGCGCCGCAGCGCTTGAGGTGGCGTGCGTGTGCCCGCCGTGGCAAGGCGGAAGCCGTCGGTCGACGTGGATCACGGCTTCAAAAAGCTCGCCCAGAACGCAGACACCCTCTGGTCGGGCACGTTGACGTCAGGCCCCCGTCGGTCTGGATGGTACTCCACCGCCGACGCCCCCGCGGCTCCCGCCCTGTCGTCACTCGTCCCCGCAGCCAGCCCCGCGGCCCGCAGCACCGCAGCCTCGCTGACCCCGAGCGCGGCCGCGACCCACCTGCACTCCTCCTCCTCCCCGCCGTCAGCTATGCCGCCAGCAACACACCCCCCCGCCGTGTGCCACGTCGGCGTGCACCCGCCGGACTCGTGGTCGTCCCGCACGGCGAGCTTCTGATGCCCGCGCGCGCCGCAGCACGTCCAGCGCAGCCCCACGCCGTTCAAGTACGCCCCCGAGAAGAGACTCCCCGGGTGGTGTCGGCATGCGTCAGGGGCGTTGTCGACGTCCCGGAACGACGCCCCGCAGCGCCCGCAGACGCGCACGCGCGTCAGCATGCGCCACAGCGTCGCGCCCGGGTGCCGCATCGCGCCCCGCCGCCTCGCGCACCGCGCACCGAGCACGCGCGACACCGCCTGCGGAGAGAGAGCTTTCGACGTGCCGTCGGTGCGCGGCCTGGTGCGAGGGAGAAGGCAGGGGGCGTCTGGGCCCGTCTCACCTCAACGGCGGTGTTGGCTGCGTCGTCCGCCTGCGCTTGGAATGAGAGCGGCTCCTCGCCTTCGTCGAGCGCTCCGCCGGCCGTTCGCGCGGCGCGCTGCCACAAACGCATCGCAGAGCATCGTTTACGAGGGCTGGACGGCGTCGTCGCGTCTGCGCCGGGCGCCAGGAGCAGCTCGTGGAATGTGGTGCACGTAGCGCTGAGTGCCAGGAGGTCTTCGCCGGGGAGACACTCAAAGATCCGGTACAGGACGTCACGTGGGAGCTCCAGCAGCGCCGGCGCTGGGTCCTCGGTGACTGCCGGCATCGCGCGGTGCCGTGGAGGGCGCAGCAACGTGCAGTGCCGCCTGCGCTGTCAGCGACGCGTGATGACCAGGAACGTCCTCGCCTGCAGGGAGAGTGGTGCAGTGCACGCCGAGACAGGCGCCCCGAGCGGCCGGAACGAGCTAATCGGAGCGCTGCTGGCCGCACTTGCAACAGGGTGGCTAGGGACGAGCGCTCCCGGTGCCTGTCACGCGGACTGACGCGCGAATTGCGGGACCCCCCGCACTTTCACAAACATTCGACGTCCTGTCGCGCGTCGCAAGCTACGTCAGCAGCACCGCCGGCTCACGTTCGACACCCCCCCTCCCCTCGACACTGGAAAGGCGCGTTGTACCGCAGCAGCCCGACGCGATCGCGTTCGTGTCGGCCGACGACCTGGCCGGCGATGCCGGCGACCCACCGAGACCCCAGCCCTGCCCTCCGAAGCCCTCTCTGGGCTATTTCCGGCGACGGCTCACATGCCTGGCCCATGCACTGTGGACATCGGCCCAGCAACGAGGGCTGCGCGCGTCACGTCCCGCCGCACGCGCGGCGCAACGTGGGTGCGTTCGGCAACAATCATGGCAACAATGCGTACTCCCCCAACGACCCCCCCCCGGGCTGAAGGCATCCGATGCCGCGCAGCCCCACACACGTCACGGGGGCGCGGCCGGCCCGCGCTCACTTCATCTCCAGCGGGACGACCTCGACGTCGTCCATGGGCTGCACCTCGGACATCCCCGTTGGGTCGACGACCTCCCACGTCCAAGCGTGCTTGAGGTCGAGCAGGCCCTCGAGATCAGATACGGTGGACTGGATCTTCTCGCGGTCCTCGTCCGTGAGCTGCCCGGGGAGGCTGGCGTAGCGGCTGAGGTTGAAGATCATCCGCGACACCTGCGCGGGCGAGCGGGGGGGGGGCGAGGGGTGGGTGCGGGGAGCGCGCGCGTTGTGCGGTGGGGGTGCGGTGCGGGCGCGGGGGCGCACGTGGTTGTAGATGGAGTCGATGACGCGCTTGTTCTCGGAGCCCACTTCGAATTCGAGTTCGGGGATGCGGACGGAGGAGGAGGGGGAGCGCATGCACACGCGCCAGAGGTCCGAGGGCTGCGTGACGCGGAGGCGCAGCGTGGAGGCCGGCTTCGCGTCCTCTCCCTCGAGCTTCACGCGGTACTCGAGGGCGCCCTCGTCGTTCGTGCGCATCACGACGCAGGGAAGCTTCTGCAGAAACTCCACGAACGGGCCCTTGAGGGCGTCCTCGAGCTCCGCGGCGTCCTCGTAGCCGAGCGTGGCCATGACGAAGTTCCGGACGGGCTCGAGGGCCAGCCATTGCTCCGACTGCGCGCGCACACGGGCCGGGAAGCTCGCAGGATCTAGCACCACCGCGCAGCCCGCGCGGGCCGTGCCGCGCCCGGCAGAGGTTACCGAGAACTTAGCTCCTACGCCGCCGAGGCCGCGGATCGCGAAAGACCGCCTCTTGCCTCGCCGGCGCGCCGCGCCCGGCTGCTCGTGTGGAGGTGCGTTGCCTGAGCGGGCGTCGGCCTCCCGTCCCGCACGCACCTGATTGAAGTACAGCTGCTCGATCTCGTCGACGATCCTGTCGAGCTCCTGGTGGCTCACGTTCACGGAGAATCCGCTCAGCATGGCCGTCGCGGCCGGCGCCTCCGCCTTTGTGTCCGTTGCCGCCATCGTGTGCACGTCCCCGGGCGTCGCTGCGACGTCCCACGGAGCGATAGCGGCGCGCGGCCTCCTGATCACGCAGCTGTCCCCGCTGGCCCGCGCGAGAGAGTTCACAGGCCCCCTCTGACTCCGTCTGCGACGAAGAGAGAGAGGGGGGGAAGCAATGGGTTTTGGCCTGCGCCCGCGCGCCCACGTCCGACACAGGAACGCGCGCGGGCGGGTCGGGTGCATGGCGGACGCATGCGTGCGGGGCGCGCGGCGCGGTTTCGTCACCGGCCTCTCTCACGCCGCGGCGAGGCCGCCCAGAGTTGAGCGTGCACGAGCGCCGAGGCCCGCGTTCTCGCGCGCCCGGTCCCGGCCGCGTGGCCGAGCCGGTAGACCATGCCGGCGTCGCGGCGTCGAGGGCCCCGGAGGTGGACGTGCGGCGGGAGGCGGGGAAATTCCGCACCTGGCTCCAGCTAGCGTCGCGCGCGACGGACGGGGCGTCGCAACGTCGAAGTTACGGCTTGTTCGCGAAGGCAGTATAAAGTGCGCCGTCGTGCCGCGCGACGGCCCCTCGAGGCCCTCGCGCGCCGGACGGCAGCGGTCGGTCACGTTTCCCCTGCCCCCCACCGGGGCGCGCGTCTTTTCGCGTTCAGCCGCCGCTGCGGCCGAAAACCCCGCGCCCGTGCACGCCCGTAGCCCCAGGAATCAAAGCCCTCCGCGGACGGCACAAGATGCCCGCACCTTCGCCTCACGGCCCGCGCTGCGACATGTTCACAGCGGCGTCAACACCACCGTCGACCCGCAGACCCCCCCCCCGCGCCAATAACGCGCCGCCCGCGCGCCCCGCGCACGCACCGCGCCCGCCGGCGACCCTCCGGGGCGCCTCGCCCGCCGCGGGCCGCCTCACGCCGCCACCGCGTCGTTTGGCGCAGCGTTCGCGTGCAACCGCGGCCGGGCCCGGATGTCCACCTCGCCGTACGCGGACTCCTGTTGCAGCGCGACGTACCCCGCGGAGTGCAGCGCCAGGACCTCGTAGAACATCCGCGCGGCGTCCGCGCGTGTTTTACCTGCCAGGACACCCCCCAACCGCACGGGTGCGTCGGGCGGCTGCGCCGCGAAGGTGGTCCGCAGGAACCGCACGACCCGCCACGTGCGCTTCGTGAACGCCCGCGAGAAGCTCGCGCCGCTCGCGGGGTCCGTGCTCTCACTCCCCCCGGGGCCTGTCGGCGCGCCCTCCGCCTCGCCGCCCAGCGCATCGTGCAGGTCGAACACGCCGCCGCCCGAGTCCGGGCTCTCCGGCACGTGCGCAGGGCCGCCCGCGTCGCCCCACCCGCCGTCGTCGCCGAACCCCCCCTCCTCCATAACCCCCATCGTCGAACACCGGCAGCTCCGCCTCCGCCGCGGGGCTCTCCGCCCGCGGACCCTCCTCGTCCTCCTCGCCCTCCTCCGCGGCAGGCCCGCCCCGCGGCCGCCGCCACGCCTCCTCCGCCACCTGACTCATGAAGGCTGCCAAAGGGGACGCGACACCCCCGCCCACCGTCGCGGGCATGGCCAGCAGCGCCGCGGGGTCCCTCAGCATCGCCGCCGCGGCGTCCGCGTCGCCCCCGCGGCGCCGCTTCGCCGGCCCGCGCCCGCCCGGGACCAGCGTGCCGTCCGGCGCCGTCGTTTGCGCGGCCGCGCCAGCACAGGCGCTGCCCGCCGTCGCGCATCCGCTTCCTCCCAGCCGCGACGGCGGCCGCGCGCTGCGGCCCGCGCGCGGCGCAGGCGCGGCGGGCGCCGGCGCGGGCGCCGCCTCGGGCGTCGGCGAGCGGCCGCGCCCACCGTCGTCGTCATCGACGCCGTCGTCGCCAAACCCCCCGTCGTCGAGGATGACGTCGTCCGCGGCCCCGAAGCCCGGCGACTCCGGCGGCATGAGGTCGTCGTCGACGGGGAAGAGGCCGCCCTCGCCCTGCGACGGCGTCCCGGGCGGCCGCGACGGCGTGGCGGGCGCGAGAGACCCCCGCTTGCTCGCAGGGGTCTTACCTGCAATACACCCCCACGGAGCGAGGCGGACGTCGCGGCACTCGTCACCACGCACGTCGCCGGCGCAGCGCAGCTGCGCGGAGCCCCGCCCACGCGGCGCAGGGGGGGGGAGTCTCACCGGTGATGTCAGGAAGCTCCCCCATGTCCCCCACGAGGTCGCCCCCCGGGAGGAGCTGGTCGTCGCCGAAGCCGAGGCCACCGAGGGACCGCGCGGGCGTTCCGGGCGTCGCTGCGGCGCGCAGGCGCTCCACCTCGACGCCCGGCGTGCTCAGGCGGCTCGCGCCCAGCGCGCTGGCCCGCCCGCCCGCGAGCGCGCCCGACGAGAGCTCCGCGCCGCCCGAGAGCGAGTCCTTGTGGCCCCAGGGCCCGATCGCGGCCTGCGTCGCGAACTCCTCGGGGTCGAGCAGCTCCAGCGAGGCCGGCCCCATGTCCAGGGTTAGGAGCTCGCCGAGGTTGTGTTCCGGGAGCGTGATGGCTTGCGAGTGGCCTCCGCGCTGAGCTTCCGGGAGGTCGATCGCGGCGGCCGCGGAGGCTTTGTGGAACGCGCGCCGCACGCTCGCCAGGACGGCGGTGCAGTCCTGGTACAGGAAGGCAACCTTCTTCGCGTAGATTCTCGCGGCGCCCAGGAGGAGCTGGCCCGAGAGCCGCAGCGCCAGGGGTGCCTCGGGGTGGATGATCGTTTCTGCGGGGCCGGGGGGGAGCGATACGCCGTCAGGCGGGCGCGGTGACGCGGAAACGGTGCCGGCGCACGTTGGCGCTTTGAACCTGCGGCCCGGACGGCCCGTTCGAGGGCCCCGCGGGCTCCGACCGTGCGGTGCGGTGGCTCGTCGGGGCGCCGGCAGCCCGGGACGGCGGCGAGCGCGCCGCGCGGGCCGCAACCGACGTCGCCTGGTTGATTCCGGGACAACAGATGGCCCGGGAACGCCACCACGTCGACGCAGACATCGCATCTCAGGCGCCAACCGCACCACCGTGCTGCCAGAGCACAGCTCGAGCGCGCAAACCAGCCGGCGGGCACGCACCCACTGCGCTTTCCAGGTCAGCACCGTATACGTCCTGCCTCTTGAGCTTCCTGTCGAGGTGGCTCGCGATCCAGATGGCGCCTAGAGGGCCCTTTTTGGCCAGAATCTGCGCCGAGTAGAACATTCTGCGCCGCGCCCGCCCCTACGGGCGCCCAGCGGTCCTTGCCGCGCAAACTGCCTCCGTCGTGCAACTAGCGCCCGAGGCGTGGTCCCCCCGCGACAAAGCGCAACGACGCGTTCAACAATTCAACCTTGCAACTTGAGCGACCCCGTGGCGCCGTTCCGCGCCGAAATCGCCCCCTGCGCGCCCGCAGGCGCCCCCGGGGACTCTCACACGCCACTCCCCCCGCCCCCCGCGCCCACACCGCGGCACCCGCGCCGCCGCCGCCCCCCCGCTCCCGCCAGCGCCCCTCCCGCGCCGCCAAGCAACACCCCCGCCCCACCGCCCAACACCCCCCCCCCAATCCACCCCGCGCAACCACAGCAAGCACGAGCGCACGCACACACCGCAGCGCGCACACGCTCCCTCACAAGCACGCCCGCGGCCCGCCTAGAAGTAGTCCCGCGGGTCCGCGACGGTCCCCGCGAGCGCCGACGCCGCGGCCGTGTACGGCGACGCCAGATAAATCTGCCCGTCCTTGTGGCCCATCCGCCCGGGGAAGTTGCGGTTCGTGGTCGACACGACGACCTCCGGCTCGTTCATCCGCGCGAACGTGTCCTTCGGCCCGCCCAGGCACGCCGCGCACGACGGCGCCGCCGGCGGCACGCACCCCGAAGCCTCGAAGATCTGCGCCGCGGTCTTCCCGTCGCAGCCGGGCACGGGGAGCGAGTACACGTCGGCCCAGACCTGCTGCGTGGCCGGGACGAGGAACGTCGGGACCTTGACCTGCTGCCCGGCCCGGTGGAGGACCTTGGCGGCGGCCATGAAGTCCTCCGTCTTCCCGCCGGTGCACGAGCCGATGTACACGCGGTCGATCTTCTTGTCCTGGCACTCGCGCGCGGTGCGGCGGTTGTCCGGCGAGTGCGGCGCGGCGACGTACGGCACGAGGTCCTGCACGTTGATCACGTACTCCTGGACGTACGACGCGCCGTCGTCGGCGTAGACCGGGTCGTACGGGTCGCTGGTGCGGTTGTCGACGTAGTCGAACGTGACCTGGTCCGGCGCGATGATGCCGTTCTTCCCGCCCGCCTCCACCACCATGTTGCAAATCGTCATGCGTTCCTCCATGTTGAGAGTCGCAATGGTGCTCCCGGCGAACTCCATCGCCGCGTACGTCGCGCCCGCGACGGTGATCTCGCCGATGATGTACAGGATGAGGTCCTTCGCGAGGATGTACGGCGGCAGCTCGCCCTCGAGCACGAAACGCAGCGTCGGCGGCGTCTTGACCAAGAGCTTGCCCGTGCCGAGAATGAAGCCCGCGTCCGTGTTCCCGACGCCGGACGCGAACTGCCCGAACGCCCCGGCGTTGCACGTGTGCGAGTCCGTCCCGAAGAGCACCTCCCCGGGCTTCGCGTGGCCCTCCTCGGCGTACGCAATATGGCACACCCCCTTGTACATGGGGTTCGCGCGGAAGTCCGAGCGGTCCGTGATGTCGTAGAAGTACTTGATCCCGTACTGCTTCGCCATGTCGCGCAGGATGTCCACGTTGCGGTTCGCGCGCGGGTCCTCCGTGAAGATGTAGTGGTCCGGAATGATGACGACGCCGTCCGGGTTCCACAGCTTGGCGTCCGGGCCGAACTCCTTCTGGAAGATGCCGAACGTGCCCGGCCCGCACACGTCGTGCGTGAGAAGCTTGTCGACGTTGACCCAGATGTTGTCGCCGGGGGACACCTGCGGCGCGGGGGGGGGGTGAGGTGCCGGGGCGGTGAGGTGCCGGGGCGGGCGGGGGCGGCGTGGAAGGGCGGTGTGGCGCGGCGGGGCGTGTGGGCGGGGCGTGTGGCGGGCGGGAGGGGCGGAGATTTGCGGTGGATGAGAGGGGCGCGTGGCGTGCGGCTGCGGGGCGCGGCGCGCTCGCAGGACGGGAACGCGCGGTCTTGGAGGGCGGTACTGGGGCCGTCCGGGCGGCGCGCGCGGCAGGAAGCCGTCCGGGCGGGACGCCGCCGGGGGGCACCAGCAACGCAGGGAGCACGGCCCACCGCGGCCCGGAGCACCCAGAATCGTCGGAAATCATCGTTTTCGGGAGCCAAATGAGGGCGACGTGGCGTGAGCGGCGCGGAAAAAGGCCCTCGGGCCCCACACGTGCGGGAACGCGCCCCAGCCCTCGGCCAGAGGCTGGCAGGGCGCCCTGAACGCGCACAGGCGGCCAATCGGCGCGGTTCCGTCGGGATCTAACGCGGCCCGAGCACGCTGCGTGCACGGAGCTTTGCGAGGAGCCAGCGGAGGCGGGCAGCGGGCGCGCGGCGAGGGCGCAGCGCCGCACGAAGGGCTTTGCTGTGCGTGCGAGGTTGCGGGGGGGTCCACCTTCTGGTTGTTGGACTTCTTGGCCAGGATCTTCTCCGTCAGAGTCATCTTGTGCTTCACGGCGCCCGTCTGCGCGGGGCTGCGGCCGCTCGTCGGCGCCGACACCGCCTGCACCCTCACCGGGCCCCGGGGTCGGGCCGCGAACAGCGTGGACTGCATCTCGACCTTCGCGGAGCGCTCCTAGGGTCAAGAATGTCCGGGGCGACGAGGGACCGTCGTCAGCGGAATCTGCCCGGGGCCCTGGAGGCCGCGCGGGCAACATCCCGACTGGTGTCTCCTGGCAGCCCACTTCAGACTCCAGCCGGGGTCTGAGCCCAACTCCCGGACAGGGGCGCTCGGGCTCTTGGCTGGAGCCGCACGCGCGCGGCCAGCATTTATCGTTGCGCGATTCCGTACACGCGGCGAGCGTCAGACGCGTCGCTGGTTCGCGCGAGCGCCCTGGTGAGACCTGGAGCACATAGAGGTGCCCTCCGCGCCCCGTCAGACGCGTTTCCGCGACGCCCGCCGGCGCGGCACGAGGCGGTCCTGCAGGGGAACGGAGCGGCAGTGCCGAGCGAGCGCGAAACGCGGCACATTACGAAATAGCCGGCGCGTTCAGCACCGCACCTCCACCGGGCGACCCCGCCAGCCTTTTCGCGCGCACCCCCAGCCCGGACGCGGTCCCTAGCGACCCTTAATCGCAGCACCTCCCTCGCTCTACCTCCCAAGCACCGCCCCGGGGCGCGGCACCCCCGCTCCGACCCGGCAGGGCCGTTCGCGCGCCCCCGGTCGTTTCGCTCAGAGCGGGCGCCCGGAACGCAATGGGCGACGCGCAGAGGACCTTCGCGCACAGCGCGCTCGAGTGCTTGCGCGAGGTCGCGTACAAGGACCCCGAGAACCTCCCCTCGCACAACGACGGTCAGGTGCAGCGGGCCCTCGAGGAGGCCACCGAACACGTCGAGGCCCTCCGCGCGATCCTCGCGCGCGTCGACGACGCCGTCGAGGTGCGTCGCCCCGGCCCTCGGCCCCCTCCACGCCCCTCCCGCTCGCCGAGCCCGCCCCCGCCCCGCACGGGGCGCTACCGCCCCTGCACCAGCCTGCTTCGTTTCGCCCGCCAAGCATCGCGCGCCGCCGCGACTCCCGCGCCGCGGCATTCAGACACCCCGCGCCCGCACACGCTCTCGCTCCCCGCCCTCGAACCACCACACACCCGCCCGCGCCCGCCCGTGGCCGCTCCCCGCAGGCGGGGCACGCCACCAGCCGCGAAGACGCATTCCTGTCCGACGACGCCGCGGCGTCCGCGGTCATCCACCTCGAGGCGATCAAGCGGTGCAAGCGCCTCCTCCTCGCGTACTGCGACCACCGCCTGGGCGCCATCAAGCACATGCGGTGGCGCGGGCGGCAACACGTCGAACGCATCCGCGGCGCCCTCTCGCCCGCGGAGTCCCAGGTGCGCCCGCACGTCGCGAGCCCGCGCCTGCCGCGCGCGCGCACCGGCCGCGCCGCGACGTGACGAGATGTTTGACCCCCCCGGGGGTGTGTGCAGTTCCACGACGCGTACGACGAGATCCTGCGGGACTACCAGCGCAGCGCGGGGTGCGGCGACCTCACGCTCGGCGCGACCCCCCCCCGGGAGGCCCACGTGGCCGTCCTCGTGAAGAAGGACGTCGGCGAAGTGCAGTTCAGGTGCGGGGGGGTGATTTGTTTTGCGCGCCGCGCGCGGCGCCGTGGTGTTTCGCGTCGCGCTGCTGGGGCCGCCACGCCCGCCGTGACGCGTGCCGCACTGGGTGTTGTCGGTTGCCTGCAGCCACGGGTGGGTCAGTCTGCGCCCTGGCTTGATGCACATGCTGCCGCGGAGCGAGATCGAGCACTACGTGAGCGACGGGACCGTCGAGTACGTCGGGGATCGGGAGCTGGACCTCGGCACCACGTGAGCGGCACGCACGACAGCTCACGACAGGTCGTGTGCGCCGGGACGGCGCGCGACTGCGCGGGCGCGCGTGTGACGCCTCGAATGCTCGCAGCGGCGGCGCGGCGCGCGGCCCTCGTCCTGCGCGACGCGCCATGCTTGACCAGGGGGATCTGCACCAGTGCCGGGACACTCAGCGCAGGCGGGGCGCGGCGCGGCGCGGAGCAGTCGAGCGGCGGCGGCGGCGTCGCCCGCGCGCGCGGGCCCTCGCGCGCTGGCGCGCGCGCGGGTCGGAACGGCGCTTCGTCGGTCTGACTTCGGGGAGGGTTGGGCGGACTGGTGGTGTCAGACGGCGTCGGGGGGAGGGTTGGCGGGCGGCGTGCTTCGGCTGCGCGCAGCGTGTGCGCGGGGCAGTCGTTGTGGTCCGTGGCGGATCGTGTGGAAGTAGTGTGTGCGGCGTGGCGTAGTGGTTGGTTGCTCGTGCAGCCTCCGTCCGTGTTCCGCGGGGGCGACGGCCCCGAGGCGGCGATTCTCCCTGCCGGGCCGCGATCGCGGTATCGCCTCGAGCCGATTCGGAGCACAGCGTTTCGTGCTGCGGCGTGCGCGAGGCGGGCTGGAGGGAGCGGTCTCGACTGCGCCTTGCGCGCCTTCGTGGGCATTGTGGGCATTGGAGACGCCGGCGAGGCGAGTGAGTAGTTTGGTCACAGGCCGGGATAGGGGCAGAAGGTGCGTCCCGCCGCTCGATCGCGCGCCTCGACCGCAGCCGAGCACATCCGTCGTTCCTTTTGCCGCCTCCCAGCACGCACGCGCCCGCATCGGGTCTTCGCGCTCGCCGCCTGCACCAGGCTTCTTCGTAGGAGCGTCTGGCGCGCGCGGCGCCGCCAGCGGCCCCTCGAGCACAGCATGCGCAACCCTTTTCTCGCAAGGCACTGAAGCCCCCCTTTGACGCGCCCCGCTCCGTCGCGCGCGGCCCCGGCCAGCGCCCCTGCCGCACCGCTCGAATAACAACGCGCGCCGCCGACCGCGCGCCTGTGCACATGCCGCACCAGCCCGCTCGCCACGCGTCCTCCTCCGTCCTACGGGAGAGCTCGAGCCAGCGCTGCTCTGCCTGCGCGCGTATTTCCCGCCAATTCTATCCCCGCAGCCTCTCGCACCGCCACCGCGCCCCCCCGTCGCCCCGCGCTCCCTCGACCCGCGCCCAGCCCGCCACGCGACCACGCAAGCAGCACCAGCTGCGGCGCTGGCCGCGCTGGCCTCCGCCGGCGTCCGCGCGGGCCACCGAGCGACGCCCGACATGCACCTGCGCCTGCAGGGCGCTGGGAAAGGTGCCTCGCCTTCCAGGCGCGCGCCCACGCGGGCACTGACGGGCGACGATGGGCGGTTGCGTGACCAAGCCCGAGGGCCCCGCCCGGACAGTGCGGCCCGCGAAAGGCATCAAGCGGTTCACGAGCGGCGAGGAGTTCTCCCCCGTCCTCGTCGACGACGGCCAGCCCCCTCCCCGGCGCACGGAAACCGACGCAGCAAGCCAGCCTAGGAACCCCACGGACCGAACCGCCTCGCGCGTCGGCCGGTCGCATACAGGATCGCACGTGTCCGCCGACCTCCCGCTCGGCCCGGACTTCCTCGAGCCGTGCGCGTCGATCGACGACTTCGAGGTGCGCCGCGCCCCGCGCTGCGAGCCTCCGCACGCGCCGCGTGCGGGTCCGCGGCCTCGTTCAACGCGCCGCCCCGCCCGCCCGCCGCAGGTCGGACGCGTCCTCGGCACCGGGACGTACGGCATCGTGCAGGTCGCGCGGCACGTCGCGACGGGCACCCGCGTGGCTATCAAGTCGATCAGCAAAGCACGTACAATCGAGGGCCACCAGGTGCCGCACATCCTCTCGGAGCGCGAGATCCTCGCGGCCATCCGCTGCCCCTTCTGCGTGTCGCTCCGCGGGACCTTCCAGGACGCCGAGCGCGTCTTCTTCGTCATGGATTTCGTCCCCGGCGGCGAGCTCTTCACGCTGCTCACCGTGCACGGCTCGCTGCCGGAACCCGTCGCCCGGTTCTACTCCGCGGAGGTCGTGCTCGCGTTCGAGTACCTCCACGCCCGCAACGTCGCGTACCGCGACCTCAAGCCCGAGAACGTTCTCATCGACGCCGACGGGCACATCAAGCTCGCGGACTTCGGGTTCGCGAAGGTCGTGCCCTCGGACTGGCGCACGTTCACGCTCTGCGGCACCCCGGACTACTCCGCGCCCGAGGTCATCCTCAACAAGGGCCACGGGAAGGCCGTGGACTGGTGGGCGCTGGGCGTGCTGCTCTTCGAGATGCTCGCGGGGTTCCCGCCGTTCTTCGACGACGACCTGTCGCAGTGCTACAAGAAGATCCTCCGCGGCGACGTGAGGTACCCGGAGCACCTCTCGGTGCTCGCGACGGACCTCATCTCGCGCCTCCTGCAGCACGACCTCTCGAAGCGCCTCGGGAACCAGCACCGCGGCGTGCAGGACATCAAGAACCACCCGTTCTTCGCGGGGATCCCGTGGCAGGCGCTCGCGGCGCTCAAGTACCCGCCGCCGCACATCCCGCAGCTCGCGGGCCCCGACGACACGTCGTGCTTCGATGACTACTCCGGCGCCCTCGAGTCCTCGCGCATGAAGCACCCGTTCGTGCTCTCGCCGCACGAACAAGAGTTCTTCAAGGACTTCTAGGGCCCCTGTTTAAACAACAAAGGAGGAGGAGGAGGTTCGGAGCCGCTTTGAAAGGTGCCGACATGAAAAGAGTGAGTAGGAGCGAGAGGAATAGGAGGGGTTCCGGGGCTCCGTGCGCACTGTCGTAGCTGCAGGGGCCGGCCTGGGGGACCGCGCCGTCCCCTGCGACGCCGCTGCGCTGTGATTCAGGGCAGCTGCAACGCTCCCAGAGCCAGAGCGACCAAAATGGTAGTTCTTCGCTAGTTCTTCGCTGACCTACAAGCACCCTCACCGCGAGGACGCTTGAGCGACCGAAATGGTGCGGCAGACGAAGTGACAAACGAACATTTCGTGATTCTTTAATTACACGTGATGCCGATCTCTTGTCAGTCTAAGGCAGTTATCATGTATTAGCGCGGGAGGTCAATTACTCCGTCGATGTTGAATCCAGCACGAGGGAGGGGGGTGGGGGGAGGGAGTTGTGTGGGAGTTATGCTCCCGGGCTGCGGCAGGGGGGGCGGTGCGCGGCGACCCCGCCGGCCGGCGAGGAGGCCGCGCTGCCCGCTGCCGATCTAGCTGCCCGGTCCTCGTCGTGCAAGGCGCAGAAATGCAGGAAGCAAAACGCAAGGATCGCTGCGGCAAAGTTGATGCATTGCATTGCCTTCCGCCGGTCCCCAGGAAGCAGGGGGTACTGCTTTTCTGTCGCGAGAGATACCCTGCGGAGGGTGTCTCGTCGTCGCAGGCGTCTCGTGGGCAACAGCAACAACAAGAGCAGCCGCGCGGGGGAGTGCAGTGACGTCCCGCGCCGACGGTCATGGCCGTCCGCGCGGGCGCCGCGCCTGCGTGCCGACTAGGAGCGGCTGACGCTCGGGCAGCACGGGCGCGAGCAGAGGCGCCACTCCGGGCGGACGGGCGCCGCGAGCGGTGGAAGCGTGGCGGCAGCAGGTTGCCGGAGAGGGAAGGGGCGGGGTGGGCGGCGGGTGGGATGGCAGTGGAGGAATGAGAGATGGAGGGGATAGGATGAACGGGACGGAATGGGAGGTGGGCGGGAGGGGGGGAGGGTGTAATTGCGCACGTTGCACGAGGCAAACCCTGCGCGGGCGGCAGGGGCCAGGTGCGCTGTGCTGCGCCTTTTCGTTTTCTTTCCTTTGCTTTCATGCAGGTATCATGCAGCCGTCGAGGTCCGCGCGTGCTGCGGCCGCCCGTCTTCGGGGGCGGGGCGCATGCGGGTACCTCCAGGCCCACTGCGGCGGGGTTGCACGCCCCTTCCCGGCCGCGCAGCGAGCCGGGATCCCATGCAACGTAGTGTGTCCTTCGGCGAATGGTTCGCCTCCCTTCAGCCCAGCGATCGAGCCTGTCCGGGACGGGGGAGGACACTTGTCGACTCCCCCTCCCCTTGGCATGCTCACGGCCGGCCGTGCCGCCACTCTGTGTAGCGGTCCGCCCGGATGGCCGCAGCCCGTCGCGCTAGCGCGTGCCCGAGTCCGTCAGCGCCTGGAACCGCGCCAGCTGCGCCGCCGGCGAGCTGGCGCCCCCCTCGGTGTACGGCAGGGAGACCGCCTCCTTCGGGCCCGCCCCGCTGTTCGCGTTGTCGGTCGAGAACGCGTTCGCGTGGAGCATGAACACGTGCTGCGACGCCGTGCTGCGCGTCGCGGCCTGTCTCGACTCGAGCTCGCTCTCGCGGCGCACCACCTCCACGTGCTCCGACATGGCGCCGTCGACGGACCGGCCGTGCCAGTCGCACGCGGAGGCGTGCGCCGCGGAGATGCGCGCGGCCGCGGAGACGCGCACGCCTGCGCCGCCGCCGTACGACGACCGCTTCCGCACCAGCACGTCGCCGTCCGCGCGGTCCGTCAGGCACCCCTGGGCGTCCAGCGCGCCCTGGTCCGTCACGACGAGCGGCGCGCCGCCCACCGACATGATCGTGCAGCGCTCCGCGCGGATCCCCGAGTCCGCGCCGTCCGCCCTGAGCGCGTAGTCTTGCAGGCAGAGTAGCCCCGTGTCGCGCACGATGGCGCGCGCGCCCGCGGTGACGCGCACTCCGCCGCCGGCGGGGCACTGCGAGATGCGGCACGCCTGGACGAGCGCGCGGGAGTTGCGCCCGGCCACGAGCACCCCGTCCCCGTGCAGCACGTGCGTCAGCGCCGTGGCCTTGCTCGTCAGGTGCGCCTGCCGCGTCACCAGGATGCCCGCCGCGCCCGTGTGCGACAGCTCGCAGCCGTTCAGGTGCGCGACCGTCCCGTGGCCCTCGACCAGCAGCGCGGCCTGCCGCAGCACGTGCGCGATGGAGGTCTCCTCGAGGTTGGCCGTCGCGCCCTGCGCCACCGCCACGCCGTGCTCGAGGCACCGCTTCACCGAGCACCGCCGCAGCGCCGCGCGGGAGCCGTCGCCGGCGACCTGGAGGCCCGAGCCGCAGCTCGAGCCGCAGAACGACGTGTCCTGGGCGATGAGGAGGCCGCCGCCGATGACGGTGGCGCACGAGCGCTCGGTGCGCGCCACGCTGCAGGTCAGCATCGAGAGCTGCGCGCCCTCGCCGGCGACGACGATGCCGACCGTGCGGTCGCACGCGGCGACCTCGCAGCGGTCCAGCTCGACGCAGGCGCCCTGCGTGGCCACCAGCCCCGGGCACGAGAGCTCCTCGAGCCTGCACCCCGTGCAGACGACCTCCGCGCCGTAGCCGTCCACGGAGAGCCCCGCCTCGGCGTCGACCTCCGTCATCTTCGTCACGTCGCACCGCACGAACCGCGCGCGGAGCGTCCCGGCCTCGCACGCCACCTTGATCCCGCTGGACGTCGCGCTCTCAACGTTGACCATCACGGCGCGGCAGCGCGTGTTCAGGCCCGCGAGCTCGAGCCCGACGGGGCACTGCGCGATGTTCACGCGCGTCAGCTGCGCCGCGCACCCGCCGACGACGTTGACGCCGCACCGCGCCGTCCGCAGCACGTTGCACCGCACCATGCGCAGCGTCGAGTCCTTCCCGCCGACCAGCAGGCCCGTGCCGCGCGCGGCCATGATGTTGCTGATGTGCGACGCCACGACCGTGATGTGCGCGCCCTGGTGGCCCCGCACCCCGAACTGCGTGGTGCCGTCAATCTCGCAGCCCTCGATCCACGCCGTGGACGCGCCCTGGCGGCCGCAGACCGTCACGCCGGCCTGCTGGCTCGACAGCCCGCCGAGGAACGAGCAGCTCAGCGCGGTCACGCGCGCGCCCGCGCGCGCGATGAGGCCCGAAAGGCGGCTGCCGCGCACGGCGCACGAGCGCAGGTCCGCGCTGGCGCCGACGACCGCGACGCCGACGCTCTGCCATCGGCCCGCGCCGGACGCGACGCAGCAGCGCGTCAGCGTCGCCTTCGCGCCGTCGGTGACCTCGATGCCGGTCGTCAGGTTGTCCCACGCGTACGTGGATCGCGCGACGAGGAGGGAGCCCGGGCCGGTGACGGAGGCGCCGGCGCCGCTCTTGCTGTCGAGGAGCGCGGCGTGCGAGAGCAGCGCGCGCGCGCCGGCCTCGACGACCACGCCGCTGCACCCGCAGCCCTGCACGAGCGACCGCAGGAGCTGTGCGCGTGCCGCCTCGCCCGTGACGAGCACGCCGCTCGAGCAGTGCGGGCCCGTGATCGTGCACGAGTCCAGCACGGCCGTGCCGCGCACGACGATCAGCGGCGGGCTGTCCTTGCGCTCAAACGCCGCCGTGCACGTGCCAGTGGCGGCGTTGTGCTTTGACGACGGGTTCGCGCTGGACACGCTGCTGCGCTGCAGCGGCGCGGTGTCGCGTCCCGCGGGCCAGCCCGCGCCCAGGTGCGCCTCGGCGTCCTCCGCGCACTCGGACAGCACGCCGTGGCCCGACGAGACGATGGAGTGGGCGCGGCGCGGGGGCGGGCAGTGCATGGCGTTGCCGCTGCGCTTCCCGGCGTTGTTCCGCCGCCGCAGGACGGACTGCTGCAGCGACTCCACGTCGCCCGCCGCGCTCGTCGCCGGCATCTCCATCGACAACACCACCTGACGTGGCAAGAGACCCCCCCCCTCGAGCCCCATCGGGAGCGGCACGGTCTGCTCCTCGCTCGGCCCCGGGGCGCTTCCCTCCGCGAAGCTCGCACCCGCGCTCGCGCTCTCCGCGATGCCCGGCAGCGCGTGGCCTTCGACGCCGCTCGCCGACCCCGTGCCCGCGCCCGCCGCGCCCGCGCCCGCGGCGCGCTCGACGGTCTCGATCTTCACGCCCTGGAGCCACACGCTCTTCCCCACGACCTCCACCGCGGTCGTCCCGTCCTCCGCGCGGATCTTCCCGCCGCAAATCAGCACGTTGTCCGCGCGCACCACCAGCGGGCCCGTCTCCGCCGTCACGACCAGCTCCTGCCCGCACAGGTCCACCAGCGTCCACAGCTGGCGCTTCGGGGGCCGCACCGCCGCCGGGCGCTCCTCGTCGAGCTTCAGCGTGTCGCGCCGCCCGTCGCTGCCCTCCACCACGCGCGACATCCCCAGGCGCGACGTGGACGCGGTGTCCGACGGGAGCTTCGAGCGGCCGCCGCCGAGGACGCTCTGCGCCTGCGAGGCGTCCTCGCGCGCGCCGGGCGACTCGAGCGTGGGCGGGAGCGGCGCCACGGTAAGCTTGGGCGCGCTCGCGGCCAGGCGCCGGGGCACCCAGGGCGAGCCGCGGCGCGTCACGATGCGAATCGCGCGCGAGAGGACGGTGTAGGACTGCCACTCCTGCAGGAGGTCGAGGGCGGCCTGCGCGGACGCGACGTCGCGCACGGGCTGCGCCTCGCGCACGCACACCGTGGCGTCGTGGGGGGGTGTCAGGTCCGGGTCCGACTTGTAGAGCGCGCTCGGGACGTTGGGCTCCGGCCGCCCGACCGAGTCCGTGGGCGCGCTGCTCTCGATCGACGGGTTCGCGTCCCTGCACGTGGCGCGGGGGTTGGAAGGACGCTGGTCAACTCGGGGGGCGTCGCGCGACGCACGGGGGCGAAACCCTCCCTCGCGCGGGCGCGGCGGGACGGGCGGGTCGCGAGGCGGGCGCGCGGGGGCGCCGCGCGGGGCCGCGGCGCGTTCCGGCGCCGTGCCGGGCGGGCGGGGTGGCATGGCAGTTGGGCGGTGGTGGGTGGGGACGCACGCTGGCGTGAGGTGGGGCACGAGGCCCGGCCGACCCGACGAGGGGTGCGAGGAGCGCCCGTCCGACACGCCGGCCGGGATGAGGGGGTCCCCCGCGGTCTGCCGCGCGCCGGGGGAGGCGCGGGGCTGCAGGGCGGCAACGTTGGGCGCGCCTGGCGCGCCCTCGTCGATCTTGGGGCCGAGCGGGCAGGGGAACGGCGGTGCCGCGTGCTCCTGCGAGGCGCGGGGCGCGGTCTGCGGGGTCGGCGCCGGCGCGGGCGCACAGTCGCTGCCGTGCTGCAGGGGTGCGGCCCAGTTGCGCGCGGCGCCGCGCGGCCGCGGCCTCCGGGCGCGCGGCGCGGGCGCCGCGGCGATGAGTAGGCGCGGGATCGTGGTTCGCGGCCCGCCGGGCGGCGTATGCGCGCCGGTGCGGCGCGCAGGAGGTCAGCAGTTGGCGGGCAGCGACCAGTGGGGGGTGGGGCGACAACAGCGGCTCCGAGGGAGGGCTGCGCACCGCTAGCGAGCTCGGCGGCGACGGCGGCGCTCCGGAGGGGTCGTGGTTCTTCCCGAGCGAGGCGAGGGTGAGCGCGGCGGGCGCCAGGACGGCCTGCCGCGAGGACGAGTGGATGGCTCTGCGCAGTAGGCTCCCGTGGTCCAGGCCGTGGCCGTTTGCCTCGCGCTCGGGATGCTGGGCGTTGTCTTTGGACAGGGAGGTTTCGAGAAAGTACTGTGCTTCGCCCGCTCCCGGCCCCGCTGCCGCGCCGGGCGGGTCATTTCGCACGGCTTGGGCCTGCCCGTGCCGCAGCGCAGCGTCGCTGGGCCCGGCCGGCCTGCAGGGGAGGGTCGTGCAGGGGTCGGGGGTCGGCTGCTGCGCGCGCGGGCAGCGCCGCGGCGCGTCGAATTGCGCCGGGAGCAAAAGGGAGTGGGGAGCAGTTGGAGGGCGCAACCGCGGCGCGGGCGCGCACGGCGCGCGGCGGCGCGGCGGCGGACTCGGCGACGCTTTGGAAGTTCCGGGGCGCTCTCGGAGGGCCGGGAGGGGAATGCGCGGCGGGGTCGGGGCGCACCACGGCCACGACGTCTTCTCGAGCATGCTCACGCGACACGGCGCGAAATGCACCGGCTACAGCCGAATGTCATGTGTCGATATTTAACCGGACGGCTCGCTGCGAGTTCTCGCCCGCGCGGCGTCGCCTGTGCACCGCAGCGGCAGGACGGTCGCCTTAGACGCTGCAGCGTGCCTCCTGCTCTGTGAATGCCCTCGCACTTGACATATACTAGTGCCGCAACGACCCTCCGGCCCGGCCCTTCGACGTCCGCCGCCGCGCGGGTCCCGCGCCGGTCAGTCCTCCTCGCACGGACCCCGCTCTCGCTGACGGTGGCCCCCCCGGCCAGCCCCGCCGCTCACTTCACCTCGCACCGCGCCGCGCCCCGCCGCTCCTCGCACACCTAACCACCACAGATCGCAGATCAGGGGCGAGCGGACCTGAAACACCCCACACAGCACGCAAACACCCGTAAAGTCAGAGGGCAGGCTGGCACCCGGTGGCGCCGCCCGCGGGCCGCGCGCGCCCCTCAGCCCCGGTGCGTGGGGGCAATACATGCCCGCGCGGCCGCTGCGGGCGTCGAGCGCGGGCGCGGAAGCCACTCAGCGGCAGCGCGGTTTCGCGCCGCGCCGTTGACCAACTGCTCTGTCATCTGATCACGGCGGGCGGTCCCGGCGCCACGGCGCGGCCATATTTTCTTGTTTCGCGTCGATCCGGCCCCATGGTCAACTAAACCCACGGGCGGCCAAGGCCTGGCCCGCAGCGAGCGCTGCTGGCCCCGGGCCGCCCCGGGAGGCACTGCGCACCGCCATAGGTCCGCTGCGATGCACGCCCGCTCCCACGTCCACCAGCGCGCGGTCCAACGAGCCTTCGCGTCCCCGCGGAGGCGACAACCAACCCAACCATCATCGCACCTGCCGACCGCGGGTGCGCGGAGGCCTGGCACACAAAGTAGTAATTGACCACCCGCGCACGAGGCACGAAACGAAATGCGGGTGTGCTATCGTCCTGATCAAGGCGGCAGCGTGCTAGGAGTACTCGCGCGAAATGCCATGTGAGCATGTCATCATGTGCCAAGGGAAGGCTCTGACCTGCAATCAGTAAGAGTGAGTGGCGACACGCACGCGTGCGTCAGCGGTCACACCACGTCACGCGCTAGCGCACCCGGTTGACGACGTGCGGCCCTCCGACCGCGGGCGCCGCGGCTCCGTCGCCCTCTCCGACCAGGTGCGCGTCCGTCCAGGACCCGTGGAGCTGCATGGGCACGGCGTGCGGCAGCCGCACGCGCGCCACGGGCCCCGCCGCGAGGTCCTTCGCGTCGAGGATGCACAGGTCCGCCGTCTGCGTCTCCGCGTCGTGCACCAGCCCCATCAGCCAACCGTCGTCCTCGCTCGCCGCGCCCCGCCGCGGCACAAACGCGGGCTCCATCGGGAACCGCCGCGGCCCCGCGAGCCACACGTCCTCCTTCACGGCCGCGCGGTCGCACACCGCGGGCCCCGCGCCGTCCGACACGACGCCGTTCGCGGGGTCGCACGTGATCTTCACCCACCCCTGGTTGGGCCCGAACCGGGACCGCGTGCCGTCGGCGATGGCCGAGCAGCCCGCGTAGGCGTGCGTGTGCGGGCGGCCGACGACGGACGGCGCGACGATGGGGAACTCCACGGTGCGCGGCACCAGCGGCCACCCGCACACCGCCTCGTTGAGTGTGCGCGCCTCGAGGTCGAAGACGTACCGGCGGTACTCCGTGCGCTGCTGGCCCTCGTAGAACTCGGGCCCGACGGAGTCCATGTTGTTCTCGAAGGAGATGGTCGGCGACGGGAGCGTGTCGAGGACCAGGCTGCCGCCGAGCTCGTACGCGTTCACGTGGTGGAACACGAAGCCCGGATCCATCTCGATCTCCTGCGGGAGCGGACGCGGAGACAAGCGCAGCGTCGCGGGGGCGCGGGCGGAGCGGCACGACCGTGCAAGCGCGCCCACCACGCCTCGCAGCTGCACGTGCGACGTCGCACCGAGCGGCGCGTGCGTGCGCCTTGCGCGCGCCTCGCGGCTGCGGCGAGGGCAGAGCTGCACCGGCGTGCGCGGCGGGGGGGCTGCGGGCGCACCACAGCCTCCTTGCCCGCCGCCGCCCCGCCAGGGCGCGGGATGGCGATGAGCTTCATGGGCTTGCCGTCCTGCGCGACGATGCACTCCGCGAGGCACGCGCGGTTCGTGATGTACTCCGTCGCGAGCTTCCAGAGGTCCAGCGTCGTCGGGTTCTGCACCAACACGTAGTAGTTCTCCGTGACGCACATGTCATGGAAGAACCCGAGACCCCCCCCCTTGGCGACGTGCGACACGCCCGGACGCGCGCGCGTGCCGTCCTCGTTGAACTCGTACAGCACGATCTCGCCGTCCAGCCCGCGCTGCACCACGCCGACGCCCACGAAGGTCCTCCGCCCGTCGGCCTCCGGGACGATGCGGTAGTGCGCGTGGAACGGGCCCTCCTTGATCGCGCCACCGAGGTCCGTCTCGCCCTTGGTGTCCAGCGTGATCGGGTCGAGCGCGTGCGGCAGACCTGACTCATTGAACGTCAACACCTCCCCGTTCCAGTGGAGGATGCCTGCGGGGGGGTATAAGGGTGTCACGGGGCGGCGGCGGTCGCACGGACGCAAGGAAGGTCGCGCAGGGGCGGGAGAGGCCCGGAGCGGCCCGGGTTTTGTCGTGGACGCACAAACATCCGCAAAGGGGGGGGGAGTATAGCCGCGCCCGCGCGGCTCGGGCGCGGCAACGCACCGGTGTTCGCGGGGTTCTTGAACGGCCCGAACTCCAGGTTGAGCGCGAGGCCGCCCGAGGGCGTGCTGAACACGCTGGGCGCAACGAACTTCCCCGCCGCCTGATCCTCCAGGAAGCCCTTGGTCCGGACGAACTTGTTGCGCACGACGACGCGGCCGTCGCGGAACGCGAACGACCACGCCATGCCGTCGCCGTCGAACGGCTGGTTCAGGCGCTCGCCTGGCCCGTAGTCTAACAGCGCCGGGCCGTTGCGCAGCAGCGTGCCAGTGATCTCCTTGGGGATCTCGCCCTCGATCCACGCCGGGTCGACTGCGGGCGGAGCGGAGCCGCGGTGCGCGTGAGGGCTGCGGCGACGGACGGCGGGCGGGCAGGTGGGGCATGGGCGGAGCGGGGGAGGTGGAGGTTTGGCGTGCCTTCGTAGTGCATCTCGTCGCGGAGAGTGCGGTAGCCGTGGACGAAGTCGTGGACCGTCTGCTGGGTCACCTCGTAGCCCTGCGTGCGGAGTGCGCGGGCGCGGAGGGTCGCTGTGCGGCACCGCCCCACGCATACCAAGCCTCGACACCGCGCCAGCGCGACTGAACGTAGCTTTTGTGCGCGAACCGGCGCGGCGAAGCAGCGGCGTCATATCATGCGCTGCCGGTCGCACGGTGCGCCCGTGAGATGACGCGGCAGCGCGTGAGAGCACCAGACGTGCCACAGAAGGTGTGGTGGAGTCGGGATTTCCTAATTGCGGCCCACACACCCACGAGGCGCCGCTGCGAGCACCGCGAGGCGCTAGCGTCGTCGCGAGCGGCGCTTCGGACGCGTGTCGCACCTCCGGAACCTCCGCATTGGGGGCGCCAGCGACCGGGGAGCTCGCCGCCTGGGCCCGGACGGGCGCCGCGCGTGGACGACGCGCATCGGCCTGGCGCGACGCGCGCCGCGCGCCCGCGCAGCAGGGCAGCGACCTGGCGTTCGCGAGCATCCGGAGACCTTCCCCTCGCCCTGTTCCTGACCGCGCGCGCCCCTAGCCTTGCAGTGGGTCTCTCCGACCGCTCGGGAAGTCGCCGTCGCTTGGTTTCGTCTCAACAGCGAGCTGTGATCGAACACGAGACTCGGTGCACCTCGAGAACGAGTCACCAGCCGGTGCGGGCGCCCGAAGGAGCCGCGGCTGGAGTCGAGGCGACCTGAACCAGGCGGGGGGTCGCTCGCGGCGGCGCCGCGTGGCGCCTAGCCGCGTTGGGGCTGCGGTCTGCACGTACCCCGCTAGATGTGCTAGCGTTTCCGTCATCGATCACGCCAAGCGGCGTCACAGGCGGACAATTCACAGGCGTTCTTCACCCGGCATAGAACCTAGGGGCGCGGGGTGCCGCGGGGGTACAGCAGGAGCGGCCACGCCCGCTGCGGCGCGCTCCCTGCGAGACCTTGCGGTGTCTGTGCCGTGGAAGCGGGCGTCGCGAGCCCCCCCGCCAGCGCTGAGCGCCCTAGAAGTGAACGGAGAGAGACCCCGGGCGGGCGCGGAGGGACGCGCCCGGAACTGCAAGAGCATCCTTCCTGCGTCGACGATGATCTGATTACCCCGCGCGCCTGCAACGGGTCGAGATGGACGAACCGCTCGGGCGTCCGGGCGTGATGGAGGACCTCTGGAATCCTGCCAAGGTACGCAGCGGGTAGAACCCGGAACAACGGCGCCGCCATCGCACGACGAAGACGATTGCCGCGCCCTCCTCCGCCTGGCGCGTCCGGGCGATTTCGGAGCCTCGAGCTCCCGGCACGGTCCGAGCAAAGCAGCACTCGCGGCGCTCGCTCCCGGGCGGCTGGCGGGCGCCGGGCCGGCGCGCGATGCGCCGACAGCTGTCCTTCACCGCGAAGCCCGGGCACACGCGCCGGACGCGCCGTTGCATCGCTCCCCGCCGCGTGGCCAGCCCGAATCCGATGCAACTGCGTGTGCGGCCCTCTGCGGTGCAGGCGGCGCGGCACCTGCTCGCGGGCGACGGCGGTGCGGTGTACGCGCTGCCACGCTGGAGGCTCGTCGTTCTGATGGTTTGCGTCGTCCTGACGTCCATCACGTTCACGGTCGGGCTCGGTGCTCTCAAGCGATGGCTCCATCGCTCCAGCCGCGTCGGTACGCCACTTCACCGCCCTCGTCGCCGCGCGCCCCGACCGACGCGCCAGCCCTCGTCCGGCTGGAGCAAGCCGGGGCCGGAATAGCGGCGCGGCGCGGCGCGCGCGTGCGTTCAGTGCTGCTCTCTTGGCGCCCCGCCCGAGGCGCGCGAAACCGCCGGGACCCTCGCGCGCGCGCCGCAGGTGTTGCTTGGATGCTCAAGGCCCTCGAGGAGGAGCTGCTGGCCCTCGGCTTCATATCCTTGCTTCTGTTTGCCATCCAAGAAGAACTCCTCAAGATTTGCGTGCCCTGCGACGACCAGACATGCGACGACCCCCTCCACAAAGACGACGCGTGCCCGGACGGCTCCGAGCAGTTCTTCACACGTGCGCCCCCGCACGCCACCCCCGCCTGCCCCCCGCAGCCCCCCCCCAAGCCAACCCAACTCCCCCTCCCGCGCCACCTCCCCCGCGCAGGCGGCGCGATCCACAGCGTGCACCTCCTCATCTTCCTCATCGCGTGCACCCACGTGACGTACCTCTTCTTCTCCCTCCTCGTCGTGCTGCTCAAAATGCGCCGCTGGGTGCCCTGGGAGCAGCACGCGTCCGCTGCGGCGCGCCACGGCCTCGAGCTGGACCTGCGCTCGCGGCGCGTGGCCGACCGGAAGACCTCGCGCGCGCTGCGGCGCATCCGGCACTACGCCCACGCGGTCATGGGCACCGTGATGGATCACATCGAGGAAGCTGATTACCACGCGCTGCGCACGATCGTGGTCCAGGGTCTCGGGATCCACGTGGACTTCGACTTCCTGCACTACCTCGTCATGGGCGTCGAGGAGGAGTACGCCCAGTTCTTCAGAGTGAGTCATGAGCTCAACACCCCCCCCCCTGCGGCACGACGCAGCACCGGCCGTGCCTGCTCGCCCGCAGCACCGCGATGCCCCCGCGGCGCGCGCAACTCTGTGCTCGGGGAGCCCGCCTCTCCAACGGCCCGTTTTGCGCCGTGCGTGTGCTGCACAGGTGGGGTGGATCAACTGGGTGCTCGTCGCGGTGTGGGTCGTGGTGCCCTACTCCGCCTACATCTTCGCCATCCTCTCCCTCCTCGCCACCGTCGTCGCCGGGTACAAGCTCTCCTCGATTGCAAACATTCTCGCCAACCAAGCTTTTCTCGAGTACGGAAGCACGATCCCAGCGCCCGGCGCGCGCCCGGCGCGCGAGGACGCGCGCGCAACATCGCGCCAGCCCGCGCGGCCCGCGCGCCGCCGGAACCTCGAGCGCGCGTCCGCGACGGTGTTCGACAGCGTGGTGCCGCACCCGGGGGAAGATGGCCGCCCAATCGGCGACCTGCTGCCCGGGCCGCCGGCGACGATGAAGCGCGGCGGCGGACTGCTGCGGCAGGCGACGCTTCGGAAGGCCGCGGAGGGCGCCGCGCCGTCGGCGCGGCCGTGGTGGACGCACGCGCCGTCTGCGGCGCAGCCGCCGTCGTCGCGGGCCGCGCACGTGGCGGAGCCGGGCCAGCCTGCGACGCTGAACGGCGGGAGTGACAGCGAAGCGAACAAGTCTGATTCCGGGACGGAGGCGTCGCGGCATAAGTCTGCGCATAAGGCGGCGGCCGCGGCGAGCGCTGCGGCGGAGCGGAGGCAGCAGCGCGAGGGGCGGACCCGGGCGCCCGGGAAGGCGGCCGCGCACTTGCCGGCGGTTCTGTCGCTGAAGAAGCGCGGCGCGTCCGAGGGCGGCGAGGCCCTGGCGCACTCGTTGTCGGCGCAGCGCTCGCGGGCGGCCGCGGGACGCCCGCAGGTGAACGGTGTCGCGAACGGGCTGCAGCGGCGGAGCATGCGCGATCCAAACTCGACGCTCGAGGACATCCAGGAGAACAAAGTCCACGTTCCGGACGACGTCGGGCGCCGCGTCCGCGCGCCGTCGTCCCCGCGCTCTCACTGCATCTCCGACGGGCACTCCGCCGAGGGCGTGACCGTGCACGGCGGCATCCACGGCTGGCTCAAGCGCACGGCGGGCGCGGACCTCGACCCCGGCACCGCACCGCGCCCCGCGGCGCTGCTGCAGATCGCGGGCGAGTGCGGGTTTCTTGGCAACGACCCCGACGAACTGGATCGCGCGCAGCGCGAGCTGGACGCGGTGGTCTCGGACCACCGCGCCGCGCCGATCGAGATGGAGGAGGGCGTCTCGCAGCGCCGCGCGCTGGGGCTCACACGCAGCACGAACCTACGGCGGGCACCCGCCGCCAAGCCGGCCCCGCCGCCGCCGCCGCCGCCGCAGCCGCAGCGCGCGCAGCCGCGCCACCGGGCGTCCGCGGAGGGCCGCCCCCTGCACTCCCGCATCATGGCGCGCTCCATGACCGTCCCGTCCCGTCGGGGGGGGTCTATGGACGAGCCCGATGGTCCGGAGAAGGTGTCGCAGGATTCCACGGAGGCGATGTCGGGGGGGGCGTCGCCGCGGGAGCGGCGCGCGACGGAGGACGGGTCCGGGGTGGAGGAGGCCGGGCGCGGGCGCGGGCAGCGCGCGGGGCTGCTGAGCACGTCAGCGCTCATCCGGGGGCGTCCCGAGGAGCTGTTTTGGTTCTCGCAGCCGATTTTGCTGCTGCGGATGCTGCAGTTCTCGTTCTTCGAGAACGCGCTGTCGATCGCGGTCGTGCTGCTCCTCGCGTGGGTCGGCCGCGAGGAGGAGGGGGGGGCGTCGGAGATCCTCCCTGGCTCAGTGCCGTGGTTCATGCTGCTCACGCTGCTCACGGTCGACGTCGCGGTGATGATACACGCGAGCTGGGTGTCGGTGCCGCTCTACGGCATCGTGTCGCGCGCCGCCGCCTCGACACGTCTGTCGGTGTTGCGCTACTTCAACGACTCGCAAATCAAGCCGCAGCTGCTGCGGCACCTGCAGCAGCAGCGCGGCGCCGGCAGCCTGGTCGAGGAGCGGCCGAAGCGCGCGGACAGCCGGACGTCGAAGGCGGGTGGCAGCAGCGCCGGCGGCGACCGGCGGCGCACGCTGGCGCGCAACAGCATCGGCAAGCGGCTGGTCGGGGTGTCGCAGCAGCTCATGCGCGGCGTGGGGAAGCTCGCGAACGCCAGCCTCGGGATCACCGAGGACGGCCTGGCCAGCCCCGTGCAGCGCGCCTCCACCGCCAAGCTCATGGACGCGGTCGTCAAGAGCGCGCAGGCGCGCGCGCCGGGCGCCGTCGCCGTGCGGCCGGTCGGCGGAGCAGCGTCGCTCGCGTCCGACGCGGACGACCACGAGCATCCGACTGCCGACAACCTCGTGAGAAAGTCGATTGATCACGCGCTGGGCCTGTATCCCGGGGAGCAGGCGCCACCCGCGAGGCGCACGGCGGGCTCGCAGGCCGGGGACGTGCCCGCGGAGGCCGTCGACCACGTCGCGGGCGCCGCGGCCGCGGCCGCGGCCGACGTGGGGTTGTCTCCGGATAACATCCCCATGGACTTGCTGTTCGAGAAACTCGGGTATAACAAACCCGGGGCGGGCGAACAGCCAGCTGCGGGGGTGCCCGTCGTTGATCTGGCGCCGTCGTCGTCGCTGTTGGGCGGGGAGGTGCCCTCGCAGCGGGACGCGTTCGACAGCGAGGCACGTTGCACGGAGGGCCCCGACGACGACGATGACGACGACGGAGGGGCGCGTGTGTGATGAGGCACGCGGGGCACGGTTGACACGCGCGCTGACGGCGTGGCGGGCCGTGGCGTGTTTTCCGGTCGCTTGTTTGGGTGCGTGAAGTGCGGTGGAAGTTGGCGGGCGTGTGCGGGGCCGGGAAGGTCCGCGCGCGTGTAACTTGAGACGAATGTGGGGTCACGTCGACCGGGATGCAGGAAGCCAGGGCATGCGAAGTACAAACCGGGTGCTCGTAGGTCAGCGAAGAACTAAACCAGGGCATGCTGCAACAGTGAAGGTCAGCGAACCAATAGCAAGAGTATAGTCGGCTCGCACCATGAATCACTGTGGGACAACGAGCAGAACGTGCGCGAGAGGATTCACCACAGCAGCGCACACCATTTCGGTGCCGACCTGTATACGTCCCTTTCGGGCCTAGTCTGCCACAAGCCGCTGGGGCGCCGAATAGCGCTACCCGAGCGGGGCGCGCACGCTTGGCAGCGATCCCGCCGTGGGCATCTGGATGCTGCGCCCCTGGACCGCCTCGACGCCGAAAGAGTCCCCCCCCCCCGACTCGAGTGCTTCCAGCGCCCTGCTCGCCAGCGACGCCTGCAGGCCAAGGCACCCGTCTGCGACGGCTCGGCATGCGTCGTCGGGGTCGGTATCCTTCGTCTTCGCGACCCACGCCTGCAGCCACGCCAGGCGCCCCGCGAGGGAGGTGTCTGCGCCTGCGTCCGCTTGACCCCCCCCCTCCTGGTCCAGCACGGCGCGTGCGACCGCCCCGGCCGGGAGGGACGCGAGCACCTGCGCGGCCGCGAGCAGCGACGCGCGGCGCACGAACGCCTGCTCGTGCGCGTGGACGTCAGGCGCCGACAACACCTCGAGCAACGCACGCGACAACGGCACGACCTGCGCGTGCGGCGCGGTGCACTCGACGACGGTCCCCATCGTGAACAGGAGCTTCCCGAGGACCACGAAGTCTCGCCCGAAGATGTCCCAGCCCGGACGGCGCTCGCTGATGCCTGACAGCAGTGCCGCCATCCACTCCCCCGCCACCGTCGGCAGCCGGTTCCGCCAGGTTCTGGCCGCGGGCTTCTTCCGGAGCTCGAGCGCGCGCTGCGCGAACACCCGCGTCGTGCCGACGGGCGACGGGCCCGCCCGCGGTGCGGGCAAGCCGCCCGGGGGGGACAATAAGGTTGTTGTCGGGGGGGGGAGTTCCTTTCGCTGCGAGGGCGGCGCGGAGAGCTCGACGGCGGCCGCGGCCGTGCAGTCCAGCACCAACAGACGCTGCGTCGTGTCGAGGTGCGGCCCGAACGCCTCGGAGAGCACGGCAAGCCCAGCGGACAGGGGCTCCGCCGCGACCGTCGCAACGAGAGAGGCGCGGCGCGCGGCCTGGCCGTCCGGGGCCTGGACGCCATCCATCCAGACGGGGATGTTGGCGTGCAGGAGGTTTCGTGCGAGCTCGGGGGCGAGCTGCGCGAGCTCGTGCGGGCTGGCACGCACCATCTCTTCCAGAGCCAGGAGAGACCTGCGGCAACGCACACGCCGCATGCGTCGCAATGAATCATTCGTTCATCGCGGCAGCACGCACGTGTGAGCACCGTGCACGCGACCAAGCAGGGCCGCCAAGCGGGGAAGGAAGCCTCTGTTCAGTGCACTTTGTTGCCGCCGCTGTTTTGTTTTTTGTTGCTGCGGATGGTCCGTGCGCATTTGCTGCGCGGGCGCGCACCGTTCGAAGAGCAGCATGGTCTCCGGCTCCTGCTTCGCGGGGCGCAGGGCCGCGATCAGCGGCCGCAGCTGCCGCGGCGCCTCGACCGGCTTTCCGTCGGGTCCCAGCTTCGCATCCTCCGCATCCAGGTCCGGCAGCGGCCTGCACGCGCCAGACGAGCGAGAATAGCTGCGTTCGTGAAAGCTTGTCGATCGGGGACTCCGAGTCGCGCACGCCGGCGTCTCGGAACGCACCTGTTGGCAACGCCGCCCCATGCGCCCTGCTTGTCCTCGTCGTCGCTGTCCGAGCCGCTCCACCACTCGTCGTCGTCCTCCGCCACTGCGTCGTGCACCCCGCCCTCTTCCTCCCCCGCCTCCGCCGCCGCCACACCCCCCCCGCCCATCTCAACACCCCCACCGTCATTGGGGGTGTCCGCGGGCGCCGCGGGGGCCTCGGTGCGGCCGCCACCGCGCTCCCAGACCCGCTCCAGCGCTTCCTCGCTCCACCACCGCTCCTCCGCCGCAAGCTCGTCGAGACTCTCGTCTTCGAACAGCGTCACCGACTCCCCCCCCGACTGACTGGGTGCCGGCATGCAGCGCGACATCGCGCGAGCCACGCGCTTCGCCTGCTGCTGCGTCGCCCGGATCGGGCTCCCCAGACGCTCGGAGACGCCCTGGAGTATCGCCGTCAGCGCCGCCTGGGAGACTCCCCCCGGGGGCTGCAGCGTCAGCAGCTGACACAGCGCGTGCGCGTGCGACGCTCCGAGGGACGCGGACTGCCGCGCGGCCGTCCCCGCCGCGCCCCACCAGTCCGCGACGTGATCGAGCAGTGCCCGCGCCGCGGCTACTGCCCCTTCGTCGCCGCCCCGCAGTGCCTCGACGACGGCGTCGATGGCTGCTGGGTGCACCGGGCGGGACGTGAGGAGGCGCTGCGCTGCCAGGAGGCCCTCGGACGCGTTGTCTGCGACGGGGCAGGCGAGGAGCGATCGCACGAGCCGCAGGACCGCGGCCGGCGGCTTTGGCCGTGCTTCGCGCGCCGCTGCAATCTCAAGGATCGAGTTCACGAGCCGCACGCCGGGATCGAGGCCCTGAATGCCGCGCATGAGCGTTGCCCACAGCTGCGCCTCGCTCGCGGCGTGCCTGGCGTCGTCTGAGGCGGGCGGGGGGGAGTGTGGCGCCACGTCATGGACACGCCCCCACATCGCCCACGCGACGTCCTCGGCGTGTCCGCGGAGGCACAGGCGCCCGAGCGCAGCGCAGGCCGCCTCCCGCCGCACGTCGTCGGCCCGCGGAACCGCGTCCAGCAGCCTCGACGCTAGCTCCCGCGCGAACGTTCCACAGCGCACTTGCAGTCGGTCCGCCACGTGGCTGGCGGGCAGATCGGCGAGCGACACCAGCGCCCCGAGCGACGACGACAGCCCCGGCTCGTCCTCCGCGTCGGCGCCCTCGCCCGCGGCGCCCAGCACCCTCTCAAGCCCGGACGGCGGGGCGCCTAGCACAAAGGTGCGCATCAGCCGTGCCGCCTCGGCGGCGCCGACTTCTTCCACCACGAGCCCGGCCGCGCCGGCCGGGTCCGTTGCCGGCCCTCCGGACCGCAGAGTCTGCGCCAGGACGCGCGTGCAGAGCCCTGGCGGGCAGCGCTGGTAGAAAAGGTCTACCACCGGGGCGCTGCTGGTCTCCGAGGCTGGCGCGATTCGTCCGACGCCGGGCACGGCGAGGAGCGCGTCCGAGAGCGTCGCGAACGGGACTGCACTCGGCGATGACACGCGGGCGCTCGCTCGTGAGCGGCGCACAAGCAACAGATGCCGTCGTCCGCGCCGAAGATCGAGCAAAACGAACGGTTTCATCGCTCCCATGCATCATCATGATATCTTGCGTCCAGCGACGTGTTATGCGTCGTCGTTTTCGAGACGCGGAGGGCGCGCACCGTGAGGTTCCCTGAGGAGCACAGACGCGAGCTTGTCCGCGCCCTCGCGCGAGTGTTCCGCGAAATCAGACGCTCCCACGGCCGCCAGGCACGCGATCGAGGCCCGGACGATGACGGATGCGCCCCCTCGGCGCTGCCCGTCGCGTTCAGGCCCCCTACCCTGCTCCGTCGGGACAGCGTCGCCTCCCGTGGCCTCGATCGAGCCGGCCACGTCCGACGCGCCGGCTGCAAAGAACACGGCCGCGAGAATCTGTAGAATGAGCGCGCAGTCATCGCGACCGGCGCCCTGCAGTTCACGGCTCGCTTCCGCCACTAGCTGGTGCACGCAACGGTCCACCCGCGACGCCGACATCGCGCGGCCCCCGCAGGAGACGAGCCGGCCGGGCGGTGAGCGAGTGCGTGCGCTCTCTGGCGCGTGCGACCGCATGAGGGCCTCGCCTCGGGGAGTCTGTGGAGGGTGTCGGGCGACGACGTCCCGGGAGTCTTTCGGAGAGCCGTTGGCGCGGCTGCTGCGGCGTGGACGACGACGACGGGCGCGCCGCGCGACGAGCATGGCCGGTTCTGGAGCTAGGCACACGCGGGCGATTCGACCTCTGAAGGTTCGCGCCGGCGACAGCGTTGGGAGCAGGGCATCAAAGCAGGCCGTCCTGGAGCTCAGCGCAGCGCAATATGATTGTGATCTGCTACCACTACCCGTGTCCGGACGGCATCTTCGCTGCGCTCGCAGCGCACGTCCACTTCCGCGACGCAGGAGAGCCCGTGCGGTGCGCCCACCAGCCTGTGGTGATCAGTGCCCCGCCCACGCGGATCCGTGCCCTCTGTCGCGCCCGACGCAATTCCCACCGATACTTCAGTCTTCGAATCCACGTCGCGTGTGCCCAAAAACACCCCCCAGGTGCACACGCGCAGGTATTTCCCGCTAACCACCTACAAGGACGCCTCCGTCGCGGACGTCGGCCTCTCACGCGACGACACGGTCTACATGCTGGACTTCGCGGGCCACCCGGGCTTCGCGCAGGACCTGTGCGCCGCGTGCGCCCGCGTCGTCGTCCTGGACCACCACAAAACCGCCCTGGAGGCCCTCGGGGACCCTGCGAGTCGCCCCGAGAACATGGAGGTGACGTTCGACATGGACCGCAGCGGGGCGACGATCGCGCGCGACCACTTCGCCCCCAAGGTGCCGGAAACGGTCGCCGCGATGATCAGGCAAGGCTAATCCCGAACCTCAACCATACATCAACCATGATGCGTGCGTGTCGCGCGGCACATGCGGTCGCGATCCAGCCCGCTCTTCAGCGTCGTCGCACAGTACGTCTGTGGTCAGGTGCTCCACACGAAGCGCACGCTGAGGCTGTGTAGAGCACCTGACACCGCACGAACTGTACGACGACGCTGAAGTGCGGGCCAGACCGCGACCGCGGACCCAACTTTCTGCCTGCGGATGAGCCGCGCTGTAGCTGGACGCCTCCTTCACCGTCCCGCCGACCACTTCGGAGTGCACGAGACGGAATGCGAAGATTGATCGACCGCGAGTGGAACATCGCGCGCCGTTCCGCCCCGCCGCCGCCGCAGGTACATCGAGGATGGCGACCTCTGGCGCTGGGCGCTCGCGGAGTCCAAGCCCTTCTACGCGGGCCTGCGCGCCAAGGGCATCGAGTACGACGCCAACAAGGACCCGGGGGTGTTCGAAACACTCCTCCGCCTCGACCCCGGCGAGCTCATCGCTGCCGGCGCGGACCTCATGGCGGAGGAGGCCCGCGTCGTGGACGCGCACGTCGCGGCGGCGTTCGTCGTGCAGCTGGGCGGCGCGCGCGGCCGCAGTGAGGGTTGGGGGTCGTGCTTGGCCGTGCGCGCCGACGGGGCGAGCGACCTGCGGTCGCCGATGGGCAACGCGCTGGCGGCGGCGTCGCGGGCGCGCGGGCTGCGGCACATGGGCGTCGTGGCGTACGTCGAGCCTGACGCAGGAGAGCCTGACAGCATTAAGGTCAGCATGAGGAGCGTGGGTCCGACTGAGGACACGACGGTGGTCACGAAGGCGTACGGGGGCGGAGGGCACTTGAATGCGTCGTCGTGCGTGATGTCGATCGAGGAATTCGAGGCCTGGCGCGTCAAGGAGTGAGCGCGCTGTGCGTGTGACCAGTGCGAGGCTGTGGGGTGGGTGCGGCACCGCGCGACGGAAAGCGATCGCTTGCTCGAAAGCGGGATCTGTTTACACCGTGCTGGGCTACACCGCACCCTCCGGCCGTCGTCGTCGTGGTCGCTACGACTACGACTGGTAGTCCTGGACGTCGTGGTCGAGCAGGGACCGCGAGTGGCGCACGATGGCGCGTCCGACGGCGTTGATCCAGTCCTCCTTGTCCTTTTCCTCGTCCGCGATGAAGAACTGCGAGCCCCCCGGCATCGCGATCTCGAACGAATGCGGCTTGTTGATGGTCTCCTCCGCGCCCTGCAGCCGGGGCGCGCGGGGCCTGAACGACGCGGCGACTCGCGCTCGCGGAAAAACAAAAACACCCGGGAGCCGCCCGCGGGGGCCGTTCCGCCGCGCACCTTGACCGAGAGGCACTTTCCAACGTCGATGACTCCTCGCGGCTCCGAGTCCCTTGTGACGCGGTCGAACTTGAACCAGAAGATCTTGCCGTCCTTGAGCACGAACCAGCGCCGCCGCCACGTCTTGATGTACTCCCCCTGCTTCATCAACCACCCACACCTGCACGCAACACACCAGCACTGACATCGCTCGTGTGCCGCGAAACTCAAGCAGGCGGCCCCGAGCGCGCACACCCTGACGCACGTAGCTGGGCCGCGGCGGTTCGCGGCGCGGGAAAGGACCCTGCGCTGCTGCTGCTGCTGCTGCTGCTCCGGGCCGGGCCGCGGACAGCCGGGCTCGGTGTGGAGGGTCGGAGTGCCTCCGGCGTCGCCTGCGGGCTCCCGCGTGCGTGCGCGCGGCCGCGGACACAAGCACGAGTGTCCGAACGTCCCGAATCCGGCGGGCGCGGCCAAGGCTCCCCGCGTACGCGGCGAGCGCGCAGGAAGAGAGCGTGAGCAGATGAACCAGCCGGCAGCGCTGGCCACAGGCCGAGTTCCGGGGCCCCCGGCGCCCCCGAGATCGCAGATGGCGTGTCCCCGTGGGCGCACGCGGACTCTGAGCAGGCGGCGCGCACGCAGCTGCGCGGAAGCCCCACGGACGCTGCGTGAGGCGAGACGCACCGTTCCGGCTTCTCCCAGTACGCCGTGTCCCCCGCCGCCTGCCTGACGGTCCCGAAGATCGAGTTCAGCATCGCGCCGTGCTTCCTCTGCACCGCTCGCCGCCGCGGCCCGGTCGCGCCCCCAACCACTACCAGCGCTCTCTCTCGCTCCGCAGCGGGCCGTTCGGGCGAAGCGCGTCGCGCACGGTGCTCTCTGTGACACTGCGCGCCCTCCAGCGGCCGGCCCGGCCCTTGGAACCCAGAACATGGGCGTGGGGGGAGCACGTGAGACGTCCAACAGCTCAACAGGGCAGCCTAGTCGGACGCGCCTGGACGCGCCGGTCCGGGCTCAGTGCGCGACGCGGGCCCGGCGGCGGCCAGTACGCGATGCGTTCGGGCCCGGAAAGGCAGCTTCGACGCAGCATGGTTACCCTGGCGTGCTGACGACGCGCAACGTCTCGCCCTTTGTGTTGGAAGCTGCGTCCCCGCGGCGAACATGTTGGTGGGATCTCGCATGACGCGGAGGGACATGGTCGCGCGAGCGACCTTGCTGGCGGCCTTGTTTGGACTTTTCGCGACGTTCGCCCACGCAGCGTGCCCCGACCAGGTCAAGCCACACACTCTCGCGGCGCGCGGCCTGCGCGGCCGCTCGGCCCGGCCCCTCGCCTGCTTCCTGCGCAGGATCTGAGCTCCCCCGCGCTGCCGTGTCCCCGCAGGCCCAGGTCGAGGCCGCCTTCCAGACTGGCGGGGTGCCCTTTCACCAGCTCCTGGCTGGCGACGTGATCGAGTTCGCGACCTTCGAGGAGGCGCCGTACGCCGAATACAACGCTGCGACTCAGACGTGGTCGGGCTTCGTCATCGACCTCATCAGGTGCGCTCCCAGGGACACAGCACGGGTGCCCTCACACCGCGCATGCTCCTGCTCGCCCGCGCGCGCGCGCCGCATCCGCGAACGTGCACCGGCGTCGACGCTTCCCACTCTGCGCGTACCTGCAGGGCCGTGGCGGCCGAGGGCGGCTTCGACATCACCATCACGCGCCTGCCCTTCCCTGATGGTTCACCGGGCAACACCATCTCAGAAATGCTGGTTCGTGAGACCCTGAGGCACGACATCCTCGGGCCCTTCTTCGTGGACAACTCCGCCCGACGCGCCATGGGCGTCAGCTTCACGCACCACTTCATCGGTGCGCCCCCCGCCGCGCGCCCTACCCGCGCCACAACCCTCATGCCATGCAACAGCAACAACAACACCCGGCCCCGCTCGCGCACCGCAGACACCAGCGCGTACGTCATCGTCCACACGCCCACGAACAACCAGCCGAACTGGTGGCGCCAGGGCCACCGCCTCTTCGACCCCTTCACCAGGGGCGTCTGGGGTCTCATCATCGGAGCCACGGTGTTCCTGGGGGTGGTCCACTACGTCGTCAGCGGCGCCTTCTACGCCGCGGTCATGCGGTTCCACGCGGGTCGGCGGCCCGGCACGCCCCGCGGGAAGACCACGCCCTGCGTGGAGGAGAACGGGAACGGCATCGTGAAGGCGCATGACGACGACGCGACCGCCGAGGGTGAAGGCGACGGGACGCGCGGCGGAGTCGGTCTGGCCAAGGCGCTGACGGCGGGGCTGACGGACTCGACGTACTGGGCGGCGTCGTCGGCGGTGGCGGGCGGCGACATGCGCGAGGTGGCGCGCAACCCCCTGACGAAGATGATGGTCACGGTGTGGGGGTTCATGACGGTCATCATCGTGGCGTCGTACACCGCGAACCTCACGTCGTTCCTCGTCGTCCAGGCGACGCAGGGCTCGATCAACGGCATCAACGACTTGATCGTGCAGGGGACGCCGACGTGCGTCTTCCACACCGAGAGCCTCGCGACGCAGCTGCCGCAGAAGTTCCCGCAGCTGCGCGTGCGCGAGGTGCAGTGGCAGAGCGAGGGCTTCCAGCCGTACATCGACAGCGGGCAGTGCGGCGCCGGAGTGCAGGGGTGGGGCATGGCGGAGAGTTGGCTCGGGCACGGCGCCGGGTGCAACTTCACGATGGTCGGGGCGCCCGTGACGAAGACGGGCGGCGGGTTCGCGTACTCGTCGGTGAACTGCGGACCGCTCTTCGGAGTCATCCTCGACGCGATCTTCACGCGCCTCGAGGTGCGCATGCAGGGGGGGGGTGTTTCGACCCCGCCCCAGTATCAAGGCAGGAGGGCGCTCGTGCGTCGTCGGGGGCCGCTCGCCTGCGCTGCGCGGCATGCCCTGCGTTGTATCAGCGGCGCAGCTGCCGTTGCGCGGCGCGCAAAGCAGTTGACTGACTTCCGTGCTCCGCTCGGGGCGTCGTTGTTCGCAGGAGCGTGGCGAGATCGACGCGCTGTGGAAGCGCTGGAAGCTCGACCAGTGCCCGCACTCCCCGCCGACGGTGTCGAGCAGCGCGACGACACTCAATGTCCGCGAGCTCGGGTTCCTGTTCGTGCTGCTCCTCATCTCCTCGGCGTTCGCGATCTGCGTCCACGGCGTGATGGTGGCCCTCGGACGCTGGGACTACGTGCCGGAAGACTGACGCCATAAGCTGTCTCGGCAACCACCAATGGACGACGCCGGCCCGGGGGCACGGCGCCGCTTGTTTTTCCTTCGCTGACCCGCACGCCCCCTCGCTGGTAAACAGGGCCTCACGCTGGCGGCAGTGTCGGCTGGTGCGGGGCACGCATGGACTGCTTGCGCAGGCATCTGATCGCACGTTCACAAGCCTATTTGCCACACCTGCTCCAGAAACAGAGCGCGGGTGTTGCTCGCGTCCGGAACAGCGGCGCCGTGCTCGGAGTACTCGTGTGGGAGTCCTTGGCCCAGGCCACCGAAGACGAAACTGATGTGATGTCAATGCACTCCTAATCGTGCATGGGGGAGGGGGTCGGAGCGCATTGCTCGGTCGGGAGAGGTCAAAATGAGGGGGTCAACGAGATCGTCACGCCCGATCCTAGACCGGGCGGCCAGCTGCTGCGCCGCGCGCGCGCGCATGCAGCGTTGACCTAGTCTAGTGGCTCCAGTCGTCCACGCGACTGGAGCGCCGCTCGCACGCGGGCCCGCTGGTGGCTGGGCGGGCGTCGAGAGGCCAGAATGGCTGAGAGACGATGAAGTGCGGGCGGGAGGCCCGGCTCTGGTTTTCACTGCTGCGGCGATGGTTCGAGTGCGATCGGAGCGAGAATTCGGTCGGAAGCCGGTCGCTCCGCTGAAGGCGTGAAAGGGTCGCGATCCTGCTGTAGGAGCAGGGCATGGGGGTCGGGTGTCAATGATGCGCCGGGACGCAAGCATGCAAATGCTTTGCAAACGAGCGACAGGCCGCGAGGGCCCGTTCGGCGTTACCCCGCATGCTGAAGTGAGCGATCTAGGCATGCTTTTGCCAACTGTGCAGTGCTCGCTCTCCAACGGGAGAGCGCGAAGCGTTCGGAGGTGCAATGTTGCACCGCATGTGGTGCGCAAGCGCGCCTCGCGCCGCGGCGCGGGCAGTCGTGGTTACCGCGGGCGCAGCGACATCAGGCCGTGCGGGTGGTTGCCCGCGTGCGACGGCCCGCGCCCGGAGTCCGTCGGCCGCTTCGCCAGCCCCAGCCGCTCCCGGAACGTCGCCAGCCGCTGCTGGCAGTCCATGCGCAGGTATTTCGGGACCTGCAAGATGTCGACTCCCCCGAGCTCGACCGCGTGCGGCGCGTCCTCGAGCTCCTCGACCATCGACCCCGCGGCGCCGGACCCGAGCGTCCCCGCGTCGAAGTCGCGCTGCGACGAGGGCGCGCGCAGCGTGCGCACCCCGCCCGACCCGCGCGGCTTGGTGAACCGCACGGCCGGGCGCGCGGGGAGCCCGGCGATCGAGTGGCAGCACTGCCCGTTCGGCGGGGCGCGCAGGATCGTCGCCGCGAGCGCCCCCGCGGGACACGACAGAATCGAGTTGCTGGACAGAAGGCCCTCGTTGGTCGCGATCGCGTCGAAGCGGTCCCGGTCGACCATGGCGACCCAGGTCCGGTACGTGCGGTACAGCGCGCGCGTGATCGTGCGCTTCAGCGACGGGATCCGCTCCGCCAGCGCCGACACGAACGGGCGGATGATGATCTCCAGGAACTCCACCTGCCCGCCGGGCACGTACGTTTCCTTCGCGTTCATGATCGGCAGGGACGGGATCCCGAGGCTGCTCTCCATCTCGCCCTGCGCGAAGAACTCGTCCATCACGCGCTTCGTCCACTCGATGTTGGTGGACCCCGTCTTGAGGACGTGCGACAGGTCCGCGAGGTGGAGCAGGCTCTGGATGAGCAGCTTCTTCTGCTGCGGCGTCAGGGCCGACGTCACGACGTGCGAGTCCTCGTCGTGCGGCGCCGCGTTCTCGCTCACCCACAGCGCCGCCTCCGTCATCGTCTCCAGCCCCGCGATCAGGTCAAAGTGGATCGCCATGTCCGTTCCCAGGATCGCGCTCACGCACGTCTGCCGCACGTGCGCCCACTCGCGGTCCGGCATCCCCTGCAGCAGGTTCGCCTCCGGGTGCGACGTGACCAGCTCGAACAGCGTCGCCGCGTGCATGCTCTCCTGCACCGCCGCGTCGTTGTACCGGATCGCGAGGGGGTCCCGCGTGGCCACGAGGAACGCGTTGTTCGTCCCGCGGTGGTCCAGGTCGTGCCCGACCGCGGCCAGCATCAGCGCCAGCCGCTCCGACCGCGACAGCACCGTGCTGAGCTCCGTGCCCTCGTACAGCAACATAAACGTCGAGTGCGTGACGTCGCACGCGTGCATCCAGTTGTGGTACGGGTTGTTGTCGCGGTAGCTCGCCTCCGCGACCGCGAGGAACGAGTAGAGCTTGCTGCGCGGCACGCGCCCGCGCCCCGCCAGCGGGCCGTCCGTCACGAGGTCGAGCTTCTCAAACATCGACGCCACGCACGCGCGCAGCTCCTCGCGGTTGACGAGCAGCGCGGACCAGTTCCACGACAGCAGCGGCTCGCTGTCGCCCAGCATCAGCGCCGCGGGGCTCGGTTTCGCCGCGCCGCTAGGGCTGTCCTGCAGCGGCTCTGTCCGGTCGCTGGCCCGCGAGTTGACCGACGCCTTCTTCGCGGGGTCCGCCGGGACGATCGACGAGCGGCTCTTGCGGCCGCGGCCGCCCTTGATGGTCGACTTGCGGCGCGTGGCGCGGCCGTGGCTCCCGCTGTCGCCCGCGCCGTCGTTGCGGTCCGCGAACACGTCGGCCCACATCGCGCCGCCCTCGCGGTCGCCCCCCTCGTTGCCCTCCCTGCCCGCGTCCTGCTTCGCCTGGTCCATCAGGCGGTCCAGAACCATCCTGCCCCCTTTATACGCCTTTGTCATGATGTCGATAAACCGTGTGATGCGCGACACCGCCGCCTCCACCGGCATCGCGCGCGCGACGGTCCAGCTCGCGTCCGCGCCGTGGCTCGTCTGCGCGGGCTTCGCGTCGCCCACGAGCACGCCCTGGGAGTCCAGCACCGACGCCGCCACGCACAGCGTGTGCAGCAAACTCTGGACGGGCCGCATCATGCACGCGCTCGCCAGCGAGAGGCTCGTCAGGACCAGCAGCGACAGCAGCGCGAACTGCACGCCCTTGCCCTTGGCTATCGCGGCGCGGTCCCCCGCCGCCGCCTCCGAGCCCTCCACACGCACCATCACGCGACCGCTCGCCGAGACGATCCAGAAGCCGTCCTCCGGCGCCGTGCTCGGAACGATCGCCGCCGCCTCCGTCGCGCTGGCCCGCGCGACCGGCGTGTTGTCCGACGGAGCGTATGCCTTTGTGAGGGCGTTGTCTACGAACACGTGCGTGGCGAACTGCACGAGGTCGTTGCTGCCGGCGTCCCGCGCCAGCACGGGCTGTCCTGCAGCAGCAGCGACGAGGAGGGAGCGACGGGCAGGATCAGAACGTGCCCGCGCACGCGGAGGGAGCGACGTACGTGGGCGAGCACGCCGCAACGGCAGCGCTGTGCCGGGCGCGCGAGCCGCACGCAGGCGTGCTGGTCCAAGGTCGCGCTCGCACCTAGCGCGATCACCAGGGCCTCACTCCGCCCCTGAGTCATCCCGGTGGCGTCGTCCAGCGACTGAACGAACGGGCCCAGCGACGCGAAGGTCGCGTGCGCCGAGCCCACGAGGTAGGCGATCAGGGCGGTGAGCCCAACGGCGCTCACGACGCCCAGCGACGTCAGGTACATCAGCCAGAGGTTGGGCCCCACGCGCGACGCGCTTGGATGCTCCGCTCGCGCGCCGGCCTCGGCGCGCTCGATCTTCGTCGGCGCGTCGATGTACCGCCAGACCGACACGACGACCTTGAGGAACGTCAGCGGGAGCACGAGGAAGTGCAGCATGAGGTTGGCCGCCGCGCTGGCCTCGAGGTCACCCGTCAGGTCAACGTACTGCTCCGGGTCGTCGACGTGCGCGACCGGGTACGCGTGCGAGCGCAGCGCGGGCCAGATCAGCAGCGCCACGGGCGCGAGCAGGTCGATCGCGACCGGCACCGGCGCCGCGAGGTGCCAGTAGAGGTGCGTGCCCAACAGGCCGATGTAGAGCTGGAGGGCGGTGTCGGCGGCCAGGACGGCCGCGAGGACGACGCTCGCGGCCCACGTCGCGGCTGTGCTCGGGACGCCCCCCTCCGCGCTCTCCAGGATGACCTCGGCGAAGAATGCGACGCTTGCTGTGAGGGCGACGGAAGCGAGCCACACCGGGTGCGACACGACCTGCGGGGCGGCGCGCGAGGTTGCCGCGTGAGGGGCCGAGGCGCGCGCGGGCGCGCGGGCGCGGCGGTTGCGGGGTCGCGGCGCACGGCCGCGGAGAGTGGCCAGGGCGGCAGTTGAGGAGCGTGCACGCACCGGTGCGAGGCGGTCAGCCACCCGGATCCGCAGCGGATCGCCCTGCGGCGGCATAAACGCCATGGAGTCGCACGGGAAGAGCGTGTCGGCGTGTTCGAGCGCGCCGTGCGGCCCCTTCGGGCCCCCCTCGACCGCCATGGCGAGCGGTGCGATGCCACACCCAGGCCCGGCACCCCTCCTCAGCCTCGACGTCACCTATCGAGCGCCCTGCAGCGCGAGGCACGCACGGACACGGCGCGTCGCGCGGGGCCGATGCGCGACGACCGTCACGGCGCGCCACGCAGCCGAGCGGGGCTCTGGAGAGCGGCGGGCAGGGCTGACCAGGGGCGGTGGCGCGGCGCGCGGGGCTGCGGGGCGGCGCGAGGGGTCGCGGGGGGCATGCTACGGTGCGGAGACGGCGCACCGCGGAGCAGAGTGGGAATGGCTGCGTCGGGCGCGCGGGCGGTGGCGCGCACCTGGAGCTCATTGCCAGTGACCGGTCCACTGTCCGCGACGGCGCCTTGCGAGTCTCAAGCGCCCGTTTCCGCGCCCCTGCACGCCCGATGGAGGTCGGGCGGGTCAGTCCGCGAGTGAGGAAGCTCGGGCCGCCCGGTTCTGGGCCGCAACGGTGGCAGGCGAGAGGGAGCTGGGCTGGGCAGCCTGCGGCACGCCAGCGCGAGCCGGTTCGAGCCCACGGCGGGCGTTGCCGCGGAAGCGAAACGTTGGGAAGCGAGCGCGGCGACGGCGGGCCTGCGAGGTGCGCTCGCGGGGTCACCGTTGGAGCCTGGCCCCTGCTGTTGCGACGGCCTCGCAACGTCCACAGACGGGGCCGCTCGCCTCGAAAGCCGGACAGGAGCGAGGCACATATGCCGAATTGCAGGCTCGCGGACACGGCGGCGCGCACGCGCAGCCCCAGGGCCGTCGCGCGACCGAAATGCTCGCGGCGTCCCTGTCGCGCACGCCGCTGCGCGCCGGCGGCTGAGGCCGCGCCCGTCTCACCTCAGAGTCCCTCTTATATAAGCCGCGCCGCCACCGCCCGCACGCAGCTGTCCGCGATCGGATGCACCCACAGCGCGCCGACCTCCGACGCCTATTTGTTCCTCGCGTTTTTCGCGCGAAGTACCGGCCCGATCCCTATCTTGCACGCACAGCCTGGCACCCGAGTACCGCGCACGCATCGCGCCCATCGCCAAGAAGCCCCCCCAGGCCCCGGCAAGACCCATGACGCACTGCGGACCCCCTGCGACACCCATGACTCACGATGCGCAACGGCCGCCACGGGACGTGCCTGACAGCCGCGTCCCGCCAGGACAGCACCGTCGCGCACCGTGCTGTCCATCCTGGCAGCGGCCGGCGCCGGACAGCCTCACCGGCCCCGCGCGCAGCAGCCACACGCTGTAGGAGACGGCTTCTTGTCACATGTGTTCGCAACGCTACTGCTGCTCCGTGGCGGGCTGTTGCGAAGCGCGGACCGTCCGGAGTGTGCCGGAGGCGCCGCGCGGGTCGCCGCGGCCGCGCTCGAAGGGCCCGGGCGCGGAGCACACGTGCCGTGTGTGCATGTGCGTGTAGCAGCCGCAGTCTCCGGGCGCGTGGCGGGGGCGGCGGGCGTCGCTGGCCGGCGCACCAGCGCGCGCACGCTCCGGAGCTGTCGCGACGGGCAAGGGACCGCGTGCGGCCGAACCGCGCGTCTGTCTGACTGAGGACACATTAGGTATTACGCTGACAGTGGCAGCGCGCGGCGGGTCATGGGCGGCGGAAGCACGCCTCCGCGCGCAGGCTGCACGCGCCGATCGTCCCGGCTTCTTCGCGTCGCTCAGAGCTCGCAGGAGGCGGTCTCGCAGTTGCCGGGGCTGGAGCCGAGCTCTTGTGAAGCGTCCGGAGGCTCGGACGCGAGTCATCGCAGGCCTGTTGGGTGTCCCGTATTGAGAGGGGTTCTCGAGCTGCTTGATTTCGTAGGACGCCCGGCGGAAGGCGCGCTATTCGCCCCTGAAGGCTGCTAGCACGCCACCAAGCGTTTCGCGCCGCACGGTCGCGCGGGCGGCGGCGAGCGGCTGCCGCGGGAGGCATGGGTCGTCCAAGGAACAAGGGAAAGCAGAAGCACAAGAAGTACCACAAACAGCTCCACCGCGGCAAGTTCGAGGCCCGGCACATCGACCAGGTGTGACCCCCGGCGCCGCCGCCTCCCGCGTCGCCCGCAGCTCCCTCGCATGCGCCCCCGGCCGAGCCATGTGCACTGCGGCGTCGCTTTCGCTCACGGAGACGACGTCTGGTGCGGCACGGAGCAGGTATGGGAGGACGTTAGGTCTCCGCAGGCTGTCATCGATGCCACGCACGGGCCCAAGGGGACGACGTCGCGCGCGGAGCACGACGACGACACACCAGGCGGCGGGCAGCACTACTGCGTGCCGTGCGCGCGCTACTTCGCCACGGGGCTGGCGCTCGCAGGCACGTAGTCCCCCCCCGCGCTCCGTCACGCCTCCGTCCCCGCGCCGCCCCGCACACGAACGCGCCGCGCAGCTGCGCGCGTCTGCGGGCAGCCCATCGCACCGCAGCCTGGCGGACTTGGCTTCTCTCCCTGTTGATTATGGGTCTTTTATCTTTACTGCACACTTTGACGCCAACGGCTCGTCCTGGCGCCTGCGCCGCGCCGCAGAGCACGAGCGCGGCAAGCCGCACAAGCGCCGCGTGAAGGAGCTCGACGGCATGCGGCCGCACAGCCAGGAGGACGCCGAGCGTGCCGCGGGGATGGGTAGCGTCGACAACGGACCGCGGCTGCGCCCGCGCTCGGGCGCCGGCTTCGTGACGGGCTCCAAGTCGGCGCCGCCCGTGCGGTAGCGGCGCGAGGACGCGCGAGGCCCCGCTGTGCGAAAAAAAACCAACAACCAGTCATTCGGCTTTGTTGTTCCATCCTTTTCTTGTAATTACCCTCGTGGCCGTCCCCCGTGGAGCTGCTGCGCGCTCGAGCCGACCCAGGGAGCGCGGTGCTGGGACGAGGGCCGCGGGCGGCGCCGGGGGGCGTGCTGGGGGGCCTCGGAGCCTGACGTCAGGGTTGGCAGGCAGGTGGGGGCGTCGGGACCGTGTCGTTGCTCGACAGCGCGGCGCGGTCGAGGCAGAGGGTTCCGACGCGTGCCGTTCGCGTCCGTTGCATCGCGCACCTGTCGCTCCTCGGGCGATACTGCGTCGTAGGGCGGCGACGAACCTCGGTGGTCGCCGGAGAAGGGACGCTGCGCCCAGCCCCAGGGAGGGTCGAACACGGTGAGTTTGGCGCGGATTCTGGACACTATGTACTCTCGCTGCCTGCTCAGCGCGCCTCGAAGCCCAGGGCGCGCTTGACCAGCCCGCGCGACGCGAGCGAGCGGTTTCTGGGAGGGTGTTGCGCTTCGTCTGCGCTGCACGCGCAACGAGATCGCGATCGCATCCCTGGAGATGTCCGTGCACTGGCAAGCTTGCGCGCGACGCTCCGCGCGGCGCGCCGCGCGCCCTGTGCAGGTTCGGAGGAGCTGGTCGGCCCGCGGCAAGGGGAGTTCCGTCCGCGGCAGGCCCGTGCGCGGCCGTTTGATCGCCGCGAGCTCGCGAGATGGCGCCCAAGAAGAAGGCCGGCATCGCGCCGGCGGCCCACGTCGCGACCGGCGACCCCGCGGTGGACGCGGCCGGGGAGGGTGACCTTGCACGACTTGAGCAGCTCCTCGAGTCGCAGGGGAGGGCCATATTGAGCTCACGAGCCCCAGATGGCACGACACCACTGATCGCAGCCGGTGAGACGGCCCCCCAGCCTCCCTGCTCGACCCGGGCGCGTGCAGCACCGCGCGACAGCTGCTGCGCCCGCACGGGCGATGGCCGCGCCCACGCGCCCCCGCGCGACGTTCTCCACCCCGCCCCCATCCCAGCGAGATCACACAGACCTCCTCGTTCCGTCAACACCCTTCGATCACGCGCACGGGCCCTGCGCACTGCGTCGCCCTCGGCCGCCCCAAACCCACCCGCCGCCGCCCCGTCCCCGCGAACGACCCCGCCGCCGCACGCACCAGTCCACGCCCTCCGCGCCGCCCGTGCAGCGCGCGCCCACAAGCTCGACGCCGTCCGACTCCTCGTCCAGAAAGGCGCCGACGTCAACGCCCGCGGGCCCGCTAAGGCCGGCCCGACGCCGCTCCTCGCGGCGTGCCAGGCGGGCGCGTTCGCGGTCGCGAGCGAGCTCCTCGCCTCCCGCGGCTGCGACGTGCGCGCCGCGATGCCCCAGACGGGCTACACGGCCTTGCACTGCGCTGCTGCCGCGGGGGGCAGCTCCCACGAGGACGACGCGCTGCTGACGCTCGCCGCGGAGCTCGTCGCCGCGGGGCTGCCCGTGGACCGGCGCGCCGTCGCGGGCCCGAACGAGGGCCGGGGTATGACAGCAATGCAGATTGCGTGCGTCACCGGGAAGGCGCGGCTCGCGGCGGCGCTGGTGGGAATGGGCGCGGACGTCAACCTGCCGCTCTGCATGATGGACAAGGATCCGGGGGCGAGGGCCGACGGAGGCGCGCGGAAAAAGACGATGAAGGCATGGGGGCCGCAGGACGTGCAGCCGCAGGGTGCGTGGCCGGTCGCGCCGTCGGACGAACGGTCTCGTGTGCGGTTGCTCCCTCCTGCCTCGTCACGGCTCCCACGCGGACCGTTCCGCGCCTCCGACGCCTCCACGGGCCGCGCGCGTTGTTGTTGCTTCGCAGAGGGCGACGGCGACGGGGAGGACGAGGCGCAGGAGTCCGAGCAGCACCGGGCGCAGGCGGCGCTCCTCGACGCCCTCAAAATACTGCCCCCCGACCACCTCATCGTGCCCGCGTGCTCCGCCATCGCCGCGCTCGCGGGCGCCGTCCTGGGCGCGATCCTCGCGCTCCTCCGCAACGGCACGGCCGACCCGCTCGCGTTCCTCATCAAGGGCGCCGCCGGAGCCGCGCTCTTCGCCGTGTCCGGCGCGTTCCTCGGCCGCCGCCTCCGCGCCCTCTTCCGCCCGCTGCACATGCACCCGCTGCACGTCGCGATCGCCAACGGGCACCACCTCGCGGCCAAGTCGATCGTCGACAGCCCGAAGTTCGACATCTCCGCGCTCACCGTCCGCGACGGCCTCACCTGCCTCCACGCGGCCGCGCAACAGGGGTACGCCGACGTCGTCAAGGCCCTCGTCGAGCGCGGGCACCCCGTCGACGCGCCCGCGGCCGACGGGATCACCCCGCTGCACGTCGCCGTCTCGGAGCGCCGCCCGGACATCACGTCGCTGCTGCTGAAGCTCGGCGCGGACCCGAACACGTCGTTCCAGGGGTTCAACGTCCTGACGGGCGCGCTGCTCTTCTCGTCGCCGGAGGTGACGCGCGCGGTGCTCGCGAGCCCGAAGCTCGACGTGTCCGCGGCGTCGCCGAACGGCTGGGTCCCGGTGTTCGCAGCCGTGTTCCGTTGCACTCCGGGGTACCTCACCATGATGAAGCTGCCGGTCAGCCCGGCGTCGTACGCCGAGCAGGTCGACGCGACGCGGCCGCTGCTGACGGCGATCTTGGCGAAGAAGCCCGACTTGGCCGAGCTCAGCCAGGGCCAGCTCGCGCCGCTGCACCTGGCGTGCATGCAGGCCGCGGAGCGCGTGGTTCCGATCGTCGAGGAGCTGCTGGACGCCGGGGCGGACATGACGGCGTGCGACGGGCGCACGGCGGACACGCCGCTGCACCACGCGTGCAAGTCGGGCCGCCCGGAGACGGTGCGGCTGCTTCTGCAGCGTGGGGTCGCGGTGGACATCCTGGCGATGGACGACCGGACGCCGCTGCACGTGGCGGCGAACGAGGGGCGCGCGGAGATCGTGAGGATGCTGCTGCAGGCCGGGGCGAGCAAGACGGCGAAGTCGGAGGCGGGCGCGACGCCGGCGGAGGTGCGGTGCTGTGGCGGGTGTTTCTGCGAACAACAACACGCGCGCTCGCTTGCTCCCAGCCGCCCCGGGCGCCGCCTGTCGCCGCGCTGCTCCGCGGCCGTCGCGTAGCCCGCGCGTGCGGCGCGACGACCGGCGGCGCCCCTGCCAGCGACACGGCCCGTTGAGTGTGTTCGGCGCCCCGAACGTGGCTCTCTGCAGATGTGCAAGGCGCGCCTGACGAGCGACGGGTTCTCAGGGCTCCCGGTCGAGCAGCAGCAGGGCCTCGCGCTCACGTACAAGCTGCTGACGGGCGAAACTGCGAAACTTGTGCGGAAACAACCCCCCGCCGCCGGGGCCCCGCCCGCCGCGGCGCCGCCGGCGCAGGCCGTCCGGCCGGCGCAGGCCGTGCTGCTGACGGGCGCGAAGGACCGCTGCAACCACTGTGGGAAGCTCGAGTCGCAGCTAGCGAGCAGAAAGCTGAGCGCGTGCTCGCAGTGCCGGAACGCGCACTACTGCTCGCGGGAGTGCCAGCGCGCGGCGTGGAAGTCGCACAAGCCCGAGTGCAAGGCGCAGCAGGCGTGAGGGCCGCCCGTGTGTGTGAGCGCCGCTGCACACTCCGTGGGGGTGGGATGCGCGCGGGCAGGCGCGCCGACGCCCCGCGCGATCCGTAGCTGGACGAATGCGTGTCGGGACGGCGAACCGCTCGCGCGCCGGCCGCCGTCCACCCTGAGCTTGCGCATGCAGGGAGATGGTTCTTCGCTGACCTACAAGCACCCTCACCGCGAGGACGCTTAAGGGAGATGTGGGGAAGGAAGTTGATCCGGGCTGAGGATGCCATCCGGCCGCTGAAAGGGCGCGTAGCGAGGCGGTTGGTCCGCGGCGCTGCGCGACGGCAGCGGGTCGCGCACACGCACTCACGCGGTGGGCAGGGGTCACAGGTCGCGTGCGCGCGCTCAGGCCCAGAAGCGCTGCTTCTTTGGGGGCGCGAGGTCCCCGAACGGCACGTCGTTGAGCTTGGCGGCCAGGATGAAGTCGTTGACCGTCAGGCCGCCCTTGGACGGCGTCCCGAGCGTGACCGCCAGGCTGTCTCCGGCGACGACCTCCATGCTCAGGATCGGGTGGCCGGCCTTCTCCGCGCAGGCCTCGAGGCGCGTCTTCAGCTCCTCAGCGGCGTCGGCGCTCTTGAGGCGCCACGACTGCTCGATCGCCTGCGCGGCGTGGAGAGTACCGGAACACGAACGCGTCGGCGGCGGGCAGGGACGGCGTTCCGAGCCGCGAGCGGCGCGCTCGCTTCGTTCTCGGCACGTCGCACCACAGCTGGGCTGGAGGAGGGCGAGCATGAACCAGTCATGGGAGCACATTCGCTTGGCACTGGTATTGCACCACCGTCTATCTCCCTCCGACGTCCGAGAACGTCGATCAACCGGAGATGCCCGGCACTGAAACGGCGGACTATGCATAGGAGGATCTTTTTTCGCGCAAGCGGCCCGGGGACGTTCGCGGAATCCGCGCCAATCCGCGCACCTCGTCTCCATTCTCCGCGCTGGCCAGGCGCCACCCGGCGGCCTGGTTCCGGAGCAGCGTGACGTCCCCGCTGCCGAGCTTCTCGAGCACGGAGAGGTCGTAGCACGCCTTGCTCGACAGCCCAATCAGCGAGGCCATCTTCTCCGGTGGCTTGATGATGTGCGACGTGTCCGCCTCCCCCAGCGACGTCTCGTTGAAGTTCGTCGCGAGCTCCGCCTCAAAGGGGTCGCGCGCGCCGAAGTCCTCCCCGAAGAACGCCTTCTCCTTGCCCGCGTCGAACCCGAACGCCCGCACGTCGCGCGCGGGCGCACCCACCGCCCGCACGGCCACGGCCCGCGCAGTCACCGCCGCCCCGCGCGCCGGGGCCGCGGCCACGGCAGCAGTCAGCAGCGACGCCATCGCGTACGCGTGGGTCTCGGGGATGCTCTACGCGCTCGGAGCGGAATCCAGCCCGCGTCCCGGGCGCGCGCACGTGCACAGGTACAGAGGCGCAGCAGAAGCCTCGCGGCGGTGGCAGCGAGGGTCGACGGCGGCGGGACCGGTCAGCGCGTCTGCGCGGGCGCGGCCCGCGCGGAGCCGTCGAGCGGCGCGGATTGCCGCGGGGCGGCGGGCGGTGGGGTCGGGGGCGTGACAACAGGGGCGAGGCGTGGGGCGTTCCGGCGGGCTACGTTGGCGCGGCGGCGGCGGCGTGCGGGCACATGCCGGTGTCAGGGACTCGGAGAGAGGACCCGTGGCTGTTCTGGTCGCGCAGTGGGCGCAGCGCCGGCGCAGGGAGCAGAGCAGTGGACTAGCTGGCCCCGGTGGACGTTCCGCGAGCCTCGTGGACGAGGCTGGCGGCGGCACTCGGCCTTAGTTTGGCGCAGTAGCGCGCGTGCTCGCCGCGCGCGGGGTCCTGCGGCCTCTCGGGGCGCCTCACGCGCGGGGCGAGTTCGGTCGATCGCAATGGCACCGGCGACGAACGGCTTCACCGACCAGCTCTGCGTCTCCGTGCGTTATGCGGGCGCCGACACGCTCTCGTGGAGCCACCTTGCGACCCTCACGGAGCAGGACCAGGGCGCCAGGGACAAGGTCATCTCCCTCGACCTCTGCGGCAACCGGGTGCAGGACCTTTCGGGACTTGACGGCTACGTCTACCTCCTCAGTCTCTCCCTCGCACAGAACGGCCTCGCATCGCTCAGCCCGGGCCGCTTCCCGTTCACGCTCACGCACTTGGACTTGAGCAACAATGGCCTGGCCTCCCTGGACGGCCTCCAGGGCCTCCCGTACCTCACCTGGCTCGACGCCTCGCACAACAAGATCGAAAGCGTCCAGCCGCTGGCCCAGTGCTACAGGTGAGCGGCCCCACACCCCCCCCTGGGCAACCCTCTGCCGGGCAACAATGTAGCCTGGCGGCCCGCTCCCGGGCTCCGCGGTCGCTCCCGGCCGCCCGCGGCGCCCAGGTGCCATGGTCGCGTCGTATTTGACCGCCTCGCGCCGTCGCGGGGGCGCGAGCCCGCGGCCAAGGGCCGCCACGGGCCGTCGGTGCTGCGGGCCGCCTGCTTCCGCCCGCCACCGCGCCCGCGCCCTCGCGCGCGCCGCATTCCCGCCCCGCGAGGCTCTTGCTCCATCCCCGAGCGCCACGCCCTCCCCGCCGCACGCACGCCGCCCGCCCGGCGCGGCGCGCGCCCGCCACCTGCCCCCAAGCTGTTGGCGCTGCTCAGCCCGGCCCCCTGCGCGCCCCCGGCCCGCAGGCTGCGGATACTCCTGCTCTCCAACAACGAAATCTCCTCGGTGTTCGGCCTGGAGGCCCTGCTGGACTGCGAGCGCGCCCAGCTCCACGGAAACGCCATCGCTCGGGAGAGCGAGCTCCGTCTCCTGGCGACTTTGCCGAAGCTCAAGCACCTCACGCTGCGGGACAACCCCATCTCGCACCGCATGCACCTCAAGGCCAAGGTCACCCACATCATGCCCGCGCTCGTCTCCCTCGACGGCCAGCCGCTGCGCGCGGGCCCCCACACCACGGCCGCGGCGGGGCGGCGGGCGCCCGGGTCGCCCCTCCCGGGCGCGCGCGGGGCCCTGGGCCCCCCGGCGCCGGCCGACAAGCTCGCCGAGTTCGACAGCGTGTTCCGCGCGCCGCTCTTCGACCCCCCGGGCACGCTCGACCCCGCGGACGGCGAGCCCCTGGACGAGTGCGACGAACTTCTCGACGTGGACTACGCGCCCGCCGAGGCGCTCTCGTGGCTCAACCACGTCGTGGACGAGGTCTCCGACCTCTTCGGCGTCGACTTCGCCACGCGCGGCGACGGCGAGGGCGTCCCGTCGACCACCCAGCGCACCCTCCTCGACCTGGCGCACGAGACGCTCGGCGAGGAGATGGCGGCGCTGCGCGCCGGGAGCTCGATCACGCCGACGCGGCAGACGCTCTACCGCAACGCCGCGCGCTCCCCGCGCACCCCGCAGTCGGCGCGCGCCGCCGCGCGGCCCCCGTGGACGCCGCCGCGCAGCATGAAGGACGCGCGACCGTCGCCGCACTCGCCGCGGACGGAGGAGTCCATGGGGCGGCACGTCGCGCGCCTGAACGCCGCGCGCGAGCAGGACGACATGGTCTTCGCGCCGAAGAGCCTCCGCCACTGGTCGTGGGCGTCGCCGTTGGACAACTCGACCATCATGGGCACGAAGCGCGCGCGGAGCGTGTCGCCGCGCGTGGACGCCAAGTGGCTGAACCGCTCGTTCAACCGCTCGTCCGCGCCGCGCACGCGGCGCTCGCAGACGACGCACCTCGAGCGCATGCGGCGCGCGCAGAGCATCGGCGTGGAGCGCGAGAGGGGGCGCGAGCTCCCCGGGTTCCAGAACCGCGCCGCGGGGCACATCCTCGCGCCCAAGGGCGGCACGCCGATGAACCCGACGACGCGGCACATGGAGGCGATCGCGCAGCACGCGGACCGGGTGCGCTTTGCCAAGGAGATCACGGAGGAGGAGGGGCAGGGGCGGCCGCTGCCGGGGTTCAGCTGGGCGCCGAGCGTGTCGCTCGGGGACGGGCTGCTCGGGGCGGGGCGCGGCGCGGACGTGAGCTTCTCCTTCGGCGGGAGCAAGCCGTTTTTGTCGAAGAACAGTATCCACGAGCGCGTCGCGCGGCGCAAGAGCGGCGGGGCGAGCCTGGGCGCCGGGCTGAAGGGGTCGCCGTCGCGGAACGCGCGCGGGTCGCGCGGGGGGGGGTCGGAGGGCACGGAGGAGGCGAAGGCGGCGTCGGCGTCGGAGCGCAAGGTGACGAGCAACTTTTCTTTCGGGGTGAAGCGGGTGGATGGGTCGCGGACGGTGCAGCTGCAGGACGTGGACACGGAGCCGCCGCGGAAGCGCTCGCAGTCGCGCTCGCAGCGCGACCGGCCCGCGGAGGACGCGGACGCCGGGGGGGGGGAGTTTGGCGTCCGGGAGTACGGCGTGGCCGCGACGCCGGCGTACGTGCCGCCGCCGATCGTGGAGACGGACGCGGGGCCCGCGGGGGAGCCCGGGTCGACGCTCGCGGCCGTGCAGAGCGCGCTGGGGCTCTCCACGCGCAGGGCCGGCGCGGTGGGGAGCCGCGGCGGGCCGTCGGCCGCGGGGCCGGCGCCGGCGCCGGAGCTGAGCGACAGCGGCGGGTCGCGCATCGCGGACCGCGCGCGCGAGGTCGAGGAGCTCGCGCGGTCGCTCATCGCGGCGCACGAGTCCTCGGTCGGAGCGAAGCGACCGCAGCGACACCGCGCCGCCCCCGCGCCCGCGCCCGCGCTGCCCCGGCCCCGCCCGCCAGCGCCGCCCGCCGCCGCGCAGCGCGCCGCCGCCGCCGCCGCCGCCCGCCCCGGAGGTCACGTCCCCGCGGCCCCCGAAGCCCGCCAGCAGGCCCAAGCCAGTGCCGGCGCTGGGCCTCGAGCGGATAGCCGCGGGCATGTACACCGAGGGGTCGGAGGAGCTGCTGCACCGGTCGGCGAGCGCGCGGACGCCCCGGAGCGACCGCAGCAGCGGCAGCAACCGCGACAGCGCGCGGCGCGCGGAGCCGGCCGCAGCGCCCGCGCCGACCCCGGTGGCGCCGGCGGGCGCGGTGCACTCGAGCAACTCGACGGCGACGAACAGCACGCCCGTGGCGGACGGCGCCGGGGACGCGTCGGGTTCGGACTACATCCGGCTGATCGAGCAGATGCTCGAGAGCAAGAAGAAGTCGCCCGCGGCGTCGGTGGCGGGCACGGCGGGGGACGGGCCGTCGCTGGTGGACGACGTGGCCGGGGCGCTGGCGGGGCGGTCGTGAGGCCGCGGGCGGGCGGCGCGGAGGATCTCCGCCTCGGGGCGGCGGAGTGAGACGTCACACCCCCTGGACTGGACAGTCCCCCCGTGCTGCGTGATTACGTTGCAGCGACCCACACTAAGCATGTGCATGCCGAAGATGCGCCGCTGAGCGGCAGCTAACTGCTCGCGCCCGGGGAGGGCAGAATGCCCCCTTCGTGCTGCGGGCTCGACGGGCGAAATTGGCACGTTGCGCCCTTGCGGCGGACGCGCTCTGTGACCCGCATCGTTCTCCTCTTCTGCTCTCGGCGCCGTGGCGTGGGCGGGTGTGGCTGCAGAAGCGCACCGCCTCGCGACTCTGCTGACGGGGGGGGGTAGGTGGGGGAGTGAGTCGACGCGCTGGGGACATGCCGGTCGCAACTCCGCCGCTTTTTGCGCGTGCAGACAAACGACTGGGGCATCAAAGAGAGCAACGAGTACAGGACGCGGCGACAGCGTGTCGTACAAGACAGGTGCGCTCCTGACAACAGATCGGGCCCATACGGCGCCGTATCTGAGCATTGGGGGGGTCTCAACGCGGTATTACAGCGCCCACGAGTGAGAATTGTTGCCTGGGAGCATTTTGCGGACGTGAGACGCTTGTTGGCCCGAGTACAGGCCGGAACCGGCCCTCGAGAGCTGGGTCGCATCGCCAAGGGTCGCGCCCCGATCCGCGCGCATTGCGGCGCTGCGAGGGTTTCGGTGCCGTGATCGGTGGACCCACGAACGCGAAGCTGGCCTGCGTCCGGTTGATGTCCGACGAGCCGTCGTTTGTCAGCGGGAACGGCCCCCTGTTGTGCTGAGAAGCAGTTTGCCCCCGAATGTCACGTCATGCCCCCGTGTTCGTCGCATTGGCTGCCTCCAGATGTCAACTAGATCATAGTCCGACAATGAGCAAGAGCGCTGCCTCGATGCGCCCTCCTCGGCCGCAGACGACCCGAAGAGACATCATGGCAGGGGCCGGGAGCCAGGAGGCGCCGCCGGCCCCCGCAGGCGCGCGCTTCGTGAACGTGCCGAGCCAAGGGCCGGCCCTCGCGTTCGACACCGTCAGAGCGCAGCCCCGCGCACCCGACGCGACGCGGGAGCCAGAGACCTTCCAGGTGCACACAATGTCCGCCGAACGCCGTCGC